GCTTTCAGCAGCAGCAACAAATTCTGATGCCACCCAACTCCTCGCACCAGAAGACAACAAACAAAGAATGATCTGTGTGTAAGACTATCAAAATATTTGATAAGTATTTTATTTTTTTGAACAATTTTGTCAGTTAGATGAATGTACTGTTTTTTTTTGCGAATACAAAGAATCTCAAGTAACTGTACAAACAAACTCTGTTTTAAAGATTAGATTAAAAAGTTGTATTTCGTTTGGAAGGACACTATTCGGCCTTCTAACAATGAAATAATTTCTTTTATAGAACAAGGTTATGTTATTCCGTTTGTTGACAAACCTCCGTCTTTTTATTTAAAGAATAACAAGTCGGCTTTAAAGAACAAAGAATTTGTAGATTCAGCTTTACAGGATCTGTTAGATAAAAAGTGTGTGTATGAAACAATTTTTAAAGCCATATAACATTAATCCATTATTCTGTTGCCGAAAATTCGTCTGGCAAGAAACGTCTCATTTTAGAATTTTTGGTACGGAACATTTCACTAGTAAAGTGCTTGTTATACGCAATATTGTAGGGAGATAACTGTAAAATGGGTTTAATTTAACACTCGTTTATTATTACCTTTGTATATTTTTGTCAATTTGCAGGCTTGTTTGATTTATGTAGATGGAAAGACTTAACAGACACATGCAACAGTTCTGGTCTTCCGATGTCCGTTGTTCCAGAAGTAAAACGCACTATTTTGGGTAGCAGAGAACATAGTACAGTGAAAAATTATATGTATGCTTTTGAAAAATTTTTGTAATTGGTGCGATAAATGCAAGTTATCTTCTTTGCCAGCTTTGCCTGTCACAATCGCGCTTTATTTAGTTTCGCTTATTCAGATGAATACATATTCATGCGGGAAATCTAAGTTAAATCAAAATTTCTATGCTATAAATTGGGCGCATGAAACTGCATATTTTAAAGAAAATCCTTGTCAAGATAGATGGCTTAAATTATGTTTAGAAGGCTGTATAAGAAAGATTTCGAGGCTTGTACAGAGAAAAAGAGCCTAATACTCCTGATGTGCTGAAATTACTCATTAAACGTTTTGTTTCTGAAAAGTGTTCATTGGCAGATTTTAAGAATTGTTACATTGTTTGTGATTTGTTTTGCTGGTTTTCTAAGAATTTCAGAAGGTATTTATTTAAAACGTTGTCACATTGATTTCAAAGATGATCATTGTTCATTATATATTGAAAATGCCAAAACAGATTTATATAGAGAAGGAAATTATGTAGTTTTGGCAAAAAACTGGAAAGTTTTCATGCCCGGTGCAATTATTACATAGATATATTACAGAGGCTGGTTTGATGGAATGTAATGATCAGTTTATTTTTAGAGCTGTAGTGTTGTGTAAAAAGTCTAACAAGTATGTATTAAAACGTAAAAATGCTCCACTTTCTTACTCGAGAACACGGGAACTTTTTAATCAAAAACTTACTTCAATAGGACTAGAAAGTCATCAATACAGTTTGCATTCACTAAGGTCAGGTGGAGCTCTTATTTGTGCTAATTCTGGTACTAATGATAGACTGTGGAAAAAACATTGACGTTGGCGTTCAGAGACAGGTAAAGATGGATATGTTGAAGACAGTTTGAAACAACGTTTGTCTGGGTCACTAAATCTTAACATTTAATGAAGTCGTGCAGCTTATGTTGAATAACTTTTTATAATATGAAGTGATTATATGCTTGTGATTATATTCAGTCAATGATCGATTTAATTGTGGAATTAAATACTAGTTTATAATCTTATATTTTGTGTAAGTGTTATATAGATTTATCATGAGTAAATCATTGGTGTGATTTGACAAGGCTTCATACAGACGACAACAGATATAATTATACTATATTAAGATAAGTATTATTTTTAAATATTTATTATTCATTTGATATCATTATTTCAATTGTTAATTATTATACATATTCTGTTATGTTTGTTTATATTAAATATATTTATTTCTACATCAGTTAATGAGTGTACATGTTTATTGAGATAATTTAATTTTGCTGCAAAGGCTTTACTTTTCAGTTTTAAATCGTGGAATATAAAATTGTTTGTTAGAATTTTTCAGGTGATCAACTTATATTTTGTCGTTGTTGTTTATTTTTTGTGTTTTTGTTTTATAGCGTCATACGATGATTGACATGGGGTTTTGACGTTTGTCATGAGAATGGGAAGATCTATTGTGTTTGCAAAGTTACAAAGGGCTTTTGATTCCAATTCTTGTTAACGACTCATCGTCATGGATGAAATACAAAATGCTTGCAATCTTCTCCAGCACACAAATTTGCAGATAAGTATTTATTTTCAAAGTTGATTTAATGCTGAGATAGCTTACCAATTTTATCGTGATGGTGAGATAGCTCACCGAATTGTTTTCTGATGCTGAGATAGCTCACCGATTTATTTTGTGATGCTGAGATAGCTCACTGATTTATTTTGTGATGCTGAGATAGCTCACCGATTTGTTTTGTGATGCTGAGATAGCTCACCGATTTGTTTTGTGATGCTAAGATAGCTCACCGATTTGTTTTGTGATGCTGAGATAGCTCACCGATTTGTTTTGTGATGCTGAGATAGCTCACCGATTGTTTGTGATTTGCTCACATTTTTTGTGATGCTGAGATAGCACACTGATTTATTTTGTGATGCTGAGATAGCTCACCGATTTGTTTTGTGATGCTGAGATAGCTCACCGATTTGTTTTGTGATGCTGAGATAGCTCACTGATTTATTTTGTGATGCTGAGATAGCTCACCGATTTGTTTTGTGATGCTGAGATAGCTCACCGATTTGTTTTGTGATGCTGAGATAGCTCACCGATTTGTTTTGTGATGCTGAGATAGCTCACTGATTTATTTTGTGATGCTAAGATAGTTCATCCATTTGTTTAGTGATGTTGAGAAAGCTCATTGTTTTATTTTCAGAATCCGTAAATGCGGTCAAAAACCAAAAGGCATATCTATTGCTTTGCTTTCGTCTAAAAGATTAAAAGTTCATCATTCCTGGACACAACATAGTTTTCTATAGATAAGTATTATTTTCAACTATATTATAATTATTATTATCATCATCATTATTTTAAGTAAAACTTCAAAGAATATTGTTTTGTTTTGCATTTATTGTTTTGGACTTATAATTTTCACACTTTATTTGTTTTAAATTGGTTTCTAATAATCTAATCTGAATCAAGTCTAATAGCTCAGGTTTTATTTTATTTTTATTTAATATGGTATCGTGTTTTAAATTTATAAATACAGTTCTATAAATGCTTTCTTTGTTTTGCTCGATTGAAAGTTGTCAAATACAATGCCTAAATCCTATTCTGTTGTTTTGGTTTCTTTCTAGTAAGATTATAACATGGGATAAGTGAATAATTGTTTTACTCACGACACAGAGTGAGTAATACTTTTCCTAATGTGCTATATCTATTTATTACATGCTTTTCGATGGTTTATAGAAATATATCAGTGGATTAAAAATGGTAATTTCACTGTTTGAAACAGTGAAATTATCAATTTGATAATTTCACTGTTTTGAATTTAAGCCCCTTACGTTGTTTAAGTGAAATACCAGCGTGCACAGAGCAGGAAACCAACTTAATAAAGTGACGTCGTAAATGACGTCACGTTGTATAATTATTTGGCGCGCTATTCATTTAGTATTAGGTCAAAATGTCCTTTTTAACGTTTGTTTGCATATAATAAAAAGAAAATTTGTTTAGTTTAGTGTAAGATCGAAATATATTTCAACTCGTGAACACCAAAAGTTCACATTTCACTCGTGGCTGCGCCACTCGTGAAATATACCTTTTGGTGCTCACTCGGTGAAATATATTCCGATCTTACACTGAACTTAACAAATATCCTCTATTTAATTTTTTTTATATCATTTTCAATTTTTCTAAAAATATCAACGTCATACGTATTGTGAATAGGAGAATTTTCTGGCGCTATATAGGTTACTGCAAGATACATGTATATGTCTTTTTCTATTTGAAAAAATGTTTTATCCAGTTTTAGCCAAATTAAGCAATCAATGTTATTTTGAACAACTTAACCCCCTTACGGCAATTATTCTTTATATAAACTATAAGTCCCCCTCTAGATCTTCGTGCCCTCCTATGCTGTCAACGTAATCGTCTTATTCATCTAATCTCAAAGTAAAACAAACAGAAATCAGAGAATAATGCATATGTACTAGCAAACGTGTTGAAATTCTCTTCAATTCCGTAATTTGTAATGTTTTGAATTTGAAGTCATGAAATATCTATATTGTTGCAAAAAATCAAACTGTGTTGTGAGCCAAATTTACCAATAAATTTTTTCTTTTCCGTGGTTTGATTTGATCAAAAATGCGACTTTTCTGATAAAATTGTATGATACCTCTGTTTGATTCTACACTTTAATGATTTTAAAGATTAATTCCGGTTACATTTCAATGGCTTGATGAAATATTAAACAGTGTTACGAAAACCGATTTCTTTATAGTTATTATCACAATACCAAGTGTCTTCACAATAAATAAAACTTTTCACATTGACTTTATAATCTATTTATCTAAATGCTTCATGCATTTTAAATATATTTTTGAATAAATAATTAACTCCAATATACTTTTTTAATTTTAATATTTTATTATCGTTAAACAGAAACATGTCAAACTCATATTTATATTTTTGTTAACACTACAAAGCAATCTTTTTTTTTTTTCATTTTTATGTCCATGTTCAAAATGACAGGGATTATTCGTAGATCTGCTATCTAAGTTGGCCACTGTAAAATGTCCATTGCCTGGAGGGAAATGACCTGGTAAATCAATTTAACCATTCAGTAAAAATAACACCCTTTTATGAAATCGAAGCGTAAACAAAAATTTTCGTTTGCAATACTGCAGTTTTAACTTGATAAAACTGGCTGTTTACAGCGTCCATTCGACATGGTTGAAATAACATCGACAAATCAAGTAGAGAAGTGTCACCAGATCACTACTATTTCAGGTGTTCAAAAGAGAACTACTTTGAATTTAAATTTAGTCTCCAAATAAATTATTTCATATTTTTGTTACAATGAAACCATTGACGGGGATAGTTTTCATTTTATATTGTTCTCTTCCTCTACAGAGAACAACAGCCACGAAAAATGGTAAGAAATAAACTTATACACTTTTTAGAATATTTTTTTAAAAAAATGGTTATATTTTCATATAAATAAAAAAATAACAAGCCGAGAAGAAGATATAGACCAAACATCTTGAAATATTTATTAAACTCCGTTATGCTTTTATGATTATTTATAGAAATATTAACGTCTCTTTAAAAAAATTGTCACTATATTAATTTTTTATTTTGAAATAAAAATTTAATATATATCAAAAATGATATACAATGTGTAAGTAATAGATACTTTTAAAATATTGAGAATTAACCTCATTTTACAATTTGATTGAACGGCTGTAAATTGAACAATAAAAATATACTTTCTGAAAATATTTGATTATAAACGTTGACTGTACCGAGAATATTTCAGACGACAGGGACATGTTTGAAGCATTGATTAAAACATTAATTGAAGACGAAAGGTCTGAAGTCAATGCCATATCAGGAGGTCAGGCACACGAGAGTGAAGATGTTCAAAGAGCTTACGGTAACAAGGATAATGATGAAGGTCTTATTAGAGCAATTGAAGTATTTCTGCAGTCCAAAAGGTATATACTAAATTATCCCTCCTTTTCTTTAAACATTGATACTTCGTTTTTTTCCTTATGAATTATCTTTACTTCAAAATCAGGATTTCAGCATTTAATCATTTATCATTTATTTGTATTTTGCTGAACCTAAGAAAAAGGGTTTGTTTCAGTTCTGTCATATCTTCCATGTATGATTTGAGCTTTTTTTATTTTACAATTCCTATTGTCTGCTTCACATAAAATCAAAATTGATAAAGATAAAAATCAGTGTATAATATAAGATAAAAGTTCATGACAAGCAGATTGTAGTTCGATTATTGAACCATGCGATTATTTATGTTAATTTACAGTTGCTTATACCATCTAGTCGTCCAATATCCTGATAAACATATGTGACCCATTGTCGTTACACACCAGATAACAAACTTGACAGAGTGGAAAAAAATCCTGAGGCACAGCGTTAAGTTCGGCCAGTAGTCCCTAAAAAGATCAAAACACTTCAATCGATTAACCAAGCCTCATTCTGTTAATGAAAATATTGATATATCTATATATATATATATATGATTCATGAAATGACAAATCCAACAGCAGCTCTAATGTTTTCTCCCTCTTAAAGCAACATGTCGTAAAGTATTTTCAAGATGCTGATTTGTTTAAATGACTGCATTTATTGAATCTTTATAAAATTTTACATATATTTCCTCAATAAACGCATGATACAAATTTCTTATTGTTGGCACAATTATGTACTTTTTTATTTTTTACGAATGATTTTTGTTATGCACTTCACAAGCAATAAATTTTTAGTGCAATGTCACGCAGATTCCGAGCATTACAATTGTTATATCGAGAACAAACATTGACTTTATGGTATACATGTAAAACGTTTCAAACTTGTCATAAGATAGATCAATACATTCATGACGAGCATTGATATGTTATTATAGTTGTATTAGTTTTGGTTTTAAAACGGTCGAATAAGCAAAACATAGACTTTAGCACCGCACTTACCTATGATCACAAAGTAAAAGATAAGTTAAATTATAAATTGCAGAGCTAGAGAATGGGACGATAAAAAACGATGGTTGAACGCAGATAGAGAGCAAGCCGATTATGAAAGGCAATGGATTACCGCTGATGCAGCCTACAAAGGAACCAACACTGGGTCCACGACAAAAAGCACAACAATTACAACTGTTCCTACAAGTACAACAACTGTTCCTCCAAGTACAACAACTGCACCTAGACGAAGATATTGCTTCTGGGTTTGGTCACGACGATACTGTTTCTAATTTGACAATCAGCAACACGAATTTTAATAAAATACACAAAATATAATACATGATCATTGTTCAACCTCTGTCGCTCCAGCTACCAATCGAACAAATTTGCACAGGCCCACCGAGTTCCAGCGAACGAAGTTTGACTGACTAAAATTATAACCTGTGTATACATAGATATGTTAATACTGTCTGTAGACATACATGTATATATCTTTGTTTCACTTCTTTGTCAATTTTATTGATATTTACAAATAGCTCTAATTTTAGATTATTAGTTTGAAAGAGTAAAATGTAAAATGATAACATCATCTTGTTTTACAGTATCTTCGCCGATTTCAGTATAAGCATTAGAAAAAAAGTAAATACAATAAAAACGTGTGTTCAAATTTGTAAGTGGTTTTGGGTAAATTTTGTATATCTTTGCATATTAGTTATTCTTTTTCTGTGTGATTTGTTAATGAATCTCTAGAAGATATGAATAAGATGGTTCGTTTATTTATGGGATACACCTTTGTAATTGCAATCAGCCAAAACAGTTCATACTTCAGACATCAAAGGAATCACAAACACAGTATTTGTAATAAGTTTATTAAATACAGAAATAAAAAATCCCAAAGAGACACTGAATCTAAGTAAACATTAAGGTTACCAAACAAATACAGCACATAAGCTTATGCAAATCTATCGTATCTAAAAAAAGTTATCTGGTTCACTAGAAATAGAAAGCAAATTCTCAAAAATGGTTTGACAGATATTAAAACGTTTAACCTTATTAGAGTTATATTTATGAATGTTGGATCACAAGTAAATAGTTGCAAGTGAAAAGGTATATATTTCATTTATAAAATGCATAGAATATTTATTTTTGTAATTTATCACATATAAAGTAATATATGACTTTACTGTAATAAATTATTCATTTTCATACTAATATAAAATGGCCAATTAAAGAACTAAGCAGAACAGAGAGGAATATGTTCGGTTCAAACAGTTAAATGTGAGCCACGGATTACTGACGTTACAGTTATAGTTTAAACAATATTTCATATCAATCAAACATATATACACAGTGTTTATGAAATTAAATACTTAAAAGGACTGAGAAAAGCTCAAAGCTATAACAAACCATACTCGCATTTCTGCAAGTTATTTCAAGAGTTGCTTCACCTATAAATATTCATGGCGCTAAGTAGTCAAAGGCAATACTGAAACAGGTACACACGGTACTAACTGTAGTGTACTGTTTTCAAATACACTAAAGCTGTTTGTTACTGAATTGAAATAAATAAAAATAAAAAATATGTCTAGATGGTGATTTTATGCACTTAAAAGATAAAGGATAAAGGAAAAATGTGTCCAGAATAGTAGCAAAGTTAACATACGTGAAGTTTCGGTTTGACACCGAATTAAAGCTATATCACCTCACGTCGCTCGTTTGTTGTCTTCTTCTTGTTCATGTCATAAAACGTATCGTATTTCTTTAATTTTTATGTACGTTTAATCAAAACATAGTGATGTCTTTCATGTATATAAAATACAATAAATAACGTCATAATTGCCCATTAAACAGTAATTTTGTAAAAAGGAAATAAAAGACATACATGTGTTGCCAATTCATATACACCAAATTTTAATATCCAGGACAACACATTCAAATATCCAGCACGACACATTTACATATCCAGTAGGTCACATTTACATATCAAGTACAACATATTTACATATCCAAGACAACAATTTACATATCCAGGAAAAAATATTTACATATCCAGAAAAATACATTTAAATATCCAGGAAAATGCATTTACATATCCAGAAAATACATTTACATATACAGGAAAATACATTTACTTATCCAGCACAACACATTTACATATCCAGTATAATTCATTTACATATCCAGGACAATACATTTACATATCCAGGACAACACATTTACATATTAAGGACAACGCATTTACATATCCAGGACAACACATTTACATATCAAGGACAACACGTGAACATAACATGGACAATACATGTACGTATTCAAGATCATACAGTAACATATCTTTGACGATACACCATCATATCCAGGACAACACACTTGTGACAGTTTCCGAACAAAGATCATGTTAGTTGTTATTTATCTACTTTTTGAATATGTTACTCATTTTGCAAAATGCCACTTGAGTGTGACAAAATGTACAATTTCAGGTTACTGCTTGAGTAAATAAGGCGACGTAAAATAAAAAAAGTCCATTTAATTTTTTGGTATAATCATTGTGTAAAGAAGGCATAATAATGGGGATGAATGTATTACTGTTTACTCTAGTGTTTCTAGGAGGAATAAGTCTAACTGACACAAAACGCAAAGGTATATTTTAAAAGATAGATAGATAGATTAATCTATTATAAAAAGGAAATATATAATATTTTTACATCATTGTAAAAAAATTGTTTGTGTCAATTGAGTTTTTATTTTCCGTGGAAGTCATGCACTTGGTAATATTTCTCATTTTGTAACAGAAGCATTTCGATACAATTATTCAATTATTACTATGCTATTAAAACTACTCGCAATCATTTTGGTCTCATTTAAAATTATTCAATTAATTATTGGTTTGGGACTGAACAACTCCGATTTAGGTGTTAGTGTTGTTGTTGTATTGGTCAAGTTTTCAGGTTATTGAGTCATATGCCGTTACGCATTCATAATAATTGTTTATTTGAGCTTAAACAAAAACCGAATAAGTTGTTCTTGTATGTTTGTTTGTTTGTTTGTTGTTAGTGTTTGTTTTGTTGTTGTTTTAGTTGTTGTTGCTGTTTATTTCCCTTCTTTATTATTGTATTTGAAACCAAAACTTCCTTGTATTTACTTCATGTATTCTATAGAAAATAAGCAGCCAGAACTTAGATCAAGATGATTATTTAATATACTTTTTGTTATGTTTCAATGAAAAATGTCTTTTGTTTCATAAATAACCATACAATAAAATCAGTTGCATATAATTTTCGCTAAATTTGCAAAATGTAAGGGAATAAGTAATATGCACAAATTTAAATTTACTTTTCACACAGTTTGATTAAAAAAAACCATCAAATAAAATAGAATCACGTGTAGATAAAAGCTCTATTAGGTAGGGCTTGTGTTTTCTATTGAAGGTATGTCGATCATTAATTTATAAGTTTACATTTTTCCCATCCACATCAATACAGCATATTAACATCAAATGAGCACATAACGTTTCGTATCAATGGCAAATTAATCTCAGTCTCATTTAACACACTTGACTGATTTGTATATATTTTTTCATGAAATACGATTAAATACAACACGATTTATTGGCGTTTTATTATCCGTTATTTCATACATTTATTAATACAGCTCATTTCCGCTTTTTCGGCATTACGCTTCTTTAAACCTTTATAGATTTCTTTATGCTTCACAGAGATTCATACATGTTTAAATATTAGTATTAGTTTTTACTTTTACATAACAAAAAAACTAAGTCAGCGATATTTGCATAAAATACAGCACCTTTTTAAATTTATTCTTTTTCAGATGACACTGAGCTTTTACAAAGACTAATAAATTTACTCGCTGATAAAAACGGGAAAGATAACCAAAGAAGTAATATCGAAAAGAAGTTGGCCGCAAATGACAATGATAGAATAGGACACCAAAGGAATGGAGCCGTTCGAAACAGTTTTAAAACAAAACAAACTTCCGAAGAGAAAAGTCAACGTGGGTATTATGTAAAATTTCCACAGCATCAGTTAAAGGATGCAGAAAACGATGAACTTTACAGGGCCATAGATGCTTTTATTCAAGCTAAACGGTAATAACTGTACACAATACTAACTATAGATAACGTAACATTAAGATGTCTTGATTTCTAATTAAACCAAACGTAATACTTTCTGCAAAATAATTACCATGTCTAAATAATGAATTCTGGTTAGGTCAGTGCTAGGGGCGTGTACGGCAACTTGCAATTAGTACTACTGTCCATCAAAAGGTTCAATCGGACCGAGCCTGCAACAAGTTTGTCATAAGGTAATGTACCTTGTATATAACTGACCAATAGTCAACAGACAAATTACCAGTATACCTTTATAATAAAGCATATTACGAGTACATTTAGTTATGCCATCTTTGGTGTCATCTTGCAACTTAAAACGTATTCTCTATATTTAAATATTGTATTCATTTAGAGCTAAAGTTTGGCAACGATGGCTTCAACATGGTGGATACAAAGGTTCAAGTACAACAGTAAGACCAGCTCCAACCACACCCCCAGCAACACCTGCTCCAGCTAGACCTAGATGGTGTAGATGGTGGTTCTGGTGGCGAAGATGTTAATCGAAATATAATCTCTATAATACCTCCTAAAATATTCCACAACCTATTTGAAAAGAAACCTCACATTTTGGGTTACGGGATGAACAAGGTATACAATGAACACATACAAATGAAAGGACAATTCATTTTTATCAAAAATAAAAACAAGGGAAATGCAAAAAAAAAACAACGAACGTTTAAGCTGGACGTGTGAGGTAAACGCAACTGTAATTATATTGTCAATACAATATATATTTGTCACTTTTTCTGTTTTAGGTAATTATGCAAATCTTACTATACTATATACTTACTATTGTAATAAATTTGCAATGCTTTACTCGTGTTGTAATGCTCATTCCTCAGATTAATTGTCTTATTCCTTTGAATTTATTTCATATCAAATAAGTTAATGTTGTTCTCAAATATTTGTAATCAAATTTACATATTACCAATATTTGAATGATTTATGAAATCAACCATCGTCGCCTTTAACTCCTGTCTAGAGTACAGTTTTGTCCAGTTTAATTGAAATTTGTACCATGACACAAAATTATGAACTTCAATAAACCGCGTTGTTCTCATTATAAATGACTAGAATCACATAAGTCATACAAATCCGTACACTTTTTGTTTGTGACCTACTTTTAATAGTACGTTTGTGACCTACTTTTAATAGTACGTTTGTTCGGAACCACATCGAATAACAAACCCATTATTAGAATTGGGATTATATGCGTTTCTTTACTTTTTAGAATCTAAGAAACAAGGTCTTTATATGAAAGCATAAAAATTGTTTATTATTGCTTGTTTCTAAACCTCGAAATCTCGTTATCTCGGCTTTATTCAAAATTTCCGGCTACTTCGAGATAACGGGAGTCGACGGTATGCCATACCACGATGGTTGCAATTTTTATTATTGCAAGGATATAGAGGCATTGTCGTGCATATTGTACGGCTTATAATACTCTATCTGTTTTTTAAGTTGTCTTTGAACAAATAACGTCTCTTTATATTTGCCTAGGTACTTACTTAGAAATGCTGATTTCATGAGCGTTTGCTCTCATAAACAAATCTCGTATGTCTGCTTAAATAGTGTGTAAACCAATATATAAATGGGAGATATACTGTCACATTTTATATCTTTTAAGTTACTTAAGTCGATAAAACATAAGCTCACAAAGGCCATGCAAAGTTTACATTAATTTACAAAAAAAAGTTCATTGTCCTCTTTGGGCAGGTAATCAGATAAAATTGAATGATACAACTTTCACTTAACATGTTTCGTTTTATTAACTAACGTATTGTTATGGAGATGACTGTGTTTCTGTTACCTTTTCTATTTGTCGGAGGAATATGCCAGAGAAAAGGTATGTTTAGGATATTAATGATATATGAACTAAAGTAAAATAAAATTATAAAGCATTTTCAGTATGATTACTTCACAATGACCCATTCAATTCGTTTGTATGGATAAAGAGACAATTCTGTAACAAAAAAGTGGCATTATGCTTATTTGTTCATCGTCAAGTTGAGCGGCGTTTACTTTACATTTCAAAAGATTGATTGTTAAAAATGGTGATTGGACACCAGTTGATATTGGAAAAAAGTTTTATGATAAAATATTAATCTACCTAAAATATAAAACGTCTGCGCCACTCTTTTTATAAACTGAACGTTACAGTTGACTTCGTATGGATGTTTACAGAAATGTTTTCGGGCCACTCGAGATATGCTTTGTTCATGCGAAGTCAATCATTAAATTGAAAGCAATGATGACACTCTCATTAAAATCAGATCATCGTTTTCGCTCCGTTACTCTTCGCTACGAGCGTACGGTAGTGGAGCGACAGTAAGTATATGATTTGAATGAGATTGGGAATGATGACAAAAGGAAACCTTATTTTGACTTTCACTTGTTCACTCCCGATTTACCCTTGGACCGTCATAATGTCAATTTAATTTGGTTCTGTAGATGTACATATAAATGTAATTTTGTGCTACCATAACAAGTGGCAATCTAGTTTGTACAGCTGTAGAGACTTTGTGACATTTACCAACGCAAATTTAGTTACAACCTGTTTCTTGTCAAAATTTATCTTCACAAATCATACGCCAGGAAATCTTATTTACACCTTACCGAGGAGGTTAATTTTTTTTAAAATCAGACGGAGTAAAAATCCGCATAATGAATATACAAAGGAGGAAACAAACAAAGGATTAAATAATATAAATGAAAGCAAAAGATAAGCTGTAAGCATTTATAGTTTTACTGAACAACTAAATTCTGAAAGTGAATTATTACTTAATCATAACAATGAGTCTTTAGCCAGCCATTAGAAATATAAACGTGTTTTTATCTTTCTAAAAATTGACACATTAATTAAAACTTATTCTTTCAAATCGATGTTATAAACTTCACTATAATAATCCACTAAAGTTATAATAAAAGGACCAAATATCAAATAGATAATTTGTGCTTGATATACTAGAGTGGTTTATTACATAAGAATCACGTTTCTTTGAAAATGAGAGATATGTAAGCTTTGCTCTCAAGCCATTGGCGGACTTTCACTTACGTTTCATTATTTCATGGCTGTTTTGTGTATTCCTTTTAGAAACCACTCTGGGGACAATTAGTAATTAACAATCTTTGCACAAAGTTTATCAACCTCAAAGGTTTCAAGGGATTTAACCCCAATTTTGGTCTTTATGCTGATACATAATCTACTACTAGTATATAACTTATTGTGCACCCAGAGTGAGTCCATATCAATCAATTTACAAAAGAATTCCATAACAATTAAGACACTTTCCTCATACTGAAAAACGTCTTTTAGAATTTAACTGTGCAAAAATATAGAAATAAACAAAACGTTAAATATGTACATAAGTTATATTATGTGTTTTGTTTCATTTTCATCTATTCTTTTCAGATGAAACTGAACTTTTGAAAAGATTTATTGACGCTCTTGCCGATATAAATCAGGAAGATAATTTCAGAAATAGTGCTGAAAGGAGTATACAAGGGTATGTCAGTACTAGTTTGAATGATAGAAAAATACAGCAGAAAAATGGAGTACTAGGAGAAAGTTTTGAAACAAAACAAACATCCAAAGATCGGAGTGAACACGGGTATAATGATAAACTCCCAAATTATCTGTCAAACGATGAAGTCGGCCATGGTGACCTACATAGCGCCATAGACGCATTTATGAAAGCTAAACGGTAATAATTTTACACTATGATAGTATGATTTTATTAAGCAATCAGTTATTGTGAAATGTACTGAATTAAATTTCATTGTTGCATTGTTTTGTGCCAATGAAGTAAATTATGATTTCTTATTTAACATACTAGATAAAACAACTTTTTTTCCATTAGAAATGAATACAACAACACTTCATAACTGTAAGCTATTGCATATTAGCTTGGATTATCTTGCGTGAAAACCGGTGCTGTTAAAATGGCATCCTACTAAAATGACCCCTACTTGTAAAACTCTGCATGACAATGTACATGGATTATATATAAAATAAAAAAATAAAAAATATCTTAATCTGTTTTCTATATTTTTGAATTGTTTTTCTACTCAGAGCTCGAATTTTGCCACGATGGCTTCAGCATAGTGGATACAGAGGTAGAGGTACCACAACAACAATAGCAACAACAACAACATGGTGTGGATGGTGGTTCTGGCGATATAGATGCTGATATAGATAAATGCTATTTAGCTTAAGCAAAAATATTTCATCAGTTTTACAGACAAACAATCTGATATAATATTCAAGCTTTTGAGGATAGACAATATATATAATATGACAATATATATATAGCAATAAACCATCAATATCACGCTTCAAACAAGGAAAATGTCAACAAAAATTATTATTTTTTTATTTGCACTCGATATGTCAAGTTTATATATAAAGACTATAAAACATTTCACACTCCACTGAAGTAGCCACATATTTCAGTAAGTTTTCATATGTTTGAACAAAATGGTGTATGTTTGGACGACTTTTTTTAAATAACTGTTCTTTTTTCCTTATTTTGGGTGGAAGCGCATTCCAGCTAATAAAACAAGAAAAGCATTGGTGCAAAGCACCAAAGGGCGTCCAAGCAAGAAATGCAGCAGGTGAAGATGAACTAGTAGATATATGATTATAAACTTTTCAATGGTTAATTGGTTTTTACCAGAATTGTATATCACTTATGAATGAACGGACGAAAGACATTGTTCATTATTAACTTTGATTGGCATGCTAGAGATTAGCATATTACTTGTTATTTCTTTATGATCGTGGTTATTAATAGCAACGGATATACATGTATACAATCATTTATAATCCATATGTGTAATGCATGATCAACACCACACTTGTGTAATTGTCCCTTATTATGTTATCGCTATTAGCGAAAACCCTCTCTAAAGCTACCTGTTCACACTTACTAACAATATGACACTGGTTACATTACCATGTTGATCATGTTGAGCATAATTGTTTATTATACAATAATTGTAATATCTATTTTAATAAAAAAAAACAGATTTTATGAATATTGTTTTCTTTTCTTTTTTGTGTTTTATTTGCTATTTTAATACTGAGTTTTTACCTTTACTACTATTTTAAGAATTCAATTGTCATATTGACCGACGATTATAAGTAAAAACTTAACTGGAAAAAGTCAGTAAATTATGGTTAATCTTTCAATATATAATATTGTTTATTCTTAAACCATATACATGTACATTTGTATTTTTCTTTATCATTTTTTAAATTATCAATCAATTTAATAATTCATAAAATCTAATTTGTAACTTTGAATAATTCCTCGGCATCGTTACTAAACACGAATAACAAATTAAATAAAATGTTTCAAAGTTGATAGTGTCATATTAATACCATAAAAATGTGCCTTTTTTATCAATTATTGAACATATTTATTGTTTTTATCTCATATAGATAAAATAAAACATGCTATTGTTAATTGTTGTTGGGGTTTTTTTTCGAATTGTATGTTTATGTATAATAATAATCAATAAATTTGAGAGTTGATCTGTGTTTATTAATTATTGTAACCAAGCTAAGTGACAAACATTCATTTTGAAAAAAACTTATATAACTGTAAAATATTTGTTCTGTTCTGTAACAATATCAAACATCTACTTATCTACTCCAAAACCGGGAAGGACCGGACAATAAACGTGTGGTACTATTCGCCGGTCACTAGTAAATCCCGGTCAAAATAGACCAGGAGAGACCGGGAATTGCCGATAGGAGTACATCCCTCTATAAATAGATTTCGGAATAATTAGGTCATCAACTCATCATTCTATTCAGCTTCCGGATACATGTACCATAATAACCCACTGTGTACTACAGAATGATAAATAAAAATACCCCGAAGAATGCGATTTATTGACGGAAAAGGTTATTTCATTTGAAAATGTTTGCATTGCGAAATTCTCCAGTTCGCTATTCACTGTATATATCGCGACATTTCATTTTTAATTAATAATCAAGCACCCTCATACGTTTTCGACGTCCATACCATTCATGTATACAAACACGATTTCTGGTCGATTTTTACGAAATAAACAAAAAGCGGCTAGAATTTCCACGTATGTTCAATAAACAAACTCTTTTCCTATCGATCTGCGAAGTCTTAACTGATCAAATGCCCTCTTCATACGTAATTCATTAGAAAATACAAAAGGATCCCGCTTGTGACAGTATTTTATCGCCATGTTTAGCGCATGTATATACTGTTCCGCTCTGAATATTATATAAGGATTTGATTGGTTAAGACAATTATCGGAATACTATTGACCAATCGTGTAATATTATTTCTTTGCTTCATTTACCTGTCACTTCAAAATCAAAATGGCGCACTTTACTTGAGCTCCGCTTCTACAACCAATATTTTTTAAATATTTGCGTAAAAAGAGGGCTCTAGTTCAATTTAGACTTCGCAGATTGATAGAAAAAGAGTTTGTTTATGAAATTTATGAGGAAATTTTATACTTTTTCTATTTATTTCATAGAAATAGACCAGAAATCGGGTTTGTATACATGAATAGATTGGACGTCGAAAACGACATGGATTGAAAATATTGGCATTTTGTGAAACTTTTACTCATTTCTTTGCTATTTGAAGAATTTTCATGAAATAAAAAGCGTTAACGCTTGGATTGATCCTTTCGAATGTCGACCAGAAAGAGATAACCGTATTCTGGTCGTTTCTTGCAGCAGTGTTCTCGTTTGTTCAGCATGATGTTTGTGTTCTGTAGGAGACCTTATATCTTATTATAGTATATAGCCCACTTAAAACTTTAAAAAGTTTGTTTAAAGCACCTGTGATAAGAGGCGCCGCGCTTCGGCGCTGACGCCAATGAGCTGCCGTATTATAAACGTTTTGTGTCGTAGGGAGACCGTACAACAATGTATTTCAGTAGACTTGTCTGAACGTTTAAGTGCTTTCGTGGCATCGGTGTATTAATTCGTTATTGTGGGCTTTTTCCCTTATTGCGTGGTGCCTAGGAAGACCGGTTGTTGCATCATAGTTTTGAGACCTTTCCATTGAAATTCTGGGGTTTGATTTTGTGACAACAGGGAGTATGTTTTAATTTTTGCCTATAATACAAAAGAGAAAGAGAAAGAATATCAAAAACACTCGACAATCAATGTTACTCGGGGGCTATGTCCCCTCTTACAAATCAGATAGCCTAGTGTTTCGAGGCTCTTTCTATACTTGTTATTAATTCTAGACTCCGAACCTACAAAAGTTTATGCTTTGATCTCTGATTCATACATAAATTGTAAGTAATTTCATCGACAAGCCTGCATTGCGCTGAGATGAAAAAATACTGTATACATTTGTACCTGAAATTCCTTCAGCTAAAACATTCGTCCTCCGTAAATGTATACCTGCTTGCGCAGTTATTTATACAAGATTTGACGTTATTGCAAAAAATGAACGATCTCATCCCATATCAATGAGTAATTATTTTGATCAGTTACCGTGGTACTGTAAAATCAATTTATCTAACGTACGAAACTTTTCGTTTGTATTCAAATTTAGTACGGTAATAAATGAATGCGTCCAGTGTATTTTTATTTGCTGATATGAACATGATGAAATCACAGAGAACAGGTAAACGATTATATTTTTACTGATCTGAAAGAAAATTTACAAAGTTTCAACTGGTACATTAACTTTTTTCATTTTACGTCAATTCATTAGAGTGTAACCGTTGTACTTATAAAAATAAAGGTTTCATATATAGGCTTGAGTTTGAAAGTATTATACATATATTTTGAGAATATTCAAGCATGATGAAGACTGTTTTGGTGTCCTGTTTTTTAGTTGTTGGCTGGATAAGTCAGAGTTATTCTAACAAACAAGGTAAAGTACATAGAGGAAATCAAGAAGTTTTTCTATAAATACAGGATTTATGTATGAAAATACATATATTTCATGAGTGGCGGTAGCCATAAGTGAAACATGATATGGTTATCATATAATAAAACAAATCCTGTATTTATGGGAACAAAACTTGCATTTTCTGTTCACTATATATATTTTTTCTCTTTCTTGACAGATCAATTTGAAAGAGAGTTCCACTTAAATTCTGTGTATTGGCTGTATTTAGAAGAGCGTAGTCTGGCAAGACACAAGTGAAAAAAACTGAAAATTAAAATACATATTTTATTTTAATAAATACTTCTCTATTTCATTTATAAGTATAAATTGAAGAATAATACCGTAGAATATCTAAAGCAGATAAATGAGAAAAAGTCATTTTTGTAAATACTAAAACTGGAGCACCGAAGTAACCGTTGTGACGTTGTAAAATGTGTATGAATCACTTTGTGTTTATATTTCTGATAGTATTTCGGCTAATGTTTCAATATACCGAAATTTATTAAGTGTTGTATGTGTAATTACAATAATCAAGGTCTTTCAAATACAAGAATTTGCACTAATTATCGACGACACACGAAGTAAGGTTTTACAAACGATCTTGTACAGTAAAGACTTTTCTTCGAATAAAATTGTATCATTTGGATATTCTAATGATATATCTTTCTTGGGAAAAAAAAACTTGATATAGTGATTTAGTATGCAAATATATATAATAATTAAAAATATTTTTTCCAGAACAATTAATAAAGTACTATAAAAAGATATATAGTACCGGGTCATGTATCTTACTTTTACCAACAAAAACTACATAAATTATTTCATGTGTGTTGTTATAAATGGTACTTAATACTATAAACATCATTTTTGTATGGTATTACATACCTTTCAAGATAGACCACTTCACTTTAAAGATATGCTACAGGCTATATACAGGTCGTCCTAATACAAATGATCCATAACAAACAGATATCTCGTGGAAAAAATCTAAGTAAAATTAAGTAGTTTAACGGCCATTATATGTTATTCAAATGATATAGAAAATTTAGCCTTTGGCTTCTATCTGACGATATTGCATTAACATTTCATCTTTAAAATCTAGATTTATCGTTGCAATGAAAGCCCTGCAATGCTTTCTCATCCATGAAAGTGTTTGACGAGTTTTCTAATTGAAGTCAACTATAAGTATACATTTCTCCTTTTCCAGCTCGAAACTTATGAATTTACTGTTTTTAAATCAATGTGTCTGTGGAATAGAAAATACAAAAAATCTTTCTGTCAATACAAAATACAAATAAGTACTTTTAAGAAATATTGTCCATTTCTTACGAACAATCGTTGATGTGTCATTTTGTATTAGATATACATATTTATCCGCTTCTGACTTTCTTCCTTTCAAATAAATATTTGTTTTTGTCAATAAGTTAATTATAAGATGAATCCGGACAGATGATCAGGTAGTTCGGTTTTTCAAACGACACTTTATTAACCATTATCACGCTAAATTTTAAAAAAAGGACATGTCCATTTTGTCTTTAATTTAGACAAAACAATCCATTATGACTGAATCTTACACGTACATTTGCCCTTAAAGTTTGCTTCTGTACCTTTTGTGTTTCAGCGTTTCACTTAATATGCGTACAATATTGAACAGCGTTTAAATTTTAAACTCAATTAGTGACATGTGACATGTTACATCAAACAATAAAATAAATAAATTTCAGATGAACGTGAACTATTACAGAAGATTGTCGACGCAATTGCTGACCAACATAGGGAAAACATTATAAGAAGGATTTTCACGTCAAATGAAAATCAGAGAAGCATTTACAAGAAGGGTGGACTCGTTGGGAAAAGTTTGGAAGCTAAACCAAATTTAGAAGATCGAAGGGGAAACAAGCATCATGATAAGGTGTCAGAACACAAGATAGACAAGGATGATGCTCTTGATAGGGCATTAGAATCCTTTCTCCAAGCTAGAAGGTAATAAAAGCATTTGTATGCTCTTTCCATTCAAACGATTGCTTCCATCTTATTCCTAGGATGATATATTTAATGGCTTCTAAATTTTTACGTTATCAGATATAGCACTGTACTGAATTGCTAAATGATCTGCAGTGTCTAAAAAAAGGTGGCATTTGTGTGATATATATTCATACGAAATGTTATTTTTCTTTAAGTGATCACAAAAGTTTTACATTATTGATGATTCCGACTATTATATCGTTTTAAAAATGTTTATAAATCTTGTACTTTACCAAATATTTAACACAGAAAGTGAGTTCCAATGACAAAATTAGTCTTACGCTTATGAATGCATTTTTTAAATTTAATTATAATTGATTAAATATCTTGAATAAATATAACAGTACTGTTAACATGAATCTATGCCCAAAGTCAGCTTTCCACATTCTAGTGATCAATGTATCGAAAGCTAAAAGGATTTATTTCTATACAGGGCTCGTGTTTGGTATAGATGGCTCGAACATGGGGGATATAAAGGTTCCAACACAACGTCAACGACTACTCCTATGCCACCGCAAACACCCCCAGCAACAACAACAAAACCAAAGATTCTCTGGTGTAGATGGTCTTGGTGGTGTAGGAAATAAATCTGTATGTCTTGTCCAGCATTTTTGTTTGTTCGTACTTTTCTTTGCCAGTTGGGCAACATTTTCAAAAATAAAACATTGTTTCTGTATATACAATGTGACACATGTGTAGAACAGCAAATGTGTATCTAAGATATTCTTAGATGTTTGCGGTATAATCTTTGATCCTAAGAAAATCAATAAAAAGTATCTATTTTTTAAAAAGACGTATTTTTGTTTTGAATCAGTTTTGTTGCCGTTATAGGTTCTCCTGAATTCTCAATCCGATAAAAATATAGAGGATATTTGTTTGTTTGTGTGTAGATGAAATTTTATTTCATCGAGTGGGCTTTAAAAACAGTATTCTCACGAGTGGCGTAGCCACGAGTGAGAATACTGTTTTTAAAGTTCACTCGATGAAATAAAATTACATCTTACACAACAAACAGACAAATTTTCTTTTTATTTTATGCTTAAAAACAAGTTAAAACGAAATTTCCTTAATTTTAATGTTAATATTAAAATCTGTTCCCCCCATTGAGAGCCCCATTTAGACGGAATTTTTAATTTAAAACAAGAAGTCTTGAGCTGAAAAATAAGTCCGCCAATCAAGGTTAAATGACGGTGATATTTATTCATTTTATAAAAAAAATATGAATGATCGCTTGTTTTAATAATAAAAACAAACAATTCTTGTAGGAGAAAAAGTCCAACCATCCATCCATACTTCTGTTACTTACTGCGAATTTATATTAGACCTGGCTTTGTAAAATGTAAGCGGCAGCCATTTTTTAAAGTTGTGTATTTCATGGGGAGGAAAATAATTGTGTAAGATTCAGAAGGATATAATTTGGATTTGTTAGTCATACACCTTTTTAAAAGAAAGAAAACTTATTTGAGGATTGTAACAGACAAAAAATAAGTGTTGACAGAAGTGAAAACATTCAGAAAAGGAGCTAGGAAAATGGAAAACTTGGAAGCTTGCTAAGGACATGAAGGAACGCTGAGTTGTTTTACTTATTTTACGAGTGATGGCTGTCAATGCTTTTCAATTGTTCATAAAGCATACGGCAGTTATTGCTCGTAGGATACTTTAATATGCCCAAATGTCATCAAGAGCAGTTTTGCATGGGGAAGGAATGTATTTTTCAGACTGTAAAAACAAACAAAAAAATTTAGAGACGAAATTTGGTAATTGGAATTTGAAGGAATAGAAGTAAGTTTTCTCTCTTTATTACTTTTGACATTCAAGTTATTTATCTATTTCAGCTTTGCTATTTCTTTGAACAGCCTGATATTGTCAGAATTGTCAGTAAAAATAAAATTGAGGTACCACATGGGGAAAATCTTAAAAAAGTAGTTTCGTCATTGAAAAAAGTGAAATTATATTTTGATTATTTTCACTGTGAAATTATCAAATATAATTTTCACGGATAAATCAGTAATCCACTGAAAAGCATAAAATAAATAAAAAATATTAACTATTTAATGGAATGCTCGTGTTGTAAGAGGTCATCTGTTGTAAGAGGTAACATCTGAATAAACATGTTTATTATTGCAAGAATGTGTTTTTGTCTTTTAATCAACCATTTATCTGCTGATGTTGTGTGATGGATTTGACCAGATTTGAATTTGTATGAAAGAATCTAGTTATTTCTTCAAATTAATCCTGTATCTACTGAATTTTATGTTTTGAATTTGATCAGATTTGAATTTGGAACAGGGTTTTTAAAGTTTAAGGCATTTCACAAACTGAGCTACCTTGTTAGACTGCATGCATGTATAGTCTAGTCAGTCTTTTACTGGTTGCAAAGGCTAATCTCTTTTGGTTCCTGGAGGTAAATGGTGAACGCAGCATGCTTCCAGATTATGCTAATTTCCATGAAAATTTGAAAAAGTTTTGAAAAATAAGTAAATGATTGTAAAGTGAACAAATGATGTGTAATTTACAGATTGTAAACGGCACTTACAATCCACTTGAATTACATAAAATTAGTCGAGATAATTATGCAAAAATAGTCTTTACTTCGTTAGTCAAGTAGTAGGAATATGATGATAAAAACTGCAAATTCAGCTCATAACAATTAATTTATTACTTGAATCTTAAATCGTTTTTCCTTTTTTAATGATCTTAGTACACTTTTTCATAAGTTTGATTTTCTTGAACTATATCTGGTGGCATGCCACTTTAAACATGAACTAGACAGAGGTTTGTAAAGTCAATTATAAACGGACGATCTTCACATCAATATTATGTATGTACACCATCGTCGGATACCCACGGCCGAAACATCAACATTAATCAATTATCAGTTACATGTTAATCAACCGTGGGTAAACACATCTACTACAAATTCATGTAATAGAGTAAATAGAGTAAATGTGCAGTGTTATTAATATGTTGTTAACAAAGACAGGTTATATGACTGTGTTGCCAAAACAATATATTCCTGAATGTTCCTTAATAAAATATTTTATTATAGTCACTGTGCATATAATTTGTTAAAATATTTTTATCACGTGACTTTCCGTATTTTCTGTGCAATATGGCCAGAACGTATTTATTTTATTTCCCACCTTATAAAAAGTAACCTATGGACTTCCAGCATTTGCACTAGACGATGTTCTAATAGAAATCACCATGGGATCTTAACTCATAAATTTGAACACATTTTTATTTCATGTCGGTCTAAAATATTCGTATCAAATGCATATTGTATATTTTTATTATAGCCTCGTTTTGATTTTTCAAGTCCAAAATGTCCTTACCAAATTACATTGTCCTCAATAAAGCCCCGCTTTCATTTTCCTAGTCAAAATGTTTTAAATCAAAGTCATGTTATTTTCAAAGAAACTGTATTTTCAATATAATACAAAAAACATTTTATTTTGAGTGTTTTTCATTGTTGTGTAACATACTTATTCTTTTGGACTCGTATACAGATGCATAATGTATGTAGAACTTGGTTTCCGCCTCGTCCAATGTAGTTTTAACAACTGTGTACTCGTCAAATATAGTTATATGTTTGGTTGGTAAGTACGTCGTACTAACACTGTCATGAGACGACTTTCAACATTAACTGGTAAAGGAAGACCTCAGATGGCCTTATTATTTTAGGCACGAATGGGCACCGTGGTAGAACCACCAACATCCCGTAGGATCAGCATAATACCACATATAATAGCCTGCTCATATTATGACGCTCGTGTAATAAAGCGGTCACTTTAGTTCGTGTAATATAGCAGTCATTTTATTTCGTGTAAAGTAGCGGTCACTTTAGTTCGTGTAATATAGCGGTCACTTAAGTTAGTTTAAACACATTTTATTTAGCAAATTTACAAGCATGTATCATTTTACAATATATATGGATTGGAAAACAAGCATAACACTTATATTCATTCCTTTTCACGATGGAGATTTATCTTTATCATTCAACTTTACATAATCAGTGCAAGTTTAAAGTGCAAAATTTATCTAAATTAATAAATTTTCGAAAAGTATTATTTGGTGTTGAAATGATAGCATCTCGTCAGCAATTTAATTAACGCAGTCATGATTTAGAAGCGCGAATCCGTTCAATGTAGCAAAACAAGTCTAGCAAAACAGCCGTAGGGAAACATTTTAACATCTTCAAACAAATTATTTTTTGTAAGAAAATTATATAACAAAACTATAGTACAACAACAAATAGATATAAACTTAAATGTCAAAAGGTATAGCTTTTCATTAATATCAATCTGATAAAATTGATGCCCTCGTTTATCGTATACATGTTATAAATTTGTTGTTGGCACACACTCTCCCACGCACAGTCTTTCAACATTTTGAAATACAATGTAATAACAAGACTGATGTACAAGATACAAGATGACTAATACATGAAATATCACTTGATATAAGTTTCGGCTCCCCTATACCCTGCTATCTTTTTTAAAAGTTTTGTTTTGATATAAAATTGGAACACACAATGGTGGTATTTGCAACAGAAGACCATCAATGCGTTGGCACCATCACGGTTACTATGAAGTCTACGTTAATGCGGGTCCATACCCCCTTAGGGCACTAACTAATGCAGTTTCCGCTGTCGATTAAAGTAAAGTAAAGAAAAGGAAAAAAAGTAAAGTAAAGTCAGTACGTACGCACGTACGTACATAAGTAAGTAAATTGTGCATACATTAATTTCACATGCATGATAAAAATACATACAAAGACACCCGGCCAATGGGACTTATAAGTCACTTTATTATATATATATACAAATATGAAACTGTGAACAATACATAGCTTTTATAATGGAATATTTAAATCAGATAATAGTTGCTGCTCGATCTGTTAATTGTAGTATCACATTTTAGAAAAATGGACAGTCAATATATCATCATGTTTTACTATTGGCATACCTATTATACAGCAAATTTCTCCTTAAAATATATTGTTTAACAAGAAATCTCATTTTTTTATTCTGGTGTTTTTGTTTTGTTTTTTGTAGTTGTTTTTGTGTGTGTGTGGGGGGGGGGGGGGGGGTGATAAGAAATACTAGTACTAATTTTTCCGTATTTGTCATGCTATTATATATATCATTTATAATGTCATATATAACAATGGTTTTCAGAGACGAAGCTCTGGCAATGTTAATCAACAAGGAAATGCTCGACACAACATTCATTAACTGCCTCGACTTCGCCGACGTCAACAAGAACAAGTCAAGCTTCTACCATCGACACACAAACAACATCACAAGCTGGTGTCTGGAAATTGCTATTGAATCTTTTGAAAATCTAAAACTCATTTGACTTATCACATACCATCCTTATATATTGATATATTTCTAACACAAACAATCAATTTAACCAATTTAACGGATGTCTTCGAAGCTGCCATTTTAATCACGCTCTAAGCATTTTATGAAATTGGGAAACGAGTCCAAAATTACATGAAAGTATCCAAAATCAATAGAAAGTATGTCTATAACAATGGCATTGTCCTTTTTTTGCTGAATGTAAATATACCATGAGGAGGAGCCAATTGTAAGTGATGGAATAAAGTACAGGGTTAGTACTGAAGACATTTACTATTCAAAAAGATAAGGAAATGAACTCCTAGATTTGCCGTTCATTAGGGATTATGGGGAAGTGCATCATCATCCACACCTCCGATGACATCAACTCTTCGACATATAGAGTGTTTGAAACAATTATCCCGAAGGACTATAAAAATATAACAACATTGAAGTGGCATTAGGCCTGTTGTGAAGTATGCAATTTGGAATGTTTATCAAGCATTGTTAATACTTAAAGATTATAATGTTTATAGAAATTACAGGTTTCATATTAATCACCGTAATAACATATCTGTGTACGTTTCTTAATTCATAATTTCACCCTTTTCATGTGTTAATGTCGAATTCTGCTCGAGCCGGTGGTAGATGTGTGGACGGTAGCTTGCAATTACCAGTATCGTCAATGAACATGCTCTATCAAACCGAGACTGCAACACTTTCAATGTTTTCGTTTTGAACGTTCTTTATTGATTATGTTTTTCTCTTTTATTAAGTACTATTTTCTTCAGACAAAATCTTTAAGTACCGTTTCAATAGACAACAAAGCATAACTACAACATATTTTATATATTCTATAACCTATAACAATGTCATCATTTCTTTTATCAAACTTGGACTTATCTTATCGCTGCCATATACATGTACAATCATAATAAATGAAGAGATAGAAACAAATACATATTCACATGGCAAGACTCATATTTGAGTAACCGAACATAACATTACACCTCTTATGAAACAGGAAACACTAAATATATGGAGGAAGATAGTATTCTCAATGACATTTGATAAGTTAACACATAATATTGATTACACTGACATAAGTGAATTAAAAATGAAATAAATACTAAATAAATCATATCAGTAAATGCTTTCCGATTTTATAACGGAATGAGGTATAAACGATTGAGTAATGTTCATAAAGTAACTGTATTAGTAAGCATGCTAAAGTTTACAAAATAAGTTTTAAAATTAGTATGATTAAAATGCAAGTAAATTAACAAAATAACATAGATATAGACCAGTAATGAATGGCTATTGAACCAATCTGTGGATATTTATGAATTTCAAAATAAACAGCATATTATATTTTTAATCAAATAATGAGGTATGCTTCAGCCTATACTTTTTGACAATTATAAACATCATTAACCTCTGAATCATTATTATCCTCATTTTATGACGACTGGAAATATTGCTTTAGGCTTATGTTACTGAGAACAAATGAAATAAATAAAATGAAATAACGATTCATGTTCTAAACAGGTACATTTTGTCTGAATTGTTTCACCGAGTCTATTCCACGGATCATATCGGCCGCTTTCTCAGCCACCATTATGGTCGGACCATTTGTATTACCGGATGTGATGTTAGGAAAGATTGACGCATCAACGACTCTGAGGCCTTGGATACCCTTGACCCTAAGTTGCGGATCCACAACAGCGGTTGGGTTGTTTGCAGAACCCATTTTACAAGTACCCGTTGGATGAAACACAGTTTGCAGCACTTTTCTTACTACACATTCCCAGAATTCGTCTGAGCGGAACTTGAATCTTTCACAAAATGGCATTTTTGCGTCACTTATTTTTACTCCTAGATCTTTGAATGTATTAGTTTCCATAAGTTTCTCCCAAATCCGAATTGCTTTAACATATGCTTTAATATCCCTCTTATCCGAGTTATAATTAGGTTCTATCCTTGGATGATCGAATGGATCTGAACTTTTCAATTTTATCCGTCCTCTACTTAAAGGACGTGATAAAGTAATAGACGTGATAAATCCGTGCAAATCATTGTCCATTTTATTTATGATACTGCGTGCGACCTCATCATTAAAATTAAAAGCATTGGATCTTAATAAACCACTTACAAATGTTAATTGCATATCAGGATAAGTTTTCCCGCTTTTTTCTTTATCAAAGTGAAGAAACGCTGTACTATCAAGAAGAGTAAAAGCTAGAGGCCCGTCACCAAACATGAAGTAGTTAACTATTGACCTCCAGCTTTTTATAATTCCAGGGGTTAAACTGTAAGGTTTATTTATATTACTTTTCAATAGAATCATTGTATGGTCCTGAAGATTTTCGCCGACTGGTAAATCCGAAATAACTTTTATACCAAATTCATTCAGATGATGCTTTGGTCCTATTCCTGATAACATTAGCAACTGAGGAGAATTAACTGCACCGCCAGATAGTATAACCTCTTTCCTTACTTTAACATACATTTTTCTCCCATCTCGAATGTAATAAACACCAACAGCCTTTTTATCTACTATGTTTACCTTTGTAACATGACTGTTAACAGATATATGTAAGTTTTCTCTTGATGCTGTACCTCCAAGGTATTCCAAGCTGGTACTACTGCGGACTCCATTTCTTATTGTCTTCTGTATAACACTAAAGCCTTCTAAATTCTTGCCGTTGTAATCTTGAACAGGGTACCCTAACTCTTCTCCTGCCTTTAAATACTTATCTGATAACTGAGTGACATAGCTTTCAGATACCGCTATCGGTCCACCCTTACTATGATAAGGTGAAGACTTCAAATCGTCTATTTGAATATCTTCGGATTTCAGAAAATATGGGAAAACATCTTCGTAACTCCACCCATAACAACCACTTCTAAACCATTCTTCAAAGTCAAAACGACTTCCGCGAGTGTAAATTGCTCCATTTAGAATGCTTGTCCCACCGAGGACGCGCCCGCGTGGCCAGTAACATCTGTTTTTCTTTTGTCCATAGCAAGAGTCCTGACTCGGCTCTGTATAATATTCCCAATCATTTGAAGTGTTGAATGCTGACATTTGCATTAATGGAATATGAAGTCCTTTGTTTACATCATAATGACTTCCGGCTTCTAGAAGTAAAACTTTGAAGTCCTTTTCTTCGGATAGTCGCGATGCAAGAACGGATCCAGCTGAACCACCTCCAACTATGACATAATCATAAACGTCATCAGGATATCTATCAAGAACGATACGTGGAGGGCTTTTAGTCATATAATGGTACGTCAATGCTATGACGAGAACTGCTAAACTAAGTTGTAAGATTGCCATATTCACCTGCAATTTTAAATAAAATGTGATTATGTTATTTGTACGATTTTGTTACATTTTTTCAGCCCTTTCTTTGGGGTTAATGATGCAAGACTGTAGCTTAACAGGTGTCAAAAACTTCTGTTCTTATGTTTAATGAAATGAAAAATAATCGAAATGAGAGCAGTAATTAAAGCTATATAGCAGTATGTTGCATGTATTATTTGAATGCATTGTTACTTTGCCGGGTCTTTTTTTTGTTGTTGTTGTCTTTTTTTAAACAATGAAAAAGTATATCATGCATAGCAAACTGGTTTTAACGATGATTAATGTATCGAATACAAAGAGTATTAAAAAAGATTCGTCTTCCGACCAGCTTCAAATGAAAAGTGATATGATCGTAGTTCATAAAATGACACACATACTTAAAGTTAATCGACTACAAAGTTGCCGAGTCTTTTATGAGTTTGAAAAAGTCGCATGATTTACTGCGGAATGACACAATTAATTTTTCGAGAATTAGAAATTATTTCAAAGTGAATAAAAACATCACATGCATATGCTTAATATTTTGGAACCCGTTTTCTTTTTTAAATCTAATGCATTTTTGTCCATTTGACGAATAATATGTCCGCACAGGCACGGAGCTATTTGTGTTTACAATGTTTTTTCTTCCAGGAACACGATTTTGATCAATTAATCCAGCTAAAAATAAGCTTGAAACCAAAACTTCCTTCCGATTTCTATTATGTAAAAAAACTGGAAACAAAGTGATCCCTCGGAAGCATTAATCACACACCAAAGTTACATAAGAATTGCAGACTCGTTTGATAGAGTCTGTACATGAGGGATACTGAATAAGTGCAACATTCCTCACGCCCCCAGCACCGGCTTGAGCGGTACTCAATTCACAACACTTAATAATGCTGGCATCAATGATCCCGAAGGACAAGAAAAATATATTCATATATATATATATATATATATATATATATATATATTATATATATATATATATATATATTATATATATATATATAATATATATATATATATATATATTTATTTATTTATTTATTTATTTATTTATTTATTTATATAGTAAAGTCATATTTTGCGTGGTTTTCGGGCATTTTGATTTCCGTAACAATCACTTTTCTTAAAGCTTCTGTATTTTTAGAAGTTGACAACACTAAATCATAGGAAAAATGAATCCATGCAAAATGAAATCGTTCTATATATAATAAACATTTGTCTAAAAAATTTCCATTAACTCCTTTTGTATAAACTAAGGAAGTGGTTGGGAAAGTGCCACGATACTGTTGTTAGAACTGTTGGGCCAACCCTTTTGTATGTACACTTCATTATGTTGTAAAATTGTAAACTTTTACATAGTGTGTTTATTATACAATAAAGTTTACTTATTATGTATTATTTATTATTTATCAATGATAATTTTACACAGTCACACAATATAAACACTTATATTCATGTATAACGGGTTTGTTTATTTTTGGTTGTAAACACGACGTTTGTCATTGAAAAAAAGAAATTTTAAGCGATCCAATACATTTGTAGATTGGTGATTATCCTTTATACAACGAATGAAAAGCAAATTAAACGTCATGTCTGTTGCAATAACAAAGATACATAACAAGCCTATAAACTTTCAAAGCCTTAAAGTGTATTGCTAAGTACTGACAAATAGTCATAATAGGTCCTATAGACGAAGTTTAATTTAAAATTGTTGTTTCTAACGGTGATGACGACAATGTTTACAAAAGCAGTTAAGACACTATAAGCGGTGGAATATTAACAGCCAAATAAACAATAGCCGGTTGAACCACGTGATCCTCCCCGAACAGGTTTTGGACACAGAAAAGTATACCTCTTGTAGTTTCAGAGTTATGTCCAGGTCAAAGTTCAAAGTGCAATGATTCCAAATAAGGCAAGGCAGAGTTACTGAAACTTTTCACTGCTCATCTCTGAGATTTTTTCCCCGTATTAAATTTTATGTTGATATCTCTTATAGTTTTAGAGCTATGTCCTTGACAAATTTAAAAGTTATAAAAATGAACTGAGGCAATATAGCTCCATTATCAGGCAAGGTAGAGTTATGGTTCTATTGTATTGCACCACCTACCCAAGATCTATCTACCTACAAAATTTCATGTTGATATATCTTATAGTTTTAAAGTTATGTTCCGAACAAAATTCAAAGTATAAAAATGAACAAAGGCAAACAACTCCAATATTAAGCAGGGCAGAGTAACAGTTATTTTTCACTATACATCTATCTATCTATTCATAAAGTGTCATGTTGATATCTCTTATAGTTTATGAGTTATGTCCCGGACAAAGTTCAAAGTATAACAATTAACAAAGGGCAATAACTCTTAAAAAAGGCAAAGCAGAGTTACGGTTTTTATACACTGCACATCAGCCCAATAAGATCTAATTACCTACAAAGTTTCATGTTGGTATCTCTTATTGTTTTAGAGTTATGTCCCGGACACTGTTCAAAGTATAAAAATGAAAAAGGGCAATAACTCCAAAATTAGACAAGACATAGTAACGTTTCATTACTCCTGTTGTTTCAGAGTTATGTGTCGGATAAGAAAAGCGGACGGACCGACAAACGGACGGACGGACGGACAAAGTGGCGACTGTGTACTCACCTTTCGGGGAGCATACAAATAGTGACAAAACAATAATATATGTGAGATAAAATAATACTCTGTCCTTTAGTTTGATTATGTCATTTCTAAATCTTAAAAGATTTAGATTCTAATTAAGATAATTATTGCAATAATACTTCAATGACACAAGTGTGTCTGACATCAAACTTAAAAAATAGACATTCAGTTCGATTATTGGTTGAATAACATTTAGCTTATTTGTAAATAAAAAAAAGTTAAACTTACCTATTTCATTTGTCTTTTAGCTGTTTAACTAGTGTTGACAACTAAACCAAATGCTTAACATAGGTTTAAAAAACACACATCCGTTTAACCACTTATATTCATACATTATCCTAGTATTAAAATGTGCGTGATTTTATTTAAGTCAAGGACATTGTGTTTTTGTGTAAAGCGATCATTTTACTTAAGGTATCTCCGACTAACAATGACTTGCAAAATCTTGGTTCTGCACAAGTAAATTTAAATATACTCAAAAAGTTATAACACCACATATGAATAAAAGACATTTAAAGTCGAGTATAGAGGGAAGCAGTTGTGGGTATAAGTTGCGCGGTCATTGACCGAATTTTCAATTTAAGGTTTAATGCCAAATATGGCGAACCATTTACTGAACTCACCTACTTGTTAACTATACTTCCGTTAATGTGCTACGTCGGCGTAGCGTTGCATTTTTTTTAAATAAAAAAGCTTACATGAAAGTTGTTTTCATTTTTACGATGTAAGCGGTAGCTTGCATTTATCAGTACCGCCGTCCATCGACTGGCTAAATGAAACAGGACCTGTTTTGAAAGATATAAAGATTTCCTTATTCACTTTTAGTCCATTCAAATTTACTTTGGTTCGATTGTGTTTGAAGCTATAAGCTTATTGAAACACTCTCGAACTCGTTCCTGGAACGAACCAGTATTAAGCAATGAATGTTAAGTTTCTTGTTCATTGAAACAACGGCTTTCCCCTGACAAGGTTTGAACCCATGCGATCAGCAATCCTAAGATTACTAATCCGACGCGTTAACAACTTGACCACGCCACAACTCATTCACTATTGTATCTAAACCAGATGCAAACTGATATGTACAGACATTTATCTGGATATTTTGTAGTCATAAAAATAAAAACGAAGTTTAGGCAGGGGCTAATTTGTTCTTATATAGCTACATGAATGGCTTATCTCCAACTCGTAAATTTATAATAATAGATAAAAGATTTCAGTTTATGCTCTGCACTCCATTATTGAGACACCTCACCATAAAATTACTCTTTCCTTTCACAGTTTACTACACTCAGTGATGTACATACTCACATATGAATGCTGCCAAAGAGACAAAAGAATTTGAAAAACGTGATATCAGAATATAAACGAATATAATTGTAAATAAGCACATACATGGTAAGGGTTCATGTACCTGAAAACAAAATCCAACGAGATGAAAACTTATTACTTACCAAATCGAGTGACTTGGATAAAGTTAACATTATGTATAAATTAAATTCTTAAATAATTTTGAAAGCTTTTAACACAAAAAGAATGCATGTGTAATTCAATCATTCAAGAAACCGAAGATCGGAAAACATATTTGATGCAATTTCAACCAAAGTGAGGGCCAAGGTCAACTAAAACCATGTGAAATATAATTTATGATCAGATATAAAGATGATAGAAGAGGCAAATATATTACAACAAATTTTTTTTTAAACTAAGAGGTCTGCCAAGTATTTAAATGTGTCCGTATATATTGGGACAAATATTATCCTAGTGACAATATTTCCAACAAATCAAGTAGAAGTCCACAAAGTGATCTCATGCAAAACATCTTGCAGTTCTGATGGAGATTTTCTAAGTTTCAAAAAATATCTACTGACATGCATTAAACAATGTCACCCTCTGGCGAAAGCAATTGCCCCAATGGCCGCAACTAGAAGTCCACTAGTAGGTAATACCCATTGTAAAATATCAGATATATTTGCCTTGTTGTTCCGGAGAAGAGGAATTTACTTCTTCCGTTTCGCTCAAAGTACTTGTTAGAAAAAAACCGAAGAAATCATTCTGTATAAAATCTTCTGTACCCTTCAAATGAGGGCACTGAGCACAATGAATGCTGAGAAGGCTCTTTAATAAAGGCTCACATTTTGTGTTTCGATATTGAAAACCCATAAAATTTAAGAGGATTGTTCAGAATTCAAAGAATTACAAATGTAGTTAATCCATTAAAAACGTAAGAAGGTTGAAGCTTAAAACATAATTTGTTGAAATCGTAAAACATATTTTGTTGAAATTGTCCTTTTAGCACTTTTTTCAAATAATCTAAAAGATGAAGGGTATTTATGCTGACATAGAAATGTATGTTGCCATGCCCATGTGGATTCAACGTCATTGTGAACTGTAAGAAACTACATCGCTTTCAAGCAAGTTGATTCCCTACAGTTACAATCACCAACCAAGGATTGACTAGTGGATAAGTTTTAGATTCCCTTTGCTCCGATGTGTAGGAAAATTCTTGAAAGGAATAGATCTTTAGAGGCAACGAAAATAAAAAACAAAAACTTGAAACTCTCAGACAATTTTAAACTGTGATGTTCATAAGAAAAATAAAAGTGAATAACATCGGCTTAATCGGTTTTCAGTCTTAAAAACACTATCAGTAGTGGTTTTCATCGATCCGAGAGGGCAGTAAAAAAATCACAAACCTAGTGAAATATTACAAAATATTATTATTTGTTAGTTTTCAAGATCTTAAATAATCAGGTTTTATCTTCAAAAATTCCACAATTTCAAACTTCATGATTCCACGATTTCACATACAAAAGCTACAAATTCACGATTTCAACTTCGTGCATTCACGATTTCAACTTCAAAATTGAAATCGTGAATTTGTTTGTGTAGTTTAAATCCAGAATTCATGAAGGTGAAATCCTGAAATTCAGTGAATTCCGTATGTTTAAAAACGTGAATTCATAAATTCAGGAAGACGAAATCGGAAATTTATGTTGAAATATCCCATCGGTCTTAGGTAAAATACGGTACAACTTCTTACATATGCATTCAAAGACTTAACTCGTGAAAACAAAATCCCAACGAGATGAAAACTTATTACTTACCAAATCGAGAGACTTGGATAAAGTTAACATTATGTATAAATTAAATTCTTAAATAATTTTGAAAGCTTTTAACACAAAAAGAATACATGTGTAATTTAATCATTCAAGAAACCGAAGATCGGAAAACATATTTGATGCAATTTTAACCAAAGTGAGGGCCAAGGTCAACTAAAACCATGTGAAATATAATTTATGATCAGATATAAAGATGATAGAAGAGGCAAATATATTACAACAGATTTTCATTTAAACTAGAGGTCTGCCAAGTATTTAAATGTGTCCGTATATATTGGGACAAATATTATCCTAGTGACAATATTTCCAACAAACCAAGTAGAAGTCCACAAAGTGATCTCATGCAAAACATCTTGCAGTTCTGATGGAGATTTTCTAAGTTTCAAAAAATATCTACTGACATGCATTAAACAATGTCGCCCTCTGGCAAAGCAATTGCCCCAATGGCCGTAACTAGAAGTCCACTAGTAGGTAATGCCCATTGTAAAATATCAGATATATTTGCCTTGTGGTTCCGGAGAAGAGGAATTTACTTCTTCCGTATTCGCTCAAAGTACTTGTTGGAAAAAAAAAAACGAAGAAATCATTCTGTATAAAATCTTCTGTACCCTTCAACTGAGGGCACTGAGCACCATGAATGCTGAGAAGGCTCTTTAATAAAGGCTCACATTTTGTGTTTCGATATTGAAAACCCATAAAATTTAAGAGGATTGTTCAGAATTCAAAGAATTACAAATGTAGTTAATCCATTAAAAACGTAAGAAGGTTGAAGCTTAAAACATAATTTGTTGAAATCGTAAAACATATTTTGTTGAAATTGTCCTTTTTAGCACTTTTTTCAAATAATCTAAAGATGAAGGGTATTTATGCTGACATAGAAATGTATGTTGCCATACCATGTGGTTTCAACGTCATTGTGAACTGTAAGAAACTACATCGCTTTCAAGCAAGTTGATTCCCTACAGTTACAATCACCAACCAAGGATTGACTAGTGGATAAGTTTTAGATTCCCTTTGCTCCAGATGTGTAGGAAAATTCTTGAAAGGAAAGATCTTTAGAGGGCAACGAAAATAAAAACAAAAACTTGAAACTCTCAGACAATTTTAAACTGTGATGTTCATAAGAAAAAATAAAAGTGAATAACATCGGCTTAATCGGTTTTCAGTCTTAAAAACACTATCAGTAGTGGTTTCATCGATCCGAGAGGGCAGTAAAAAATCACAAACCTAGTGAAATATTACAAAATATTATTTGTTAGTTTTGAAAGATTTTAAATAATAAGGTTTTATCTTCAAAAATTCCACAATTTCAACTTCATGATTCCACGATTTCAACATACAAAAGCTACAAATTCACGATTTCAACTTCGTGCATTCACGATTTCAACTTCAAAATTGAAATCGTGAATTTGTTTGTGTAGTTGAAATCCTGAATTCATGAAGGTGAAATCCTGAATTCATGAATTCCGTATGTTTAAAAACGTGAATTCATAAATTCAGGAAGACGAAATCGGAAATTTATGTTGAAATATCCCCATCGGTCTTAGGTAAAATACGGTACAACTTCTTACATATGCATCAAAGAACTTAACTCATGTTATTTGAAAACCAATATTCATATAAATATAATAGTTTGTGATAGGCTAAGGGACATGCATGGTAGCTTGCACCTTTAAGTGCCGTCTATGAACATGATCGATCAAACCTTGCATGCAACATTTCCGATTTTGCCGTTTTAAATGTTCTTTAGGGAGTCTGTTTCTCTCTATATTTTCTTCTCTTTGTTTGCTTGAGTTTATCAACTGTAATGAAAAGAATATGGACCGATTGCCTGACTTTAGAATTGATTTTTCAATTGACTGCAAAGTCTTGTGTTTTGTATTGCCTCAGTCATATATTATTCATCCCTTATCGGCTTGAACCGGAAGTGATGAGCTTTTGCCACTAGTAAAAAACAATGTCAGCCTACATGTCTCCGCAGTTTGACCAGATTCAAAATCTTCAATTATGCAGTTTTGGCCGATTTATAGGGATTCTTATTTTCTCTATTTATCGCCCCGTACATTCAGTCAGAGATGTTACATTTTCGGTCCTCGAAGATCGTTATAATTGTGTTTGTGGTACTTTTAGTTCTTTCAATTTATCCTTTTTATTAGTAGGGTGGTTCTAGTATTCCTTATTTGAAATCTAATAATCCCCCTAAGGATATGATGCTGGTTCATATATTTGAATTTTGACAGGTTATGACAGGTTATGAAGCCTTCATAACCACTGATCCCCTTTCAAAATTCATTTAGCTTTGCCCATTATTTTCTCGTTTAGGGCACGCGTATTCTTTTATCTCAGGATCATACGCCGCTTTTCATGGAATGGCACTAACGTGTCACATTTTAAAGGCTCCATGATAACTGCCGTATGACCACAACTGTGGATGTTTCCAAATTTAAAGTTTTACCATTTCATAATTATTAAATGTTCAATTCTATCTAGTGTGAACTGTAGTTTGCACTTTCCATGAATAGGCTCATTCAAATTGAGCCTAAATTCTGGCTTTTTGGGCGTTCTTTAGGGATTCTTATTTTCTATATCCTATAGATACTGTTGGTAGCTTATTTTCGGTATTTTGGTATTGAACACTTTTTTTCAGAAATCTTGACTGTATTGATAGAAAAAAAGGAAATTAGCGTTTTAAAGTTTTAGATGCAAATTCTGCAATAAAGTCTAGCGTTCTGTATCAATATACCGTTTTTGAAAAATAGAGCCTCAAATATTTAAAGGATGAGAAAATACGTAGTCTTTCACATAGGAGAAAGAAATCGTGACTTGTGGTATGTCCCCTTTTAAATATTATGATCTAAGGTTTACTCGTGTTTAATTAAAAAAAATGTATTACAGTATTTTTTTCTATTATAATATCATTTAATAAATGCTGTAAATATTTGGATAAAAAAGTTCGTTGATTTACTTTATATTTCTGTTAATATTTTCGATAATGTGAATTAAGGAGACTGGGATAGACTGTGCAGTATATTCCACTGCAGAGAGAACCACTGAACACATATATTTAATAGTGTTTGTTGTTTTTTTTGTACAAACGTTTTGAAGTATTTGCCAAGGATAAACCTGTTTTATCGGCGTGATATTTGTATTAAATAAACGTCAAAATTATAATTTCCTAATTTTTTTCACTAACTCATGAAGTATTCTTGACAAAACTTTATAATTGACATTAACCAGAACAAAACTGAATATTGTTATTCATATTAATGTCTGATTTTTTAAAACAAAATTCGGGTTCAAACAAAGCTTCCTACTTAGTATCAATCTCCTCATTCTTGAAAATCCTGTTGCACGAAAAAAGGCATTGCCTTGCATATGGACAAGCTGTCAAACACTCGGGATGATCCGAATTCTGTTTTATCTTTCTGCCAACAGTAAGCGCCAAATATTCAAATACTATCTTGTGACCAGATTTATTAGTGTACTTATTTCTCTGATAAGGAGAACAAATAGCACTTTCATCAGAATCATTTCCGTAAGATTAAAAACTTTTATAACCGTTTATTTCCAAATTAAACAAGTTCTATTACTTATCCAATTCGTAGTTTCTCTTGCTCTTCATAGCTTGTAACCTCATGGAACGGTCCTTCGGCACGATCACTGATTAAAGTTTTGGTCGGGCCCAACTAAAGAATTTGCCATTATTTTCTTTTAGCGATCTATAATCGAGTACGTCTCCTTTCGTTTAGCAAGCACAGCTTCGGTTTCTTGAACACCGAAACCTTTAGTTATGAATTCAATTCCGAAAATTTGTCATTTGCGATTTAACGAACTAGTTCTCTCTATCTTCCCATTCCAAGGACTTTTCAAGTCGTATTCTTTTGCTTTAGCTTGATCAAATCCGATTGGCCTTTCGAGTTTATTTACTTTCCGTGTATGCCCGAATCATGTTTATTTAATAATGATAAAATAAGTAATCTCATAAACCCACACATCTCAGCTGATACTTGTAAATTGTTCTACATGTGGAATTATTGAATGTATCGGCACCATTTTCTTTTTTGACTTGAAAAACCACTTGCTAGCACTATGTACCCACATATGATTAATATATGCATGAGGACTTTGTACTGCGTTAGCCTTTTTCTTCTTCCAAAGTTTACATCCGCGCCTTACTAAGTCATTCCAGAAACTATATAACACACACATTGTCGTGAACTTAAGATATGCAAGAGTTCCTGTATCAATTGAGTCCATGAAATACTGTGAATTTACAACATAAGTAGCGTTCTCTGTTTCTGCCGACTCTAGTTTAGCTTGGTAAAAATATGGTGTGTCGTCATCTATGTCAAATTTAAAAATGAAGTCACCATGCGAAGGAATTTTACTGAATTTTTCAAATATATTTGTAAAGAAAACAGTCCCTGCCGATTGTAAAGAACCACTGAAGTGTGCATAGTTTGGTAATTCTTTGATAAGTTGGAGATAGAATGGATGTTTCTTTCTACACAGTAAAATTGCATTAGTTAAGAAGTAATTTTGACCATACCATACAGCACTGTGCACGAAAGGTTCGGGCGATAGTATACAAGCATATTTCATAGTAGCACGATCAAGAGGTCGCAGGCATTCTAAGTCAAGATCTGCATAGACACCTCCAAACTCATACATTAAAACATATCGAAGAGCATCTGCCTTTACAATTGGTCTAGAGTAACTATCGTACAATGAAATAAGGTCTGGGTGACGTTCAAGAATCAGTGCTCGCGCTGTCTCATCCGACCAAAAATAGTACGTCCAGTTTGGATGAAAACGTAAAAATGACCTGATATTTTTCTCATATTTTGAAGGAACTCCCTTGCTTTCCTTCCCTCCTGAGATATAAACAAAATGAATGATGTGAGGAATTCTGGGATATTTTGAATCAACCGTCTTAATATCTTCTATAACTTCCGGTTCAAATGCGTCCCGATCAATTTTGATGACACGCCCATCATTGAGCACTGTGTATTCACCCGGAGATTCACCTAAAAGGGAAATTCAAATTGAAACAATGTTTAATGGTCTGAACAAATGAATAACTTTAAAAAGAAATGTTTAGTGCACAGGGCTGGGAATCAAAACTGCGTCATATCCTACAAAATGTAAACAAACTCCGACATTTTGGAACGAAGAAGGTATTGTTTTGTTTATTACTTTTCGTTAGAAATGACTGAAAACCAGATATATTTATTAAGCTCCAATATTCTACACTATATTTGGTACATGTTGATTGCACCAATATTTTGTCAAACAAACCTTGCAACACGAAGAGAGCCAGAATTCCTATGGAGTTTTGTGGATACGACGCAGTTCATATTGCTTTATTCACCGTTTTTTTTTTAGTCAAATTAATTATATACTCGTTTCAGAATTAACCATAAACTTTAAAATATAATTTTACATTTTTTATTATCAACCATACATGTGTCTTTCTTATTTCAACTTTCATCAAGAGGAACAAATGTAAACCTTCTTTTGAAAATTTAATGAATGGCAAAGTTTTACATTAAGGAATGAATCGTTTATCCCAAGGTATACAGTCGGACTTTTTCCCAATTTTACAGGCATCAAGACAGGGTCAGGTGACTATTGCATTAATGTACTTAATATTCATAAATAATTTAATGAATGCATTAGACTGCAGTAAACACTATTTTAAACTAGACAGTGCATCTTTTGGATGTCCAACATGCGCCGATAACATGGTTCTACTTTCTTTATAAAAAAAAATGGTTTACAAGAACTTTTAGATATATGCTACAGCTACTCTCTACAAAACATATGTTTCAACAACAGCATGGAAACAAAAATTGTGGTTTACAATGACACAGATAATGACAATAAATTGAAATGGTATTTAGGTACTGATAAACTAGAAGTGTGCAATGAATATTTACATTTCGGAGCTCTGTGTACAAGTAATTTAGACTTAACTAAAGTAGTAAGTGAACGAGAGCTGCACAAAATTACGAAAAACATTTTCAGTTTGTCTGATAGATGTGTTAATAGTGGCGAACATCGAAACATCTATATGAAACTGTTGTTTTACCTAAGGCCCTATATGGCAGTGAACTTTGGAATGGGTTATCACAGTCACAAAGCCAGCTACTAGAGAAAGCACATAGACAATGTGTTAAATATATTAAAGGATGCCGAAATACACGAAAACAGAGGTACATGTAGCTCTGAGTCTACTTGAGATCTACCCAATTTAATACTTTATAGATAAATGGAAGCTGCAGTTATTTGACCAGTTGTTTGCTTTGGATAGCTCAAAAAGAATCAAATCTATGTTCATAAAACGATTAATAATGTTTATGTCAACCCCTCAAACATGTACAGATTTCATACCAGACATTTACAGAATTTTAGGAAAATATGGCTTAATCAGTGTGCTTACAAATTTTATAAACGATGCGATATTTTTTTCTAATATTCAATGGAAATCATTGATATCAAAATCTATTTATAGATTTGCTGATTTAGAGTAGAAGTGGAAACAAATACATGTATGCGATGAAAGTTTAAAGATTCTGTACAAATTCTCAATGCGTTTGTTCCATGTGCTATATGGAAATTTTGTCAGATCTACAGAGATTATGTTAAATACTGTGTAACAGCTATTTTTGCTTTAAGTCGATAGTTTTCTTTTCGTGTGTCTTGTAAAAAGTGTAACTTAGAAACCTCCTCTATTGTTGTTCATCTAGCATTGTTTTGTTATGAAAATAATACTGTACGTTATGATATGTGGTGTAAAATTACATGATATCCTTGGCGATGAATTCAATGTACTAAGCAAATTCAATCCCGATGGACAGCTTATTGAATTATCAGGTGGGTTACCGTCATTTTTTAATGAGAGACTATATAAGGATATCATGTTACAAGATTGATATTAAGAAAGTTTCATTCTATATGCAACATTCTTAATTTACCCATCTGAATAGAAACGTTATTAACGGGATTTGAAATGATAATGTTTCAGCAATATCTTTTTATATCATGTTAAATCCTGTCTTCATTTAACTAGGGTTCATTATGCTATGATAAAATACAATTTAATGGTATAACTATTAATAATATCCTCTTTTAGATACTTCTTTTTCGTTTCGCTAAGAAACTTAGACCAGAGCAAATACCTGAACACCATTTATATATATAAAGCCTCAATCTTTGGCTGAAACAAATAAATCCAATTTTGACAATTCAGAAATAAATTTGCTCCCATTTAGCTCTAATTTAAAACTATTTGGTTGATGCCAATAATTACGGTAAACTATTTAGTACAGGATGAAACACGCATACTGTATGATTAAAATATTATCTTTAAATTTGAATATGTATTATATGCATTGTCTTGTATTTGCTGTTTTTGTTATGTTTAATTTATCACACACCCGTGCCGATTTTGCGACTCCGTAAATATGGTATTGCACGGCCGTGCATATATTTCGACGTGACGTCATTAGCGTTATACAAACAAGTGTAATGTAAGCGTTATACTATAGGCGCGTCAATGAAAAATGACTCTTATTTCACTTTAAACGGTCTTTATTTTGGGTATGTGATAAATAGAATATTAAATTCGTGTAAGTTCATTACTGAATTTATTGCACTCGTTTACTAAAATAATATTATGCTCGCCAGAGGCTCGCATAATATAATTTTATTCAACCCGAGCAATAAATACAGTATTGAACTTACACTCATTCAATATCCTCTATATATGTTTAATATCTCTAAGTGCATAGCCTGTATATATTGAACAATTAATAACTTAATATTCTTAAAAAGAAAGAACTTACTTGTCATAAACATATAAACTACCAGCAGCACTAAACACATACAAACTGAAGCAAAGTATGGGTTTCTCTTGATTTGGTTTAACATCACTGTGAATATTCCTTCTTTTTTAAAACAAACTTCCTTTTGTTCTGTAGTTAAGAAATCTTTAGTTAGTCCATACGTAAAATAATCCGTAAAATATCTGTATTTGAGTTTACAAATTCGGATCGTCTCTGGACAAATGCTAAATGAGACAAATGTAAAAATACATTGATTACAATACAGGTCTTTTGTTTATTGATAATTCAAGTTTAAGCCTATTCAAAATGTCCTATTGATTATGTGAAATGTATATGACTTGTATAGTTATCGTGCTTAAAAACTCGTCCTCGGGTGAATAATTGCATTTGTTCATACAAATATTACACCCAGGAAGCAAATTCATGCATTTTTAAATTTTATTGACACTTCATAGCGTCAAAATATTATCAATTTGAATTGTAATTATTCAAATTCGATAGCACTTAGTACACCTAGTTAAGAGAACAAGGACATTGTGTTTGTTTTGTATGTTTTATTCCTTTATGTGTTTGTTGTTTTTGCTGTTGTTGTTGTTTTAATAGCAAAATCGTCTGAGCCATCAAATTTTATTTGCTGTATCCGGGAATTTTTATGGCTAACATCTTACATCAAACAACCTACATTAAGAATCAAATGGCTGCAAGCTTTGTGGTATTTTCTGAGCTTTGCAATCTAAATCGTACTGTATATCTCATGGGTGCAAGGTTTTAGGCATATGCCTGAAGCTCCATTTTTTGTGACAAATTTCATCATGTTTTACCATTAGATTATGTAGGAAAATGATTATGAATAAAGGTTTTCAAATTTTCAACTTGCACCCTAAATATCTGTAGGTATTTTCCTGTATAAGTTTATTTTTATGTACTATAATTCATCTTGCAGGGCACCAGAGTTTTATACATACGGAATTTTGCATGACTAGAGTTGCATCAAAAAATCATTTATGTTCATTTTTTATGACAGCCACACTTTATCCTTGCATATTGTGGCTATTTCCTTAACAAAGATACTTAAAAAAGAAAAAAAAAGCCTGAATAAAATCAAGTAATACTAAATTTACAATTTCCATTGCATTTCGGGTTTGTAATCCTTATTGATTTCGAGGTATTTTGTTCACGATGAACATGTTGTTTAACATTGATGTAACTAATTTAGCGAAAATCTTCTCGCCAAAACAGTCCGACATGTATGTATTCCACTACTCGACAGTCAGATTTATTTGTGTAATACGCTCTGATCGACATCGCTAAAAATAGCATTTTCATTGACTAAAATCATATTCATCCGCGTAATTTGTGATTGTGCATTTATTGACAATTCTATAACCCAAAGCTACTTTTAAACTTTGAATGCGATGTAATTTGTTGGATACTTGTAACAAAATAAAAATATTTCTTTCTTTTAATTCGCTAGTTTTAAGCTGTTTTAAGATCTACTTGTTGTTAGGTTTGTCGTGAACCGCTGTGTCAGAGATTGAATGTCAGCTTTGTATTTCTTGATCTTCGATCAGAAAATACAAAAATAGAGCTGTAAAGTAGGCAGCTTACATCTAAAACGTAAGGTAGCATTGCGATATAAATGTATTACTTAATCATAAGTTACGAATTCTAAATTGTACACAGAAGTTCTGTTGATATGTTGAAATTACCGCCATAATACACGGAAGTTCTGTTGATATATTGATATTATCGCCATTATATACACGTAAGTTCTGTTAATATATTTGTATCATTACAATTTTACACCTAAGTTCTGTAGATATATTGATATTATCGCCATTATACACGTAAGTTCTATAGATATATTAATATAAATGTCATTCTAATGTTAACTATCGCCTATCTTTTAAGTCGTAAGTTTCTTACAAATCATTAATAATTTATGTGGATTCTGGCATTTCATCCATAACTTTCATCTTATTTAACGTAACACGCTACTACCGCTTTTGGCGTAATGCCTTGGATAGTGCTACTTTTTATCCCAAAGTGGGCACCTTATTTCTGTAACAGGCATTATGTTACAAATGTAGTAGCTTATGTTCATAGACTCAAAACTTACATTATTAGAAATGGCCCTTTGACATAATTTTTGTAGGAGAAAGGTATGCCTGGCACAATGATCTTGTTTTATTGGGCTGACCGACCAAACTTTTCGCAAAATCCTTTTCACTGAGATTTTTCTGCTGATCATAGGACTGACTTTATTTAAAATGTAAATATCCAACATCATATGCTAGAAACTTATTTAAAAAAGCCGTTTTCTCAAGAAAACAGTGTTAGTTTCTGTTCTTGAATAATCTTCATTGTTGTAAACATCACCTTTTTCTCCAGTCACCTGATGTCCCATCTTACGGGTTTCCATGCATTTTTAGCCAATCGCTGGCCATATTACAATACAGTAATCTGACCTTAAGCGCTGAAATCCAAAATCCATCAGTGTGTAGATGTTTACTGCCATATTTCCAATATTTCATGTTGGATAAAAACGTAAGCAAAATGTTGTTAAATGAAGCTTAATCAAAGGTATTCGAAAACGCTTTAAACCAAACTGTCACCGACAACGCTTTAAGCCAAACCGTCACGAACAACGCTTTAAACCAAACCGTCACCAACAACGCTTTAAGCCAAACCGTCACCGACAACGCTTTAAACCAAGCCTTCACCAACAACACTTTAAACCAAACCGTCACCAACAACGCTTTAAACCAAACCGTCACCAACAACGCTTTAAACCAAGCCTTCACCAACAACGCTTTAAACCAAGCCTTCACCAACAACGCTTTAAACCAAACCGTCACCAACAACGCTTTAAGCCAAACCGTCACTGACAACGCTTTAAACCAAGCCTTCACCAACAACGCTTTAAACCAAACCGTCACCGACAACGCTTTAAGCCAAACCGTCACGAACAACGCTTTAAACCAAACCGTCACCAACAACGCTTTAAGCCAAACCGTCACCGACAACGCTTTAAACCAAGCCTTCACCAACAACGCTTTAAGCCAAACCGTCACCGACAACGCTTTAAATCAAACCGTCAACAACAACGCTTTAAGCCAAACCGTCACCGACAACGCTTTAAACCAAAGCCTTCACCAACAACGCTTTAAACCAAAACCGTCACCGACAACGCTTTAAGCCAAACCGTCACGAACAACGCTTTAAACCAAACCGTCACCAACAACGCTTTAAGCCAAACCGTCACCGACAACGCTTTAAACCAAGCCTTCACCAACAACGCTTTAAACCAAACCGTCACCCACAACGCTCTAACCCATTACTTCATGAGCATTTTGTGAAAAATGGCTGTTTTCATTGAAAAGTCTCCCGTTACAAGTTCAAATATCTATAATACTATAAAAACTGCTTCAACACTAATCAAACTTGGCACAAATGTTGACTGGACCATTGCCCTTGCAACAACATGCTCAGACATAAATTTTCTGTTACCATGGCAACGAGGGGACATCTCAAAATTGCCAAAAATCACTATTTTGCGTTGATTTTATCCATCATAATTGATTTCAAAGAGCTGCAACTTCTCAATGGATTGAGATAGAGTCAAATGCTTTTCAGCGTTGGTTACACGTTACCTTATTGATCAATCTGGAGTCATTTATAGCCTCTCACAAGACCAAAATTTTTCTTGGCGAAGAGGGGACTCCGCCCCCTTCAAACCCCCCAAACAGAAGGGGGCACATCCCCCTTCTGGCAACCCCCTGATGTATCTTTTTGGTTGGGGGCCGCGCCGAAAAGTGGTCACTTTTTTTTAACAACATTTCTCAAACAAAAACAAGTATTAGGGGCCTAAATAAGGCATTTTTTCACCATTTGAGACAACAAAAAGGGGGGGGTGAAAAAGGCGTTAAAAGGCGTGTATATGAAGTAATGGGTTAACAGAATATGATGAAAAATACTTGAAATTGCCCTAAATCGCGTTTTTCCATGTTTAAACATGGCCTGTCATGTAAATTTGAAGAAAAATTGTGTTTGGTAGATTTTTTTTTATTTTTTTCAATTTAACCCATTACTTCATGAGCATTTTGTGAAAAATGGCTGTTTTCATTGAAAAGTCTCCCGTTACAAGTTCAAATATCTATAATACTATAAAAAACTGCTTCAACACTAATCAAACTTGGCACAAATGTTGACTGGACCATTGCCCTTGCAACAACATGCTCAGACATAAATTTTCTGTTACCATGGCAACGGAGGGGGACATCTCAAAATTGCCAAAAATCATATTTTGCGTTGATTTTTATCCATCATAATTGATTTCAAAAGAGCTGCAACTTCTCAATGGATTGAGATAGAGTCAAATGCTTTTCAGCGTTGGTTACACGTTACCTTATGATTCAATCTGGAGTCATTTATAGCCTCTCACAAGACCAAAATTTTCTTGGCGATGAGGGGGACTCCGCCCCCCTTCAAAACCCCCCAAACAGAAGGGGGCACATCCCCCTTCTGGCAACCCCCTGATGTATCTTTTTGGTTGGGGGGCCGCGCCGAAAAAGTTGGTCACTTTTTTTTAACAACATTTCTCAAACAAAAACAAGTATTTGGGGCCTAAATAAGGCATTTTTTCACCATTTGAGACAACAAAAAGGGGGGGGGTGAAAAAGGCGTTAAAAGGCGTGTATATGAAGTAATGGGTTAACAGAATATGATGAAAATACTTGAAATTGCCCTAAATCGCGTTTTTCCATGTTTAAAACATGGCCTGTCATGTAAATTTTGAAGAAAAATTGTTGTTTGGTAGATTTTTTTATTTTTTTCATTAACCCATTACTTCATGAGCATTTTGTGAAAAATGGCTGTTTTTCATTGAAAAGTCTCCCGTTACAAGTTCAAATATCTATAATACTATAAAAACTGCTTCAACACTAATCAAACTTGGCACAAATGTTGACTGGACCATTGCCCTTGCAACAACATGCTCAGACATAAATTTTCTGTTACCATGGCAACGAGGGGACATCTCAAAATTGCCAAAAATCACTATTTTGCGTTGATTTTATCCATCATAATTGATTTCAAAGAGCTGCAACTTCTCAATGGATTGAGATAGAGTCAAATGCTTTTTCAGCGTTGGTTACACGTTACCTTATGATCAATCTGGGGTTATTTATAGCCTCACACAAGACCAAAATTTTATTGGCGATGAGGGGGACTCCGCCCCCTTCAAACCCCCCAAACAGAAGGGGGCACATCCCCCTTCTGGCAACCCCCTGATGTATCTTTTGGTTGGGGGCCGCGCCGAAAAAGTGGTCACTTTTTTTTTTAAAAACATTTCTCAAACAAAAACAAGTATTTGGGGCCTAAATAAGGCATTTTTTCACCATTTGAGACAACAAAAAGGGGGGGGGTAAAAAAGGCGTTAAAAGGCGTGTATATATGAAGTAATGGGTTTAACAGAATATTGATAAAAATACTTGAAATTGCCCTAAATCGCGTTTTTTCCATGTTTAAACATGGCCTGTCATGTAAATTTGAAAGAAAAAATTGTTGTTTGGTAGATTTTTTTTATTTTTTTCATTAACCCATTACTTCATGAGCATTTTGTGAAAAAATGGCTGTTTTCATTGAAAAGTCTCCCGTTACAAGTTCAAATTAATTCTATAATACTATAAAAACTGCTTCAACACTAATCAAACTTGGCACAAATGTTGACTGGACCATTGCCTTGCAACAACATGCTCAGACATAAATTTTCTGTTACCATGGCAACGAGGGGACATCTCAAAATTGCCAAAAATCACTATTTTGCGTTGATTTTATCCATCATAATTGATTTCAAAGAGCTGCAACTTCTCAATGGATTGAGATAGAGTCAAATGCTTTTCAGCGTTGGTTACACGTTACCTTATGATCAATCTGGAGTCATTTATAGCCTCTCACAAGACCAAAATTTTCTTGGCGATGAAGGGGACTCCGCCCCCCTTCAAACACCCCAAACAGAAGGGGGCACATCCCCCTTCTGGCAACCCCCTGATGTATCTTTTGGTTGGGGGGCCGCGCCGAAAAAGTGGTCACTTTTTTAACAACATTTCTAAAACAAAAACACGTATTTGGGGCCTAAATAAGGCATTTTTTCACCATTTGAGACAACAAAAAGGGGGGGGGTGAAAAAGGCGTTAAAAGGCGTGTATATGAAGTAATGGGTTAACAGAATATGATGAAAATACTTGAAATTGCCCTAAATCGCGTTTTTCCATGTTTAAACATGGCCTGTCATGTAAATTTGAAGAAAAATTGTTGTTTGGTAGATTTTTTTATTTTTTTCATTAACCCATTACTTCATGAGCATTTTGTGAAAAATGGCTGTTTTCATTGAAAAGTCTCCCGTTACAAGTTCAAATATCTATAATACTATAAAAACTGCTTCAACACTAATCAAACTTGGCACAAATGTTGACTGGACCATTGCCCTTGCAACAACATGCTCAGACATAAATTTTCTGTTACCATGGCAACGAGGGGACATCTCAAAATTGCCAAAAATCACTATTTTGCGTTGATTTTATCCATCATAATTGATTTCAAAGAGCTGCAACTTCTCAATGGATTGAGATAGAGTCAAATGCTTTTCAGCGTTGGTTACACGTTACCTTATGATCAATCTGGGGTCATTTATAGCCTCTCACAAGACCAAATTTTCTTGGCGATGAGGGGGACTCCGCCCCCTTCAAACCCCCCAAACAGAAGGGGGCACATCCCCCTTCTGGCAACCCCCTGATGTATCTTTTGGTTGGGGGGCCGCGCCGAAAAAGTGGTCACTTTTTTTTAACAACATTTCTCAAACAAAAACAAGTATTAGGGGCCTTAATAAGGCATTTTTTCACCATTTGAGACAACAAAAAGGGGGGGGGGTGAAAAGGCGTTAAAAGGCGTGTATATGAAGTAATGGGTTAAGCCAAACCGTCACCGACAACGCTTTAAGCCAAACCGTCACCGACAACGCTTTAAGCCAAACCGTCACCAACAACGCTTTAAACCAAACCGTCACCAACAACGCTTTAAACCAAACCGTCACCAACAACGCTTTAAACCAAGCCTTCACCAACAACGTTTTAAACCAAACGGCCACAGTTGATGATCTTATGTGCAGAAGATGCATGAACGACTTATTTAGATTCAGAAATTGTCAGTGCGTGGTGAATTACCAGCTTTAACAGCTACTACTTGAATTTCTTTTTAGTTCAGCAGAATTTGAAGTCTTAAAGGTTCAATAAATTGCTATTCATTACTATACTTGTGTAAAAATATAGATTAAATCTTTAGCTTTAAAATTAAATCAGTCATATTCATAATATTTCAAGCATACTGCCAAGCATTTATTTCAAGTTGATATTTGATCAGTACATCCCTTTGATAGATCACCTTAATATGGTGGCCGGTAGCGTCCATTTTAAAGCGGCGAGAAATTTAATCGTCAGTTTATAAAATGTCACGGGCAACTTTTAAATCCGCCAGAATTTGTGTCGAAATTGTATCAAATGTCAAAAGAAACTTTCGATTTTTTCTGCTAAACTTCTGTCGTAAAAAATCGAGCTTTACGAAGGAGACATTTTCTGTCTACATGATATACTAAGCCATGCAAACATATCTTCCTCTAGGTAGGTTGGTGACATTTTCTAGGTAATAAAGAAAGAATCTGTCAAAATATAAATCAAGTAAATACTGTGCACTTGTTTCGAACACGTTGGGATCGGGCTTAATAAGACTTTAAAGATAGCAATCAAAACTATTTAGTTTTAAAATAACATATACATTTTGTAATTTATTTGGCTCGATGAAAAGTTCTTGCAACTTATGTAAATTATTTTCTAGCCGCTTCATGAAACTCACTAGTCCTGGCGTAATAAGAGGAAACATGGTCGTTGACCGAGGAGGGCTCGAACCCACAACTCCTGTGTTGGGAACCTGGCACCTTTACCATAAGTATCTTATTATTCTTAATAACGTAAATTATAATTTCTTCAAGTAAGTCAAAAATAAAGAACACATAAACAGCTAATAAAGAAGAGAAAAAATGTACATTTATGTTGAAATGACTGAAAAAAATAAAATCAAAGACAATATCGGATAATTAATGTATTATTTTGTCAGGTAAATTTATCCGTGGCTTTCATTTATACAGAAGATGTTGAGTTTATAATTTTGTTGCAAATGGTGGTACGGACGCTTATACAAGATCTGTCCGTTTTTTTACACAAACAGTTACCTAGACCTTTTCGATCCTTGAAGATCGTTATAATTGTGTTTGTGGTACTTTTAGTTCTTTCAATTTATTCTTTTTCAGTATTCCTTATTTGAATTCTTATAATCACCCTAAGGATATGTTGCTTCATAAAGTTGACTTTTTGACAGCTTATCTGTGTGTGAAGGCTTCATAACCACTGATCCTCTTCCAACAAAAGTCCATTTCATTTAGCTTTGCCCATTATTTTCTCGTTTAGGGCACGTGTATTCTTTAACCTCAGGACCATAAGCCGATTTTCATGGAATGGCACTAACGTGTCACATTGAAGGCTCCATGATAACTTCCGGATGAACACATCTGCGGATGTTTCCAAATTCAAAACTTACCATTTCATATAAATGTTGATTTCTACCTAGTGTGAACTGTAGTTTGCACTTTCCATGAATAGGGTCATCAAAATCGAGCCTGACGGCATTGTGGGTGTTCTTGAGAGATTTACTCTATCCGATAGATACTGTTGGTAGCTCATTTTCGGTATGTTGGTATTAAACACTTTTTTCAGAAATCTTGACTGTATTGATAGAAAAAAAGGAAATTAGCTGTATAAAATTTTAGAGGCATAGTCTGCAATAAAGTCTAGCGTTCTGTATCAATAACCGTTTTTTGAAAAATAGGGCCTCAAATATTTAAAGGATGAGACAATACGTAGTCTTTCACATAGGAGAAAGAAATCGTGACTTGTGGTATGTCCCCTTTTAAAGATTATGATATAAGGTTTACTCGTGTTTAATCAAAAAATGTATTACAGTATTTTTTCTATCATAATATCATTTAATAAAATTAATGCTGTAATTATTTCGATAAAAAATTTGTTGATTTACTTTATATTTCTGTTAATATTTTCGATAATGTGAATTAAGGAGACTGGGAAAGACTTTCCAGTATATTATATTGCAGAGAGAACAACTGAATGCATATATTTATTTGCATTTGTCATTTCTGTACAAACGTTTTGAAGTTTTTGCCAGGGATGAACCTGTTTGATTGGAGTGATATTTGAATACACAAACGCCAAATCATATTTTCCTATATATTTTTTACTAACTCATGAGGTATATTCTTGACAAAACTATATAATTGACATAAACCAGAACAAAACTGAATATTGTCATTCATATTAATGTCTGATTTTTTTAAACAAAATTCGCGTTTAAACAAAGCTCCCTACTTATCCATCTTCTCATTCTCTTGCTCTTCCTAGCTTGTAACCTCATGGAACGGTCCTTCGGCACAATGACTGATTACAGTTTTTGTCTGGCCCAATTAAAGAATTTGCCATTTGTTTCTTTTGGCGATCAATAATTGAGTACGCCTCTTTTCGTTTAGCAAGTACAGCTTCAGTTTCTTGAACACTGAAACCTTAAGTTATGAATTCAATTCCGAAAATTCGTCATTTGCGATTTTACGAACTATAATTATCTCTATCTTCACATTCCAAGGCGATACAACAACAGATCGTATTCTTTTGCTTTTATGTGATCAAATCCGATTGGCCTTTTGATTTTTATTTATTTCCTTTCCGCGTATGCCCGAATCATGTTTATTTAATTTTGAATAAACATTTAGAGATTTTCGTTAACCGTTTCGTCAAAACCATAAAAAACCAAATCATTACTTGAACAACTGGCTCCCAAGTATTTGACTTTATGTCGTTGAGTTGAATATATACATAAGCATCTTTTCCTGCAATTCATTACAATACATAAGTTAACATCATTCAGTGTTCTTGCAAAACAATAAAGCCATTTTTGTCACTATAATTACCAAATTATCTCTTGATTTACTAGCAAACCAACAAAAGAAAATCCTACCAACTCTGGCTTGGATTGACGTTTTCTGTCATCGATAAATTAAATAATCTCATAAACCCACACATCTCAGCTGATACTTTTATATTGTTCTACATGTGGAATTATTGAATGTATCGGTACCATTTTCTTTTTTGATTTGAAAAACCACTTGCTTCCACTATGTACCCACATATGATTAATATATGCATGAGGACTTTGTACTGTGTTTGCCTTTTTCTTCTTCCAAAGTTTACATCCGCGCCTTACTAAGTCATTCCAGAAACTATATAACACACACATTGTCGTGAACTTAAGATATGCGAGTGTTCCTGTATCAATTGAGTCCATGAAATACTGTGAATTTACAACATAAGTAGCGTTCTCTGTTTCTGCCGACTCTAGTTTAGCTTGGTAAAAATATGGTGTGTCGTCATCTATGTCAAATTTAAAAATGAAGTCACCATGCGATGGAATTTTACTGAATTTTTCAAATATATTTGTAAAGAAAACAGTTCCTGCCGATTGTAAAGAACCACTGAAGTGTGCATAGTTTGGTAATTCTTTGATAAGTTGAAGATAGAATGGGTGTTTCTTCCGGCACAGTAAAATTGCATTAGTTAAGAAGTAATTTTGACGATACCACACAGCACTGTGTACGAAAGGTTCTGGCGATAGTATACACGCATATTTCATAGTAGCACGATCAAGAGGTCGCATGCATTCTAAGTCAAGATCTGCATAGACTCCCCCAAATTCATACATCAAAACATATCGAAGAGCATCTGCCTTTACAATTGGTCTAGAATAACTATCGTACAATGAAATAAGAAGTGGGTGGCGTTCAAGAATTAGTGCTCGCGCTGTCTCATCCGACCAAAAATAGTACGTCCAATTCGGATGAAAGTGTAAAAATGACTTGATATTTTTTTCATATTTCGAAGGAACTCCCTTACTTTCCTTCCCTCCTGTGATATAAACAAAATGGATGATGTGAGGAATTCTGGGATATTTTGAATCAACAGTCTTAATGTCTTCTATAACTTCCGGTTCAAATGCGTCCCGATCAATTTTGATGACACGTCCGTGCTTGATCATTGTAAAGTCCGCCGGAGATTCACCTGAAAGGGAATTCAAATTGAAACAATGTTTAATGGTCTGAACAAATAAACTTTTAATAGAAATGTTTAGTACACAGGGCAGGGAATCAAAACTGCGTCATACCCTATAAAATGTCAACAAACGCCGTCATATTGGAATGAAATAGGTATGTCTTTTTTTGTTTATTACTTTTAGTTAGAAATGACTTAAAACCAGATATATCTATTAACACGCTCAAATATTTTCCACTATATTTGGTACATGTTGATTGCACCACTATTTTGTCAAACAAAACTTGCAACTCGAAGAGGGACAGAATGTCTATGGAGTTTTGTGGATACGACGCAGTTCATATTGCTTTATCCACCGTTTCTTTTCATTCATATGAATTATATACTCGTTTCAGAATTAACCATAAACTTTAAAATATAATTTTACACTTTCTATTAAAATTTCATGAAAAAGAAATTTTTATGTTGAGAAAATAATGATTTGTACGAAATGATATTTTATTTTACTTTATAAAACGAAAAAAAGGAGGCATGATGCAATTCTTGACAATTGTTGAATCTCTTACAATGATAAGCAAGAATGCAGTATCAACTCTTATTTCAACTTTAATCAAGAGGAACATATGTTAACCTGCTTTTGAAAATTTAATGAATGGCAAAGTTTTACATTAAGGAATGAAACGTTTATCCCAATGTATACAGTCGGACTTTTCCCAATTTTACAGGCATCAAGACAGGGTCATGTAACTAGTGCATTAATGCACTTAATATTCATAAATGATTTAATGAATGCGTTAGACTGCAGTAAACACAGTTTTAAACTAGACAATACATCTATTAGATGTCCAACATGCGCAGATGTCATGGTTCTACTTTCTTTATCAAAAAATGGTCTACAAGAACTTTAAGATATATGCTACAGCTACTCTCTACAAAACATATATTTCTACAACAGCATGGAAACAAAAAATGTGGTTTACAATGGCACAGATAATGACAATAAATTGATATGGTATTTTGGTACTGATAAACTACTTAAGTGTGCAATGAATATTTACATCTACATGTAATTTAGACTTAATTAAAGTAGTGAACGTGAGCTGCATAAAATTACGAAAAACATTTTCAGTTTATCTAACTGAGGTGTTAATAGTGGCGAACATCAAAACATCTATGAAGACTGTTGTCTTACCTAAGGCCCTATATGGCAGTGAACTTTGAAATGGGCTATCACAGTCACAAAGCCAGTTACTAGAGAAAGCACAGAGACAATGTGTTAAATATATTTAAGGATGTCAAAAAAAAACACAAAAACAGAGGTAGCACTGAGTCTACTTGGGGTCTACCCAATTGAATACTTTACAGATAACAGAAAGCTGCAGTTATTTGGTCATTGTCTGCTTTGGATAGCTCAAAAAGAATCAAATCTATGTACACAAAGCGATTAATAATGTTTATTTCAACCCCTCAAACATGTACATATTTCATACCAGACATTTACAGAATTTTAGGAAAATATGGCTTAACCAGCGTGCTTACAAATTTTTGTAAACGATGCGATATTTTCTTCTAATATTCAATGGAAATCATTGATATCGAAATCTATTCATAGTTTTGCTAATTTAGAGTACAAGTGGAAACAAATATACATGTATGCGATGAATGTACGAATTCTCAATGCCTTTGTTCCATGTGCCATATGGAAATTTTGTCAGATCTACAGAGATAATGTTCAATACTGTGCTACAGCAATTTCTGCTTTAAGTCGATAGTTTTCTTTTCGTGTGTCTTGTTAAAAGTGTAACATATAGAAACCTCCTCAATTGTTGTCCATCTAGCATTGTTTTGTTATGAAAATAATACTGTACGTTATGATATGTGGTGTAAATTACATATCCTTGGCGATGAACTCAATGTACTATGCAAATTCAATCCCGATGTACAGCTTATTGAATTACTAGGTGATTTACTGTCATTTTTAATGAGAGACTATGTAAGGATATCATGTTACAAAAATGATATTAAGAAAGTTTCATTCTATTCAACATTCCTAATATTTACCCGTCTGAATAGACACGTTATTAACGGGATTTGAAATGACAATGTTTTAACATTTTTATGTCATGTTAAATCCGGTCTTCATTTAACTAGGGAAATTCATTATGCTATGATAAATTACAAACTAATGGTATAACTATAATATCCTCTTTCAGGTACTTCTTTTTCGTTTCGCTAAGAAACCAGAGCATTCAACTGAACACCATTTATATACAAAGCCTCTAATCTTTGGCTGAAAAAAACAAATCCAATTTTGACAATTCAGAAATAAATTTGCTCCCATTTAGCTCTAATTTAAAACAATTCGGTTGAGGCCAATAATTACGGTAAACTATTTAGTACAGGATGAAACACGCATACTGTATGATTAAGATATTATGTTATGTTTAATATATGTTTAATATCACTAAGTACATGGCATGTATATATTGAACAATTAATAACTTAATATTCTATTCTTAAAAAGAAAAAACTTACTTGTCATAAGCATATAAACTACCAGCAGCACTAAACACATACAAACTGAAGCAAAGTATTGGTTTCGCTTGATTTGGTTTAACATCACTGTGAATATTCCTTCTTTTTTAAAACAAACTTCCTTTTGTTCTGTAGTTAAGAAATCTTTAGTTAGTCCATACGTAAAATAATCCGTAAAATATCTGTATTTGAGTTTACAAATTCGGATCGTTTCTGGACAAATGTTAGATAATTGGAACTTTTTGTGACAAATGTAAAAATGCCTTTATTACAATACATGTCTTTTGTTAATAGATAATTCAAGTTTAAGCCTATTCAAAATATCCTATTGATTATGTGAAATGTATACGACTTGTATAGTTATCGTGTAAAAAAACTCGTCCTCGCGTGAATAAATGCATTTGTTGATACAAATATTACACCCAGGAAGCACGCTGTAAATTCATGCATTTTTAAATTTTATTGACACTTTATAGCGTCAAAATATTATTATATTCAAACTCGATAGCACTGTACATCTAGTTAAGAGGACAATGACATTGTGTTTGTTTTGTATGTTTTATTCCTTTATTTGTTTGTTGTTTTTGATGTTGTTGTTGTTGTTGTTTTTGTTGTTGTTGTTGTTGTTGTTTTAATAGCAAAATCATCTGGGCCATTAAATTTCATTTGCTGTATCCGAGATTTTTTATGGCTAACATAAGGAATTAGTATCTTACATCAAACAACCTACATTAACAATCAAAGGGCTGCAAGCTTTGTGGTATTTTCTGATCTTTGCAATCTAAATCGTACTGTATATCTCATGGGTGCAAGATTTTAGACATATGCCTGAAGCTCCATTTTTGTGACAAAGTTCATCATGTTTTACCATTAGATTATGTAGGAAAATGATTATGAATAAACGTTTTCAAATTTTCAACTTGCACCCTAGATATCTGTATGTATTGTCCTGTGTAAGTTTATTTTTATGTTTGCAGAGCACCAGAGTTTTATACATATGGAATTTTGCATGACTAGAAAAAATCAAAATCAAAAAAATCATTTATGTTCATTTTACCCTTAGCCACACTTTACCCTTGCATATCGTGGCTATTTCCTTAACAAAGAAACTTAAAAAGAAAAAAGAGAAAAAAAAACCTGAATGAAATCAAGTGATACTAAATTTACAATTTCCATTGCATTTCGGGTTTGTAATCCTTATTAATTTCGAGGTATTTTGTTCACGATAAACCTGTTGTTTAACATTGATGTAAATAATTTAGCGAAAATCTTCTCGCCAAAACAGTCCGTCATGTATATTTTCCACTACTCGACAGTCAGATTTATTTGTGTAATACGCTCTGATCGACATCGCAAAAAAGGCATTTTCATTGACTAAAATCATATTCATCCGCGTAATTTGTAATTGTGCATTTATTGACAATTCTATAACCCAAAGCTGCTTTTAAACTGTGAATGCGTTGTTATTTATTGGATACTTTTTTGTAACAAAATAAAAATATTTCTTTCTTTTAAATCGCTAGTTTAAAGCTGTTTTAAGATCTACTTGTTGTTAGGTTTGTCGTGAACCGTTGTGTCAGAGATTGAATGTCAGCTTTGTATTTCTTGATCTTCGATCAGAAAATACAAAAATAGAGCTGTAAAGTAGGCAGCTTACATCTAAAACAGTAAGTTCTGTTGATATAATGATATTATCGCCATTATACACGTAAGTTCTGTTAATATATTGATATTATCGCCATTATACACGTAAGTTCTGTTGATATATTGATTTTATTATAATTTTACACCTAAGTTATGTTGATATATTGATATAATCGCCTTTATACACGTAAGTTCTGTAGATATATTAATATAAATGTCATTCTAATGTTAACTATCGCCTATCTTTTAAGTCGTAAGTTTCTTACAAATCATTAATAATGTATGTGGATTCTGGCATTTCATCCATCAAATTTCATCTTATTTAAAATAACACGCTACTTCGGCTTTTGCGTAATGCCCTGGATAGTGCTACTTTCTATCCCAAAGAGGGCACCTTATTTCTATAACAGGCATTATGTTACAAATGTAGTAGCTTATGTTGATAGACTCAAAACTTACATTATTAGAAATGGCCTTTTGACATAATTTTTGTAGGAGAAAGTTATGCCTGGCACAATGATCTTGTTTTATTGGGCTGACCGACCAAACTTACCGCAAAATGTCCCCAAAGAGGACTATCCTTCTTTTCACTGAGATTTTTCTGCTGATCATAGGACTGACTTTATTTAAAATGTAAATATCCAAGTTGGATTAAAGACATCATATGCAAGAGACTTATAAAACAGGCCGTTTTCTCAAGAAAGCAGTGTTAGTTTCTCTTCTTGAATAATCTTCATTGTTGTAAACATCACCTTTTTCTCCAGTCACCTGATGTCCCATCTTACGGGTTTCCATGCATTTTTAGCCAATCGCTGGCCATATTACAATACAGTAATCTGACCTTAAGCGCTGAAATCCAAAATCCATCAGTGTGTAGATGTTTACTGCCATATTTCCAATATTTCATGTTGGATAAAAACGTAAGCAAAATGTTGTTAAATGAAGCTTAATCAAAGGCATTCGAAAACGCTTTAAACCAAACCGTCACCGAAAACGCTTTAAACCAAACCGTCACCGACAACGTTTTAAACCAAACCGTTACCGAAAACGCTTTAAACCAAACCGTCACCGACAACGTTTTAAACCAACTCTTCACCGACAACGCTTTAAAACAAACCGTCACCGAAAAAGCTTTAAACCAAACGGCCACAGTTGACGATATTATGTGCAGAAGATGCATGAACGACTTATTTAGTTTCAGAAATTGTCAGTGCGTGGTGAAATACCAGCTTTAACAGTTACTACTTGAATTTCTTTTTATTTCAGCAGAATTTGAAGTCTTAAAGGTTCAATAAATTGCTATTCATTACTATACTTGTGTAAAAATATAGATTCAATCTGTAGCTTTAAAATTAAATCAATCATATTCATAATATTTCAAGCATACTGCCAAGCATTTATTTCAAGTTGATATTTGATCAGTACATCCCTTTGATAGATCATGTTAATATGGTGGCCGGTAGCGTCCATTTTAAAGCGGCGAGAAATTTAATCGTCAGTTTATAAAATGTCACGGGCAACTTTTAAATCCGCGAGAATTTGTATCGAAATTGTATCAAATGTCAAAAGAAACTTTCGATTTTTTCTGTTAAGCTTCTGTCGTAAAAAGTCTAGTTTTACGAAGGAGACATTTGCTGTCTACATGATATACTTTAGGCCATGCAAACATATATGTTCCTCTAGGTAGGTTCGTGACATTTTCTAGGTAATAAAGAAAGAATCTGTCAAAATATAAATCAAGTAAATAGCAAATTTACCACATTGATTTGGACTTTTTTGTTATTTGTTTTAAGTTTCAAGTTAATTTTTGCACTTGTTTCCAACACTTTGGGATCGGGCTTAATAAGACTTTAAAGATAGCAATACAAACTATTAAGTTTTAAAATAACATATAATTTATTTGGCTCGATGAAAAGTACTTGCAACTGCTATAAATTATTTTCGAGTCCGCTTCCTGTTACTCACGAGTCCAGGGTGTAATAAGAGGAAACATGGATGTTGACTGAGTAGGGCTTGAACCAACAACTCCTGTGTTGGGAACCTGGCACCTTGACCATAAGTGCCGCAGCTCTACTTCCGACCTGTTTGGCGCTGGTAAAACAAAAACACATGAAGATTTTTATTGTTTATTGCAATGAAATTTCATTTAAATTCTTTTATATTTAAATTCTATAATTATAATAATGATATTTTGTTCTCTAACCAAACTCCTGCAAATAAATATTTTATTATTCTTTATAACGTAAATAATAATTTCTTCAAGTAAGCCAAAAAAGAGAACACATCAGGAGCTAATAAAGAAGAGCAAAATGTACATTTTTATGTTGGAATGAGTGAAAAAAATCAAAAGAATATACCGTTTATCAATGTATCATATTTGTCAGGTTAATGTATCCGTGACTTGCATTTATACAGAGGATGTTGAGTTAATAATTTTGTTGCAAATGATGGTACGGACGCTTGTACAAGAAGTTAGTGTGCATATAACACAAAACAAGCTACCTAGACCTTGGAATTTTGCCGAATACCCAGAATACTGATAGTCTTATGATGTGTTATTCTTTTAAAACATTCAATAATTTTGCTCAGATCTCTCGAATGTATAGTTTGCATAATTTTTCGAAAGAAAAAAGTTCAATAAATAACAATTCCTTATACATTCCTTCCATGTGGCCTCTTACTGGAAATCTAGTCAAGTAAATCTCAATGAACTTTCAGATTTTAGAGTCTTTGAATTGACTATACGTATAAAAGGTAAGTAAAACTGAACTTTAAATACAGAGACGGTAAGTCATTTTAATTTTAAATTTAATTTAAATCTGAAGATCATCCTGTAACTAAGTATATAAACTATAAACATATGACTAGGTCCATGATATGAGTAGTTTGTTTGATGCCTCCAGAACATGACTATCCTGAAATCTTCAAATTTAAAGCGGCCTTCAGTTTTTCTTTTTTTCTTTTTTTGTTGGGATAACAATTCTGTGTTGTTTCAAACTAAGTATTTTGGCAATTATATCTTGAATACTTCTTTTAAATAGCGTTCCGAGAGCTTTATATAACGCGGCAGTGACGTTCGTTTCTAAAAATAGAAGATCGGGGAAACTAATCGTCCCGTTTACTAATTTAAATATAGAGGTCGGACCTGCAGATAAGAGGTATGGAAGTGTATTCTTAATTATTATGTATGTATTTTATCGTCGGCAAATTTCATTTCCACCTTAATTCCTTTGATTTCACAATTAAACGAAACAACTAAAGATAATATATCAAACCTTTAGAAAAGCTGAAGGTCGCTTTAGTATGATTTCGTTTTCAAAATTACAATACGTAAGATCACATAGTGTCTATGAATATAAAGCTCCATTTGCCGCTCTTACAGTCACATGACCAGTTTTTAATAATTTTATATGCTTTGATAAGATATGTTCCAATAAGTAAATGAATACTTTTTTTAACTTTCACTTTTGTGTCCGATATTAACTTTTGCCGATTTCATTAAGTCCATGTGGTGAGTTAAACTAGTGGAGGAAGATTTCATCGCATCCTGGTGGAGTAGGCAACCTGGATTGCTTCATTGCATTGAATAATTTTACTTCCCAGCTGGGATTCGATCCCGTAATGACAAATCTCAAATAACCTGCACATAGAATCCCACGAGACATCCTCATTATGTCCAGGGCTATCACCTGATGGAAAAACACGTTCAACTTTATACCTTAACATTTCCATACACTATTTCTTATCATTCACAGTTTTTTTCTTAACAGTAAGTGCATATCTTTCGCGCTAGATATTACTATCAAACTGTTGATTGGTGTTTTGTTTTTTTCTTTATAAAGTACATGGCACTTACTTCCAAAAACGTCCGAGATCTACTTCGAGAAAGACTGCCAGCTTCTTTTGTGGATTATACTTCAAGTTCGTTACTCTCATCTTACACTTTTATATTGTTTTACTTGTGGAATAATAGATTCTATAGATACCATTTTCTTTTCTGTTTTAATAAACCACTTACTAGCACTATGTAACCACGCATGATCAATATATGCGTACGGATTTTTTACAGAGACAGCTTTTTGCTTCTTCCAAAGTTTACATCCTCTCCTAACTAAGTCATTCCAGAAACTATATAACGCACACATTGTCGTGAATTTTAGATACGCAAGAGTTCCTGTATCAAGTGAACCCATAAAATACTGTGAATTTACAATGTATGTAGCGTTTTCATTTTCTGCAGACTCTAGTTTTACTTGATAAAAATATGGTGTATCGTCATTACTGTTATATTCAAAGATGACGTCACCATGCGAAGGAATTTTACTGAATTTTTCAAATATATTTGTAAAGAAAACAGTTCCTGCCGATTGTAAAGAACCACTGAAGTGTGCATAGTTTGGTAATTCTTTGATAAGTTGAAGATAGAATGGGTGTTTCTTTCTACACAGTAAGAATGCATTAGTTAAGAAGTAATTTTGACCATACCATACAGCACTGTGTACGAAAGGTTCTGGCGATAGTATACACGCATATTTCATAGTAGCTCGATCAAGAGGTCGCAGGCATTCCAAGTCAAGATCTGCATAGACACCACCAAACTCATACATCAAAACATATCGAAGAGCATCTGCCTTTACAATTGGTCTAGAGTAACTATCGTACAATGAAATAAGGTCTGGGTGACGTTCAAGAATCAGTGCTCGCGCTGTTTGGTCGGACCAAAAATAGTACGTCCAATTCGGATGAAAGTGTAAAAATGACTTGATATTTTTCTCATATTTCGAAGGAACTCCCTTGCTTTCCTTCCCTCCTGTGATATAAACAAAATGAATGATGCGAGGAATTCTGGGATATTTTGAATCAACCGTCTTAATGTCTTCTATAACTTCCGGTTCAAATGCGTCCCGATCAATTTTGATGACACGTCCGTGCTTGAACATTGTATAGTCAGCCGGAGATTCACCTGAAAGGGAAATGTGTTTTACAGAAATTAAAACTAAAATTAGAATAACGTTTATTGGTGTAAATAATAAATAACTGCAAAAAGAAATGTGCTGTACGTGTTAAGTTATTCAATAATTGTGCATACAAAATTTACACTTTTGTCCGCTGATCTTTTCATATCTTGTGATGTTCTTTCATTTCAATACCCTTTTATCTGTTTTAAATTCATCTTGAATTTCGATAGAATGAATTAAGTATGACTGTGAAAAATAAATCTGCGTTATTTTAAGCTACATTTTAAAGTGTATATAAAGATGTAGATCCGATGCAAAAACAAGTATTTGAATTTAAAACACATCCAAAATGCTTGTATGAAAGAAATATGGTGGTATATTGTCATTAAACGGAATGGTTCAAACAATAAATCATTGTTAAACGTTTAAAACATACTTAAAATAGAATTATTTGATATGATATAGCTGTATAACCTTAAGGGGGTGGGGGTAGTCAGAAATCATGTCGTCACTTTTTTTATTGTAGATAATTCTTTTTATTATGTTACACACGTTCAAATAAATAAAATCATTAACGCCATACATTAAGAATAATATTTTTGTCAATTTAAAACTGTGTTGTATAAAAATAAAGAAAGCGGCACAGATCTTATCTCTAATTTAAAACGACTAAGTTTAAACAGTCATCATTGCTGAAGGATGTAAACAAGAGCTGTCCGATGAGCAGCGCGCTCCACTTCTCCTATAGTACTAGAAAGTAGAAAAGGGGCATAATTATGACAAACTGTTTGGGAAGAAATTTCTGCCTTGATATTCAACAAATTTTTCATTTTTCATTTCTTTTTTTGTTTTGTTTTGTTTTTTGAGAAAATTATGAAAATATTAAAAAAAATATATATAAAGGGGGATAATTTAGCAGAGGTGTCCGTTAGAAATGAATTCTATTTTTTATAGTGAACATTAGTATTCCAAAGTTAAGGTGAGTATTTTTGATAGTTTTTAAGAAATTAAACTAAACAAAAAGATTAATCAGGGCAACAAATATCTTCGTCTTTTTCTTCAAAAAGAGGAGCTGAAAAAGAATCCGTTATACTATTTGTGTTTTGTTTTTGCACGTTTATCTTAAACAATTGACAATTTATAGATATTCTCAATGAATGAACTTACCTGCCATAAATGGGTACACCACCATTAGCACAAAACATATGCAAACTGTAGCGACAAATGGTGCTCTCTTGACTCGGCTAATGAGCTGTCTTAACATTACAGTGAACATTGCTGCAACAGCATTGCACCGGACGCCTTTCTGAAAATAAAAAATGAAATAAAAATGATGAATTGTCCGTCTTCGAATAATCCGATATGTCATCTGTGAAAGAATTGATAAATTTTGATTTGAATTCTTAAGACATAAATATGATATTGTACAAGGAATATATGTAAAATATACGAGCTTTAGATGGATGAACGTAAAAACATTGGGAATTACTGTTAGTTGATGTTGTCAAGGGAAGAACCGTTTGAACTCATAGTTCAGCCCTTTTGCTATTTTTGAATTAATAATATGGTTCTATACTTTTAATAAATGTCTTTTAAAAAATAGATTACTATTAGTACACAGGTTTGTTAGTTGTTAATAAATCAGGTTCGAACATATCCAAATGAACACAACCATTGACACATCGAGAAAATCGACACATAGAAGTTCAAACATTCATTTTGTGAGACTTAAATGTACAGATGAATGATTGTGTAAAATCTAAAAAAAAAGTTATTATTTGTATCAATAGCCATCCTGCTGTCGATTTAAGATAATTATGGCGTCCCATAGAATGCGTATGTATAGACATAGAATTTTATGGTTTAAGGGGTTTTTCAACAAGCTAGTCATAAACATATTGTCGTCTGTATTTAAGGATCGTTATCCAAATATAACTTGACTTATGACATAGCCATGTTCTGTTACAACAATCGATAACAGATCGTAAAAAAATTAACACTTCGGGTACAAAAGGTACAAATAATCGCTATTGTAAACAAAATACAGTTATGGTAACATTTGTAAATTTATACACTTTATTTGTATGTAATATTTTATAGTATTTAATAACAATCAATTCGGATGACTCCCAAAATGAAAGACGGTCAACACAAGACATAAATTTGAGCCGCGTCACGACAAAACCAACATAATGGGTTTGCGACCGGCATGGATCCAGACCAGCCTGCGCATCCGCGCAGTCTGATCAGGATCCATGCTGTTCGCTTACAAATCCTATTACAAGCAGAAAAAACTGATAGCGAACAGCATGGATCCTGATCAGACTGCGCGGATGCGCAGGCTGGTCTGGACCCATGCTGGTCACAAACACACTATGTTGGTTTTGTCGTGACACGGCTCATTTATTTTTCTATTTCCGAATACATCTGAAGTTTGTTGAAGTGGTGTTGGTTTTTGTAGATTACCCACCGGTATCACGACAGAAAGCCACTTTAAATCCCCAGAGCACATTTAATTCAACCAGGCAGGCTGTGGGGTAGTTTACCAGTACTGGGTGCCTTCACCTATGCAAGGAAGTGCTATAACTTCTGTACTTAGTGGATTGTATCCACATAAAGGGAAACGCACCTCCTCGCGTCAATAGTTAATGAATACCCCACATAGAATTTATTACGCGTTATATAGTTGGGACAGGTATAAACATGTTAAAAAAAGACCTTTAAATAGATTTGTATCGGAGGACTTGAATCGCGTGTTATTGATGAACATGTTATAGAATTCAACACTGCATTTCATACAAATTTTATGAGTGTTTAACAGAAATACATGTACACTGCCATTTATACATGTATTGATTTATATTGATTCGACAATCAGTAATAAACATGAAACGATACGTCTGCTAAGAAAATTACATGAGATATGTACATGTTTGTTATTATTTTCTTATAAATTAAGCATAATTAAATCTACAATGTATAATTGGACAGTGATGTCATTCCAGAAATATATAGTTCTATTCTATAACGCTTATTACAAAAAACGATATATTTAAACTTCTATAAGTCATACTGTATCACTAAAAATGAAAAAGTAAGAGATGAATTAATAACACTTACTATCTTCGCTGCCATGACTACGAAATGTAAATAACATGTGAAAACTTAAAATCCAGTAACTTGAGCGTTTATTTTTAGTATCGTAACGTGACTTAAAAATCCATTTTAAAAACGCATGTTCATATGTTCCTAGCTTTTAACCTGTGTATAGTTGACTAAATTTGCACTATAGCACAACACACCGGGAACTATATTTAACTTGATCTTACAAATGTCAATATAGCCATTGTTAAAGCAAACATACTAAAATGGATCCTTTTGCAAATACCAACTCTTAATACTTTATTCATATAGGACAATATACCCGTAGTTGTATGTAATTTGATTCTTTAACTAAGGCAGCGGAATAATTGACCACCATTCAACCATTCAACGGGTGAATCCATGGATGACTGAATGGATATTACGGATAATCGTTGAATCCTCGTATTATAGTTGAAGAACGGTGTCCCATTAGGGCCATCGATCACTACACCGTTGTCAAGTTGTGAATGAAAAAAAAAACAACACTGTTACTAGTTGAAAAGTGAACAGTCAGATTTCATATACAAAACAATGGTACAGTGGCATCATAAACTTGACTCTATATAAAACAATAGATCACTCTTCACCGACGGAGACGGTGGGCGGGGGGGGGGGGGGGTAGCCAGATAGATTTTTAAGCGGGTCGCAAATATTTGCAAATTAGAATCGCCGAAGAAAGTGAAAGCATGTAATTTATTATAAGTGTTATATTATATAACCCTGTTTAGAATGCATTAATTTAGTTCGGTCCAAGGCAAGCTAGGCTCTAAAAACCTGTAAATCAATCTTCCGCCCAAACTTTTTAAAACCGTTGCCCTTAACATAGAAATTTTTTTAAACGAAACAAAAATCGAGGATCTATAGTAGAAAATTAGCTCAATAATTCTATGGCTATACTTATGCATGACATTTAAATGTACTATAATTGTTTGTTTACTTAAGAATACTAAAATCAAAACACCATGCAGTTTATTTATTTATTTATTTATTTATTTCCTTCATTAAATGTCATTAGGACATTCATTTAACATTTGATAATTTGATAAGTGTTGTTTTTTCTCTTAAGTAAGGAAAAGCACGTAAATATTGTAATATTCCTAATATAGAAATCAAATAGATTTTTTCAATGAAAGCCTTGTTGATAAATGATGTTTTTTTTTGTATAAATAACTAAAATATTATATTCTGCCGGCCAAAATGGTTATTCCTACTCAAATGATCACAAACTTACAAACAGCTTCTTGTGCTGAACAGTTTGGTATCGCCCCTTTTTATTGAAAATATATCGATTGATCTTCTCAGGTGGCCACCCGTCTTTGAAATAATAAATTTAGTGGCAGGCACATGAGGTCTTCCTCCACAAGTAAAGATGGAAAGTCCCTTTATAGCGTGACGGCGTAACTTAAGACCCAAACTTGAAAAGCGTTGCAACGCTTTTCTCTCAAATCGAGTTAGGAATAGCACAAAATACGATTTTCCGATTTATTTCTGAGTATATTTCTTAATTATCTTTTGCATATTTTTCTGTTTTAATTGTCCCAAATAATTTCTTTTTTTCTGTTTTAAATGACCCAGCTAATTTCTGTAAAAAAATCAAATTTTAAGTTTTTAGGCTACTGGACCTCAATGCAGTTCCTTTAAAATAACCCGGCTTGAATAGCAGCACCCGGAATGTTTTATAATCAAGTATAAGAACTATGCATATAGACTGAAGTTTTCATTTTGGTTATACGAGGTACATTTTTTATGTAATCAATACAGAATACAATTTAATTTTATGTAAAGGTGGCGTATTGGATTGATTGCATGTCGTCTCAGTTAACAAAGGTAGGTAAAACAGAAATAAACTTTTGCAGATGATTTTTTGCCGACACCGTGTGTAAAATATCATTCTGTCTGATATTACATTCTAATATTACATTGTATGCAGCTAAATAATGGCATATAAAGTAAAATTATATGAAAACATACCTTCGCAAAATAGGCGGAAAAATAAAAAAAGGCACAGAAACAGTCAGTTTTCCTTCAATAACTTCTTTCTTTAAACTGCACACAGCCTTTTACGGTGTTCCTTTTGATTTAATTAAGAACAAATCTCCACTTTCGGCAAATATGGGTTTTCCTTTTCCGATAAAATCAATCGGAACTTTTCGGCCCTTTCCGTCAGTCTCCGTATTCATTAGTAAGAGTAATAGCGGAGATTTTCTAATTGAGATAAAACTATCGTGCTCTTCCGTTCACTAGTGATTCATGCGCGCTAACAATCGAAATCCTAACAATAGAAATAATTACAAAGTTGTAGCAGATTGGAAAATCCCACATGTTCATAGTTTCGGGTATTTCTATTAACACAACAATTGCCGTATTTATATAAAAATAAAGTACTTACTATGGTGTTTGATTTAAGTTGAGATTATCCTTTTTACAAATGCTGTACTGTTTTCATCTGAACATTTATACACTTGAGTTCCTAAATTCCGTTGACTTGTCATGTTAATGGTAATCGCCGAGTTCGAATGATTTCAAAAAGTACTTAAATATGGAAATTGAATATTGTTGAACTAGCTTTCCATATATTCTACTACGAGTAGCGTTTCGCAAAACCGGTTTTGATATAATATTATCATGTCATACTTACTACACAATTATATTATGAAATATTATGAAATCTTTCTATAAGAGTTAGGACTGATATTCATTCAAAAGAATTTTCTACCTTCTTTAAATAATGTTGTATTGATTTCAAATTTTCATCGGTTTTAAAAGAAGATATCTACTGAGTGTTGCGATTGTTGCCGCCGCATGAGGCCTCTCGAAATCTATTCAACGAGTCTTATTTGATATTCTAATTGCATCTCAAATATAACTACATGCATATCAGGTTAGTGCTTATTAATAAGCATAAATCCACAAAATTGGACGTGAGAGACGCTGTTTAAAAATATTTTATTATATTAACTAGACTCACCTATATCCAAAATTAAAACTTATTTCAAACAGTAATCATTTCAAATATTGTTAAACAAAACGAATTTCTATATTTTTCAGCAGATATTTTATTTGTAGCATTGCCACGTATTTTAGTCCTGGATATTCACCTGGCCTTCATTCTCGTGATTTTTTTATTTGTCTGTTTTGAATTTGGATTAGAGTACATGTTGTTATTTTTAGAGATTTCAATATCAAAATACACCGCCGCATGTATGCCAATCATTATATAGTCGTCTGCACTTAGAGCGTTCAGGATATCAAATTAAAATTCTTATTGATAAAAGACTTGTAGAAAAAGGAAATAATAGAAATATAATATAACACAGACTGTGATCAATATTCAGATTGTTTACAAAATAGCTACGGTGCGTCTCCAAGTAACATAATAACACTCCTTAAAAAAGTAATGATTTGAACGTACGTACGTATGTACTCAACATATAATTATTATATTCGTCTTTTTATATTTTCTGATCAAAGATCAGGAAATACAAAGCTGACATTCAATCTCTGACACAGCGCTTAACGACAAACCTAACAACAAGTAGTTCTCAAAACAGCTTGAAACTAGCGATTGAAAAAAAAGAAATATTTTTATTTTGTTACAAGTATCTAATTCAAAGTTTAAAAGTAGCGTTGGCTTGTAGAATTGTCAATAAATGCACAATCACAAATACGCGGATGAATATGATTTTAATCAATGTAAATGTTATTTTGAGCGATGTCACTTACCGAATGCTTCAGATAAATGTGACTGTCGATACATGTCGGACTGTTTTGGCGAGAAGATTTTCGCTAAATTATTTACATCAATGTTAAACAACAAGTTTATCGTGAACAAAATTATGATGGCATATTTCTGCCACCAGATAACCATATAACTAACTGGTTAATTAAGACGTTAACTAGTTACGTAACTAGTCAACCTCTTAATTAACTAGTTATTATGTGGTTAACTAGTTACGTAACTACATAATTTTTTCAATAAATAAAAGATCATAACGGTAAAATTAATGCATGTTAGTGCCTACAACTGCCATCCTTTTATTATTTTACAAATTAATATTAAGTGGTTAACTAGTTACGTAACTAGTTAATCATTTTACCAGCTTAATATTAAGTGATTAACTAGTTACGTAACTACTTAATCACTTAACTAACTAATTAATTAACATGTTAACTAGTTACGTAACTAATTAACCTCTTAATTAACTAGTTAGTTAAGTGATTAATTAGTTGCGTAACTAGTTAAGCACTTAACTAGTTAATTAAGTGGTTAACTAGTTATTAACTAGTTAATCACTTAATATTAAGCTGGAAAAAATAATAAAAGGATGGCAGTTGTAGGCACTAACATGCATTTATTTCCCGTTATGATCTTTTATTTATTGGAAAAAAACTAGTTACGTAACTAGTTAACCAAATAACTAACTAGTTAATTAAGAGGTTAACTAGTTACGTAACTAGTTAACCTCTTAATTAACTAGTAAGGTATTTTGTTATCTGGTGTCAGAAATATGCCACTATACAAAATACCTCGAAATAAATAAGGATTAAAAACCCGAAATGCAATTAGAATCACTTGATTTTATTCAGGCTTTCTTCGTATAACTTCCCTGTGGTGCAGGGGTAACGCGCTCGTTAAGTGTGTGAGAGTTCTGGGGTTCATATCCCAGTCGAGGCAACTATTTTTGAAGTGTCTTTTTTAAAGACGTAGCCACGATATGCAAGGATAAAGTGTGGTTGTCATTAAAAAAATTAACATAAATGATTTTTTGATGCAACTCTAGTCATACAAAATTCCGTATGTATCAAACTCTGGTGTCCTGCAAGATGAATTATAGTACATAAAAATAAACTTATACAGGAAAATACTTACAACAGTACGATTTAGATTTCAAAGATCAGAAAATACCACAGAGCTTGAAGCCCTTTGATTTTTTAGTAAAGTGAACCGACTGTTCGGATTTTCCGCTTTTCCCTTTATGTCTGTCTGATGATGTTGATAGTGATGATCACGATGGTGATAATTATAATGATGATTATGATGATCACGATTATAATGATGATCATGACGACGACGATGATGATGATTAAGATAATGATCACGATGATGATTATAATGATGATAACGATGTTGATGACGATGATAAAGATGATCACCATGTCACCATGACGATGATAATGATGATGATAATGATGATCACGATGATGATGATGATAATAATGATGATGATGATGACGATGATAATGATGATCACGATGATGACTACAGCGATGATGATGATGATCAGAATGATCCCGATGACGATAAATGTGATTTTATAGAAAGATACAGAGATTTGGTTTAAAAGTCTCAGTCAATTAGTGTGTGCAGTCAATTAGTGTGTGCGTTTTTCAAGACGGAGTGGGAGGTTCTCCGGTAGGGGCCAGTTACACAGACGGTCGGTACCCAATCGGTCATTTAATTTTAAATTTACTCGCTGTTATGATCGGTTGCCATGCGTGATTTTATATCTGGTTTTCTGTGTAAACGGCCATCGGTGACAGAAAGCAAACTCAAACGGGGTTGGATCGGTGATAAAAATGCTGAAATACTATCGGTTTTTATCGTTTGAAAATCGGAGCTAAATCAGACGTAACGCTGATTAATCGATGTTTGATAGCTAGTCATCAGTGGTTAAACACTTTCCGTCAGGATGGCCAGTGATTCATATTTGGTTATCTTTGTCCGATCGGCGATATCGGTGTTTAAGAGCTTGCATATCTCGTGATATAGGTTGCTGTCGATTATTTGTAAAATATTTTCACCGATCGAGAATTTTAAACATGTTTAAAAACCCCAATCGGTAATTTTTCACCGTTAAACTTATCTTACCCCAATAGCAGTTGATAGGTGGAAAACATGTAACCAATAGGTGGCTAAACAAACTACCGATCAATCACCGATGGCTCTGTGTAACTAAGATTCAAACCACAGCTTGGTTTTGCTGCAGCAAAGCTGGTTTGTTATAATTTGATGCTTTGTCATAAAGAGAGGACAAAAGAATAAGTCGGACTGCATAAAAGATGCCACACCCTTGTACAAATTCTTATCTTTTACAGTTATGTCGATTCTTATAATGTTTCCTAAAAAGTATTCAAAGTTTCAAAGTCATACCTCAAAAAATAATAATGAAAATCTTACAGGAAATGAGTCACATATGTGGTATGAAAAGATAACATAAATTCTATGTAGGAAATAGTCGGCCACATTTTTTGTACAAATTCTTGACACAGTTATGTCGATTTGTCCGGAAGTTGGAATACTGTTAACTAACATCATCAAAGTTTCAAAACCAAAAAGACCATGAATTGCAAAATGAAACGGGGGTAAGAAATAACATACACTCAAAACCAACATTATATATTACGGTGTTCCGTTTGGACAGTCCTGATTTTTAATTGAGTCTGTTACCGCGATGCACGATGGTGAAAACGCGATGGTACGATGGTGAAAACGCGATGGCACGATGGTACGATGGTGAAAACACGATGGTGCGATGATGAAAACGCGATGGTACGATGGTGAAATCGTACCATCGCGTTTTCACCATCGTACCATCGCGCCATCGTGTTTTCACCATCGTACCATCGCGTTTTCACCATCGTACCATCGCGTTTTAACCATCGTGCCATCGCGTTTTCACCATCGTACCATCGCGCTTTCACCATCGCACCATCGCGTTTTCACCATCGTGCCAACGCGTTTTCACCACCGTGCCATCGTGCATCGCGGGTACAGAATAAATAAAAAGTCACGATTGTCTAAACGGAACACTGTAATATAAACTCATTTTTGTGCAAAGGATGAGCGTACTACATTTCATAATGATTTACAACCTTACTGAATAATAAAAAACGCTAAAACGTGCCGTGATTAGCGAAAGAAGCTTACTTTCAGTAACAAAAGTTATCACAAGAACTCTAGGACATCTTCAGAGTTAACACAAGAATTCCAGGACAAGTGAAAAAATCGGGCATAAGTTTGTTAGCTGGGGCTTTATGTTTGCAACTTTGCATTATAATTAGGTAATTATATGTAGCAAGTATTTATCACAAATGAACAGGTCAATATGTGCGAATTAGCAAATAATTTTTATTTAAACAAGAAAAATGGACTTTTGAATTAGTATTAAGATGTAAGGCAAGCTTGATTATTAAAGTTTTATTTAGCACCTAAAACTCATTTTTTAAAGATGAAAATGACCATTTTTTTCGACTGTATACAAAAAAATCCGACGAACTCCCTGGCAGTTATCACAAGAACTCCTGACAAGTGATTATAAAACTACATCCCTCGTGTTACAGTTCCTCCCCTGTTATATAACCGAATTGAAATCAATGATCCCAATTTACCAGAAAAATATAACTAAACGGAAATAAAAAATGGGACGCTCTATTAATTTACAGGGTCAGATTGTTATAACTGAAATTCTATATGATACCGTCATTTTGTCTAATTGTATTTACTATCAAGTGGTCACGATATGTACTCAAATCAAATGGGGAAATGTTTACTCGTGGAATTCTTATTACCGCCTTCGATCCGTAAAATGTTCATCGGTCATTATAATTCTATGAGGCCTCTGTCCTGTTTACTATTCTTTAATAGGGATCATCATACATTATTATGTATGGTTAGTCAATAGTCTTTAAATTAAATATTGATCTGGGATCGTTTCCTAACTCTCTAGTCGAAAGTGACCCATTTTCTGTAAATATCGTATTAGATACGGATGTGACTGTAACACATTATATTATCATATACCTTACACAGCTGTGTTTCTAGCGTCAAATGTCCTTTGTCTAAATTGTTATTTCGTTTATATTAATGTTAATTTTAAATTTTTCTTTCTTTGACTTATCAGAACTTTGCCGAACAGGGGTCCATGGTTACAAACAAATTCTCTAAACTCAGAGCTCAGGCATTTCATTGGTCAGACACTGGCGCAGAATGTAGTCTGACCAATGAGAACTTTAAGATTTGAGACAGACCTCATGAAAAGTTTAATAACCTCAAGGCCAGTGGTAGCGCAAGGCCAGCATTCCCAGCAACGTCGGGGTGTATGTCTCCAAAAAAGGTGTCGATATCGAAAAATGTGTCTTGTAGTACAATGTTTGCAAAAATGTTTTATTTATTTCAATTTTATGATAGTTCATTTAATTATTATAATATAATTTACCCATTTAGCTGTATTGGGTAGTTGAACTAATTAGACTTGTCAAAGAGACATCGAGATAACTTTAAAATTTGACGGACGATGTCTTTCTCCAAAATAACGGTTTGACAATAGGAAACAAGAGCCGGTTGAACCGGGTGATGCTCCCCGATTAGGTTTTGGACACAGGAAGGTATACCTCTTGTTGTGTCAGAGTTATGCCACAGACAAAGTTCAAAGTGTAAAAACAACCCAAATATTGTGCACAAAACATTGTCTCAATATTGTGATCATTTTTGTGAAATAGTTGTAAAATCCGACTTCAAATAACTAAGTAATGCGCCGGACATGATTTTGCTGCAAGGTCATGACATGACCTTGACCTTCAAGTAGGGACCCCAAATGTTTGCATGCTGTTCTATCGGGCACGTCATTCAATATATGGTGATCATCTCTGTGAAATAGTGTTTAAAATTTCCGACTTCCAGTAAAAAGTTTAAGGGCCGGACACGCTTTTTTGCAAGGTTCATGCTGTTGACCTTGACCTTCCAAGGTTGGCGACCCCCCAAATGTTCCGGACCCTGCGTCTCAATTGGTTTGATCATTTCTGTGAAAATATTTTTAAAATCGACTTCAAATAACAAAGTTATTGACGGGACACGATTTTTTTGCTGCAAGTCATGCTGTGACCTTGGCCTTCAATTTTGGTGGCGACCAAATGTTCCGGACCCTGCGTCTCAATTTTTTTTTTTTTTTTTTTTTTTTTTTTTTTTATTGGTGATATCCTTTCTGTGAAATATTTTTAAAATCCGACTTCAAATAACAAGTAATAGGCATCCGGACACGATTTTGCTGTAAGGTCATACTGTGACCTTTGACCTTCAAAGGTAGCTACCAAATGTTGCGCGCGACACATCGTCTCAATTTGGTGAAAATCATTTCTGTGAAATTTTTTTAAATCCTGACTTTCAAATAACGAAGTTATGGGACCGGACACGACTTTGCTGCAAGGTCATCTGTGACCTTGACCTTCAAGGAAGCAACCCAGATGTTAGCGCGCGACACAGATCGTCATTAATATGGTGATCATTTCTGTGAAATATTTTTAAAATCCGCACTTAAAATAAACAAAGTAATAGGCCGGACACGATTTTGCTGTAAGGTCATGCTGTGACCTTGACCTTCAAGGAAGCAACCCAGATGTTGCGCGCGACACATCATCTCAATATGGTGATCATTTCTGTGAAAAAGTTTTAAAATCCGACTTCAAATAACAAAGTAATGGGCCGGACACGATTTTGCTGCAAGGTCATGCTGTGACCTTGACCTTCAAGGTAGCGACCAAAATGTTGCGCGCGACACGTCGTCTAAATATGGTGATCATTTCTGTGATATAGTTTTAAAATCCGACTTCCAATAACAATTAAAAGTTATGGGCCGGACACGAATTCGGGATGTACGTACGTACGTACGGACTGACGGACGGACGGACAACCCGACGACTATATGCTCCCCCGAAATTTTTCGGGGAGCATAAAAACAGTATGTAAAATGGGTCAAACCGTTCACGCCGAACATGTACTTAATTAAAAGGGAGGGTAATCCGAGGGTAACACATGCAGGGTCTTTCATATATATATAGAATCTATTTGAAAGACCCTGGGTAACATAAAATATACTACTTAAGTTTATAATAATATTTTTGTTTCATTTTTTGTGTTTTTTTTATGCATGTTGATATAATGTGACATTTTAGTAAGTGTTTAATGTTTTGTATGATATAATGCAATTCTTCCCGCAATGTAGTTCGATTAACTCGCCGGTTAGCAATATGAACATATTCTGAATTTCGCTAGGTATATAATCAAATCTATTTTAATGACAACAACAACAATAATAATAAACTGTCAGCTGTCAGAAAGTTTATGGAAGAAGTTTAGGTTGCAGCAAGAGTGATTCGGTATTTTATGATAACTGTCACGTGTTCTTATAATTGACATTTGATTTATCCATTTATTTTGAGATTTTCTATGCAAGCATAAAATGTAAAGAACATTTATTTCAATATCATGCAGTTTCGGGGAAGAAAATCAAAGATATTTACTCAGAAAGTAAGAGAAATTCAGGTTGGAATTATTTTCTTTTGCCTACTTGTGTATGTAGGATTATGTTACGTTGGAGTTTTTAAAGAAAATGACGTGCTTAATGAAAGGACAGCTGACACTTCGGAATTTAAAAATATTAAAGGTAATGTGTATTTTCAGTCCAAAATATTTGGCATAGTTCCCATCCCTCAGTGATGTTTATATTGCATGATGTTTGTTTAAGGCAATTCCATAGCCACTTTGGTGTCATAGCATGGCTCAGCCTTTGGTAATTCTTTAAACACAAGTGGGACATCTTTCTCAGTCATAATTATCATTTGATTCGATTTCCACATACATAAATAAAAAAAAAATTTACTATCAAGTCTTTAAAAATTGAGGATTCCAAAGTAGATTTTTTCGATGCAAAACAAGAAGAATGCCCGACATATGAGCAGGCAGCTTTAGCCTTAATTTATTTCAGCGTGAACAGTTTGACCCCTTTTACAGACTTTTTTTTACATACACATGATTGTATTGTCATTGTCAAACTGAAAAAAGACACACTGCCCATCCAAAATTATCTTGATGTATCTTTGACAAGTCTAATTAGTTGGACTAATGAGCAGAGACACAGATAGTGTATAGCATACATCCAGGAGCAGAAAAAGAAAGAAAGAAACCATAAAGCCAAGAAAACTTTTTGTGTTGGTTGCACAAGATTGAAGAAATTTGGAGTCTTAATATTGAGATTTGACAATCAGACAGTAACTGGGATTTTTTATTCACCAGGAAATGGTATTAAAAAATATTTTATCTACATCACATTGCTTTAAAATTGTTTTAAGATTACTCTAAGCAGGTATACAATGTATACATTTAACCCATTACCTCATATATACGCGAAACAACGCACTTTTGACCCCCCCCCCCATTTTTTTAGGCCTGAAATAGTGAAAAAATGTCCTATTTGGGTCCCAAACACATGTTTTCGTTTGAGAAATGTTGCTAAAAAAAGTGAGCACTTTTTCGGCGCCGTCCCCCATCCTTTTGAAAATACATCAGGGGGTTGCCAGAAAGGGGATGTGCCCCCTTCTGTTTGGGGGGGTTTGAAGGGGGGGGCGGAGTTGCCCTCACCGCCAAGAAAATTTTGGACTTGTGAGAGGCTGAAAATGACCCCAGGTCAATCATAAGGTAACGTGTAACCAACGCTGAAAAGCCTTTGACTCTATTTCAATCCCTTGAGAAGTTGCAGCACTTTGAAATAAATTTTGATGGAAAAAATCGAGGCAAAATAGTGATTTTTGGCAATTTTGAGATGTCCCCTCGTTGCCATGGTAACAGGAAATTTAAGACTGAGCATGTCCTTGCAAAGGCAATAGTCCAGTCAACATTTGTGCCAAGTTTGATTAGTATTGAAGCATTTTTCATAGTTTCATAGCAGTTTGAACTTGTAACAGGAGGCTTTTCACTGAAAACGGCCATTTTTCACAATATGCTCATGTGGGAAAGGGTTAAGAGACAGCTATGAGATACAAGGAAATCCAGGAACCAGTCCCTAGCCCTTATTGAATAGACCCCTTGGTTCTTTACATGCCCAGTGTATAGCACTGACACATGTGAGGATTACCTGGATTTCTTAATTCTTACCAGTTCACCTCTAGGTAGGTGGGAAACATTGAAAGTGTCTCTTAGAGCTATCATTGATTCAGTGCAAAGCATATCAACGATATATCGATATCAAGTACGTAACTAAAATCAACGATACACCGATATATCGATAATATCCTATACTCACTTGTCTGTCATTCACTTTCATACATGTTTCAATGATTTCAGTCAAAAACATGTTCTGTACAGTGTCTTGTCCACTGCATGATTTTTTCCAGACAATATTTTTTGTCACCATGTTGCTATGAAATAATTCCACTATATAACGAAAGCATAACATTAGATATAAATAATTGTTTCTGCATATATTTTGGGTGAATTGTATTATTTCTAGACATTTAATTTATATGTCAAAAGTATCGATTTTTTAAAATGTGTATCGATTATTGATCGACAAAAAAATATCAACGATACATCGATATTGTCGATATCGATGACAGCTCTAGTGTCTCTAAAAAATCCCAAAGGTGTAACCCAGGATCGAACCCGGGACCTCATGAGTCATAATTAGTGGTCTAATCCACTGAGCTATCTCGCCAGATAAATGCCCCATCTGTGTTAAAATTGTTTTATTTTTTATTGACAGGGGAAAAAAATGATCAAAAATATTTCTTTTGTTTAATAGGTAAACTGCTTGAACCCCATGCATCAGGTATACCGTATATGTGTAACTAATATATATGTCTTAAGTCAGCTAGAATACTAAACGAAAGTAATCAGTTATTCAGTAGTGATGTGATAAGAGTTTAGGATTTTAACCATTATTTCTGGATATAACAGTTTATACTCTGGTAACATTAAGCCTTTAAGTCTTGATAACAGAATATTGTTACAAGAAGTTGCTGTATAAATGTTTAAAGAATAAAGATATTCATTATAACGTCATAATTTTTCAGCTGGATCACGGTCCTTACTCTCTGTACTACCAAACTGCACCCCTCGAGCCATAGAGCAGTTCCCGAGAGATGTGTTCACTACAGCTGAAAGGAAGCAGGGCGCCATTATTCTCCATGTTGCTGTCACAATATACATGTTCCTTGGCTTTGCTCTACTTTGTGATGACTACTTTGTACCTTCCCTTGAAGTCATTTGTGAAGGTATGTAAATATTCATGTAAACATTTTTAAAAGCATAATATATTAATTATCATGTTAAATTTTAGATAATCCATGCAGGCATGCACAGTTGCAGATTCAGGATTTTTTAATAGCTTTGGGATGAAAAAAAGGTGTAATGAATAAGTTTTAGAGGGGAGGGATACATTTTGCAAAGGGGTCGTGCATCCAGCTGTGTTTGCTAATATGATTATTTAAAATTTAGTAATGATCTTTTCTGACACTACCAATACATGATATATCTTTAATAAATTCTAATATAACAAATCAGCAATTGATAAAAACAGTTTTAATTTTATCATGCATGACTGTATATAGATCTCCATTTTTTTTTTATTTTTGTTTTTTTTACAAAAATCGAGTTCCCATTTTCTACCAGTAGGTTAAAATAAAGAAAATTGAAAATTATGAACAATACTCAAAGTAACAGCTGTTTTTTATGGTGTGTTATATGAGTATTGATCATCATCTTAGTATTTCTTACTCAACCCTTTTAAATGTTCCAACCCCCGCAACTTAAATATGTGTACATGTACATATATTTTTAACCAATAAATCAGCTAAATATCTAAATTATCATAGTTAAATGGACCTGTCGGTGAATATTTTTCAATTTGAACAAAGCCATTCATATCATCATTTTGGAAAAAATTATTAATACATTATATACTGACTGAATAGCAAACAGTGACTGGGGTCAGTGGTCAGATAGTATGGATATAATTATGCTGTATGGTCTGGTCTGCACTAAATGTATGGGTTACTTAGTCTGCTGAACAAGATTATAAGCTGCCTGCATATTAAATTTACATAAATTTAAAATTAATTTTTAAATGACGTCTCCTCACCTGCTTTGGCTGATTTCTGTTGAAAATTAATAGAAATGACCTAATAAAATATATGAAATGATATCCATGTACATGTAAGTCATATCTACAGGTGAGCCATTTAAATGCACTCAATTGCAGAAAGTTACTTTGATTACAAATGTTGGTGAAGTTGAATATGCATTTTTAAGTTCGATGATGCACAGATCATAAAACAAGGTGCTGGCATAATAGTTTAGATTAGGATCTCTTTTGTTACATGTATATTTTACATGTACATGGGACATGTATAATATACATGTAACAAAAGAAATCGTAACCTGTTTGAAATCCCTTCATAGATTGTATTATAGCACGGGTTTTATTGTATTGGCAAACAATACCTAGTGAATGAATAGTTATATATATAGTAGATAATGAATAAATAGTATAATACTAGATAATGAATAAATAGTGTACTGTATACTAGAATCTGATATATAATGATAAATAAAGAATAGAAATGTCATTATCAAAACATACATGTATATTAAAGTATAGAATAGATCCATAAAATACATGTTTTATACTTTACGTGTCCAGGCTCTGTTAAAGAATGGAACACATTTCAAGCACTTAACTTGATTAAAGCTGATTGATTCTTACAAATCAAACCTGCTAGTTCTTAAATTTACTTAGTTGTATTTGGCTATAATTTACCACTATATTTGCCATGGCCAATGATAGCAGTCTGTTGCAGATTTATTGAAAGTTAAATGTGCTGACAATTGCGTTTACTTGCATGAACTTGATAGAAAATCTGACAATTTTTAACCCAAATCTTCACTTGAGACAAGAGTACAATAGGTTTAAATAAGAAATGATTTAGATTTTAATTGAGAATTTTGTCCTCCGGTTAAAAAGAAAAATTACCGATGAGAGAAACCTTTCTTAATTAATTTGCAAAAGCAAGACATTTTAACTCTTGTCACCAGGGACTGATTATATTTATGTCCCATTCCAAGCGCAACATAGTCCTTTTCTTTATTATTTATGCTTTCCAAAAAACAAAAAAACAAAGATGAAATTAAAGAACTTTATTCAGGTGAAAAGATTTAAAACTTCAACACTTATTTTGTGTGAATCATTAAAATTTTGTATAATGATTTTTGTGCATAAACTTGAGCTGTTCTCCTTTCCTAAGATGTTAGTTTTATAGTAATAAAATAAAATTAATGCTTCTTGATTTAAAGGCACATTATGCATCAGTTTTTCTTCTTGAAAATGGGCAAACATGGATTTTAATAAATAATCATCATCAGGTTCAAAGAGCAGGTTAGATGCTAATAATCACCAGAAGAAAGTATAATAAAACTTATTTGTCATAAAACTGATAAATGTAGCAAAATGTAAACAAAAATTTACATTATAATGTACAGTACATTTGTATTTTGACTGCAATAAAAAAAATTTAAACACTATAGCTGTACTTATTATTAAGTTGTCAAAATGCAACAGAACCTTAGACAAGGTTCAGATTATTTGCCAATGAGTTATTGTTTGGAAATTATCGAAGAACAAAAAAAACAAAACAACAATGTTTGCATTTCTTGGGCATAATGGGCCTTTAAAACAGTTTTCAGCTTTTTATGTCACATGTTTTGACAGACTGTTGCATGTTTTAATTCACTAAAAAAAAGTAAACCACTACAAGCTTTAATATAGATAGAGTACTTTGAACATAACAAAATTGCAAATGTTTCCTGCTTGTAGACGTTTTGATTGAAACCATTTATAGCAAATACATGTACATGTACTGTCACATACAGTTTAACAGCATAATTACCAGTACTTATATCACATTATATATTTTAGCATTTACATATACAATAGTCATGATTATAAAATGTCATGTCAATTTGAAACAATTAAGTGCTCTTGAAATTAATCACTTATTGTAATTATGTAAATGCATTTTTATAGCCTTCAGTTTAAATTAACACAGTATAATTATGTTATTGAAGGACATTTTTATAAAGATATGTTCATAATTGATATGGCATATCTGTGAGCTGAACAAAAATCTTTACCATAATTATACCGTCTTGGTTAAAAAAAAAAAAACGTAACCCTTAACACACCAAATATCTGAAATTACAAGTAACTTGCCCATCTTTCAATCTGGACAAAACCATTTATCGTTTGTAGGGGAACATTTCACAATTGAGGAAAAAGCCTGTATACTTTGCCTATATTTTAAGCAAATAAATCTTTGTTTTATGTAAATGAAAACACGTCTAAAATGAATTAAATTGTGATTGATATATATATATATGTATATACAGATTGTTTAGGTTACTGATATCATCTTTGTTGCTATTTTTAAGCAGATATAAAATAATGTTCAAAATTGTTACATCTTTCATAATCAATGTATTTTTTTTATTTGGATACCTTATATTATCTGATTCATATATAGTTAATTTTGAAACATTTCACATGATATTATCACATGGAATTCTGTCTTTAAATTTCAGTGTTGCATATACAGTCTGATGTTGCAGGGGCTACATTTATGGCAGCAGGGAGTTCAGCTCCAGAATTGGCAACAGCTGTAATATCAATCTTCATTGCCAAGGTATGATATCATATTGTTATGTAACAAAATAGAGGCAAAACATGCATCACACAAAACATGATTGTGATAAAAATTGATTAATTAATCTAGAATTTTTTTTACATTATTGCATAATCACTATGAATGCCTACATAAATACATTTAATTAAAGAATGGTGATTCTGTTCTACTGATCATGTTGTTGTTTTTGATGTATCATGTTGTTGCCCACTTCTTCTCTGGTTAACCACAAAATATATCATTTGAAACTCCACATATCTGGTTAAGCACCAAAATGTATGACATGAAACTCTGCATAACTGGGTTTCTTTTGAAACTTCACATATCTGGTGAACCACCAAATGTATTATTTTAAAACTCCACATGTCTGGTTAACCACTTAATGTATCACTTGAAACTCTACACAAGTATTTGGGAACTTAATTGTAGGTCACACTTCAATTCTACCACAGACTTGTATTGCAACAACACGTCTTATGCAAGTTTCATTTGTCTACACTTACTGAATGTACATGTATTCCTTGATTCTTAAGTCATAATTTTAGAATACTGGCCAAGACTCATTGCTCTATCATGGAGTTTTACTGAATTATTCCTCTTTGTGAACCCTTAAGTTATGAAACTTACAAATTGGTACTTTCTAGCATTGTCTGTTAGAGGAAGTCCTGGAATGTTCTCCTTATTATATATGAGTGTTAGCATAAGCAGTCAGAAACCTAAAATCATTTGCTCCTCACCACTATGGGTTTAAATCCCAATCAATAAGCATGTTTCAAGTGATATGACAGGCATTGCAAGTATTTTAATGTCAGCTGTTTGTATCATCCACTATCTATAAGATAATGTTTTATTTTCTATTTCAGGATGATATAGGTATAGGAACTGTTGTTGGGTCAACTAATCTTGTTTTATTCTCTATTTCAGGATGATATAGGTATAGGAACTGTTCTTGGGGCAACTAATCTTGTTTTATTCTCTATTTCAGGATGATATAGGTATAGGAACTGTTGTAGGGTCAACTAATCTTGTTTTATTCTCTATTTCAGGATGATATAGGTATAGTAACTGTTGTAGGGTCCACTTATCTTGTTTTATTCTCTATTTCAGGATGATATAGGTATAGGAACTGTTGTTGGGGCAACTAATCTTGTTTTATTCTCTATTTCAGGATGATATAGGTATAGGAACTGTTGTAGGATCAACTAATCTTGTTTTATTCTCTATTTCAGGATGAAATAGGTATAAGTAACTGTTGTAGGGTCCACTTATCTTGTTTTATTTTCTATTTCAGGATGATATAGGTATAGGAACTGTTGAAGGATCAACTAATCTTGTTTTATTCTCTATTTCAGGATGATATAGGTATAGGAACTGTTGAAGGATCAACTAATCTTGTTTTATTCTCTATTTCAGGATGATATAGGTATAGTAACTGTTGTAGGGTCCACTTATCTTGTTTTTATTCTCTATTTCAGGATGATATAGGTATAGGAACTGTTGTAGGGTCAACTAATCTTGTTTTATTTTCTATTTCAGGATGATATAGGTATAGGAACTGTTGAAGGATCAACTAATCTTGTTTTATTCTCTATTTCAGGATGATATTATAAATTTATATCGGTATAGTAACTGTTGTAGGGTCCACTTATCTTGTTTTATTCTCTATTTCAGGATGATATAGGTATAGGAACTGTTGTTGGGTCAACTAATCTTGTTTTATTTTCTATTTCAGGATGATATAGGTATAGGAACTGTTGAAGGATCAACTAATCTTGTTTTATTCTCTATTTCAGGATGATATAGGTATAGGAACTGTTGTAGGGTCAACTAATCTTGTTTTATTTTCTATTTCAGGATGATATAGGTATAGGAACTGTTGTAGGGTCAACTAATCTTGTTTTATTCTCTATTTCAGGATGATATAGGTATAGGAACTGTTGAAGGATCAACTTATCTTGTTTTATTCTCTATTTCAGGATGATATAGGTATAGGAACTGTTGTTGGGGCAACTAATCTTGTTTTATTCTCTATTTCAGGATGATATAGGTATAGGAACTGTTGAAGGATCAACTAATCTTGTTTTATTCTCTATTTCAGGATGATATTATAAATTTATATCGGTATAGTAACTGTTGTAGGGTCAACTTATCTTGTTTTATTCTCTATTTCAGGATGATATAGGTATAGGAACTGTTGAAGGATCAACTAATCTTGTTTTATTCTCTATTTCAGGATGATATAGGTATAGGAACTGTTGTAGGGTCCACTTATCTTGTTTTATTCTCTATTTCAGGATGATATAGGTATAGGAACTGTTGTTGGGGCAACTAATCTTGTTTTATTCTCTATTTCAGGATGATATAGGTATAGGAACTGTTGTAGGATCAACTAATCTTGTTTTATTCTCTATTTCAGGATGATATAGGTATAGTAACTGTTGTAGGGTCCACTTATCTTGTTTTATTTTCTATTTCAGGATGATATAGGTATAGGAACTGTTGAAGGATCAACTAATCTTGTTTTATTCTCTTTTTCAGGATGATATAGGTATAGGAACTGTTGAAGGATCAACTAATCTTGTTTTATTCTCTATTTCAGGATGATATAGGTATAGTAACTGTTGTAGGGTCCACTTATCTTGTTTTATTCTCTATTTCAGGATGATATAGGTATAGGAACTGTTGTAGGGTCAACTAATCTTGTTTTATTTTCTATTTCAGGATGATATAGGTATAGGAACTGTTGAAGGATCAACTAATCTTGTTTTATTCTCTATTTCAGGATGATATTATAAATTTATATCGGTATAGTAACTGTTGTAGGGTCCACTTATCTTGTTTTATTCTCTATTTCAGGATGATATAGGTATAGTAACTGTTGTAGGGTCCACTTATCTTGTTTTATTCTCTATTTCAGGATGATATAGGTATAGGAACTGTTGTAGGGTCAACTAATCTTGTTTTATTTTCTATTTCAGGATGATATAGGTATAGTAACTGTTGTAGGGTCCACTTATCTTGTTTTATTTTCTATTTCAGGATGATATAGGTATAGGAACTGTTGTAGGGTCAACTAATCTTGTTTTATTTTCTATTTCAGGATGATATAGGTATAGGAACTGTTGTAGGGTCAACTAATCTTGTTTTATTTTCTATTTCAGGATGATATAGGTATAGGAACTGTTGTAGGGTCAACTAATCTTGTTTTTTTTTTTCTATTTCAGGATGATATAGGTATAGGAACTGTTGTTGGGGCAACTAATCTTGTTTTATTCTCTATTTCAGGATGATATAGGTATAGGAACTGTTGTAGGATCAACTAATCTTGTTTTATTCTCTATTTCAGGATGATATAGGTATAGTAACTGTTGTAGGGTCCACTTATCTTGTTTTATTTTCTATTTCAGGATGATATAGGTATAGGAACTGTTGAAGGATCAACTAATCTTGTTTTATTCTCTTTTTCAGGATGATATAGGTATAGGAACTGTTGAAGGATCAACTAATCTTGTTTTATTCTCTATTTCAGGATGATATAGGTATAGTAACTGTTGTAGGGTCCACTTATCTTGTTTTATTCTCTATTTCAGGATGATATAGGTATAGGAACTGTTGTAGGGTCAACTAATCTTGTTTTATTTTCTATTTCAGGATGATATAGGTATAGGAACTGTTGTTGGGGCAACTAATCTTGTTTTATTCTCTATTTCAGGATGATATAGGTATAGGAACTGTTGTAGGGTCAACTTATCTTGTTTTATTCTCTATTTCAGGATGATATAGGTATAGGAACTGTTGTAGGGTCAACTTATCTTGTTTTATTCTCTATTTCAGGATGATATATGTATAGGAACTGTTGAAGGATCAACTAATCTTGTTTTATTCTCTATTTCAGGATGATATTATAAATTTATATCGGTATAGTAACTGTTGTAGGGTCCACTTATCTTGTTTTATTCTCTATTTCAGGATGATATAAGTATAGGAACTGTTGTAGGGTCAACTAATCTTGTTTTATTTTCTATTTCAGGATGATATAGGTATAGGAACTGTTGAAGGATCAACTAATCTTGTTTTATTTTCTATTTCAGGATGATACAGGTATAGGAACTGTTGTAGGGTCAACTTATCTTGTTTTATTCTCTATTTCAGGATGATATAGGTATAGGAACTGTTGAAGGATCAACTAATTTTGTTTTATTCTCTATTTCAGGATGATATTATAAATTTATATCGGTATAGTAACTGTTGTAGGGTCCACTTATCTTGTTTTATTCTCTATTTCAGGATGATATAGGTATAGGAACTGTTGTAGGGTCAACTAATCTTGTTTTATTCTCTATTTCAGGATGATATAGGTATAGGAACTGTTGTAGGGTCAACTAATCTTGTTTTATTCTCTATTTCAGGATGATATAGGTATAGGAACTGTTGTAGGGTCAACTAATCTTGTTTTATTCTCTATTTCAGGATGATATAGGTATAGGAACTGTTGAAGGATCAACTAATCTTGTTTTATTCTCTATTTCAGGATGATATAGGTATAGGAACTGTTGTAGGGTCTGCTGTGTACAATGTCATGTTTGTCATAAGTATTTGTGCTCTATGTGCAGGCATGGTATGTAATACTTTATTCTGTAACTTCACTGAATTTGCATGTTTCAATCAGTAACTGTTGTGAAATTGTTATTGTGTAAAACTTTATTACAGTAATTACTCGTAACTGTGTCATACAACTTTCGCCTTATATAGTAACTTGTATGTTAACTTCCCTTTAGCATGAAAAGTTCATATTGGCCTGTTTTCATTCTTTTAATGTTGGAGTGAAATTTGTCTTAAAACTATGCTGTTTAATCTTAAAGGTGCATGCCTCCAAATAAGTCAAATATTTCTGAATTAATAGATTTTTTATACATTCTTAATGCAGTCATGTAGTCTAATATTTTATTATTAAAATCTTACTTAATTTGGAATTTGGATCATTTGGTTTTCATAATGCATAGTCCAATATTTCTTTATAATGCTCATTGTTTTGCAAAATATTTCTGATATTGTGACTGTTACTTATGAATAAAGAACAATATAGATCCACCCATTTTTTGCCACCCCCAGCATCACCCTACTATGCTCCCCCATCTGTGATATATTTGGAAACAAGCCAATATTTTCATAACAGTTTTATGTTGACCCCATGAAAATGATATCCCCTGTAATTTTATGCTGAAGGTCTATCCAAAGTGTACATGTATATAGATACAGATTATTTTAACTTTCATGAGTAAATTGATATGAGATCACTAAGCTAGAAGATTTGTTGCAGTAGGCCTATATACATACACTACAGACATTTGATTATGATCTATCTAGAAGTGATGATGATATTTTGATTATATGGGATGATATTCATTACACGCTGCATCAGTAAAGTGTAAACAGCTGGTACTTGCATGCATCAATGATAGACAATTGAATATCATTGTTTCTTGCAAACAATATATTCCTAAATCTACAAGATACAACAGATCTATGCCATCTTAAAAGTAGGACATCAGCATAGCATAAACTGCTGTTACTTGCATGCATCAATAATAGACAATTGAATATCATTGTTACTTGCAGACAATATATTCCTTAATCTACAAGATACAACAGATCTATGCCATCTTAAAAGTAGGCCAGACAATCAGTACATTCAAACAGTAAACTTACGGCCACTATTTGAAGAATAGGTAGAGCTATTGCACACACCCCAGATTGTATGTGTCAGCGTCACACTATGGTTTTTCATTCAAGTTTGTATCTCCAAAAGACCAAAACTACTGAAGGAAATGGGTTGAAACTTCGCAAACGTCTTTGAGAGTATAATAGAGGGTCACTGTCCATGGATTTTGGCAGAAATATGGCCCTTTTTGAACTAAGAAAACTCACATTTTCTAGACTCTTGTTTTACAATTAAACACTGAGGATTTTTTTTGGTCGGGTTTAAAATCTGTAACCTTAGGCAATGGACAACTAAAATGTTTTTCTTGTTTTGAAATTCAATGGGATTGTTTATGTATATTGCTACTTTTAGTCATGAGGGCTTCAAAGTGCTAAACTACGGTATTCATCTATTGACCAGGCAATTGAATGAGAATGTATTAATGTCAGATATTGGCATAAGTCAGTATTTAATAACTTTATTTACAAAATTTTCATTTGGTTTCTTTATACATGTACATACTGAATAAATATTCTTATGCAGACTTATGAAAAATATTTGCAAAGAAGAAATGTAAAATAAAATGAAGAAATGCAAAATGAAAATTTTCTAGCATTAATTAAATGTCTCCCAAACTTCTTGGGAGACATTTGTTTTAACCTTTGCTATATGATGCTATTGATTAGCATAATGATTGTTACAATATAAAGACTTGAAAATCCTTCTTCCTTTATGCCTCTCTCTATCTCTGTCTATAATAGATTAAAACCATAAATCAATGATGCTTTCAAAAGCAATCTGGCGTCACTTAAACGTTTTGTTTACATACACTGAAAACTGCATTGTTTATTTTTTTTTGCCATGGTTATAAATAGATTATTCTGATTTATGGCCCTTTTATAATCTTGTTGTCATTGCATTGTAAAATAATTTAACATTGTAAGATGATTAAATTTTAAGGTACATGGATATGATTTATTTCAGTTCACAATTTTTAATTTTCATTCATAAGATTTATAAAATATCCATATAATTATAAATGAAATGAAATGAAATGGTAATGAAATGGCAAGGAAAGTGGAGAGTCTCAATTATAAGCTTTTAACATTCAGTTCAATCATGATATTGTATTAAATTTTCTGTAATTGTTGCATAGCATTGTAACTTGATAAAAATAAATATGTTTAAACCAAATGGCAGGAAAAAGAGTAAAAAATTATTATTAACACCGCTTTCTAAGAATGGCAGGATTTTAAAGATTTTTGTCACATAAGTTTATTTACACTTTAATTATTTTTACAGTTTTAAGTTATTGATTTTCAATATAGATAAATAACATTTGAGTTCCCCTGAGGACTGTTTATATATATACTTATTTAAGTATTGGTGTCATCATCAGATACACATGTAAATTTGAACAGCCACTTAAATAAAACCCCATTTGGTTTACATAATCCATAATGATCTCTTTTAACAAAATACTTCCAACAGCTGCCCTCATTAATCAAACTGTTAGATATTTGAGAGAAAAAAATATCTGTTCACTTGTTACTGAAAAGAAATTTCATGAACATAAAATTATGATCAAACACATATCAAACTTTTGTGTCTATATCGCCTAAATAGTGTTTGTGTGCCATAAAACCAAAACAAGTAAACAAAGTTGGTTGTCAGCCTGGTAAAATTGCATGAATGCACATGTCTATGCTCAGGCATGGCTCTGTATTAGATGCAAAGGCTTCACACACACTTTTGATTCCAGCAGGAAAAGAATATTATCAGATACTCATAGATGAGTGAAATAAATTGGGAGGTAAAGAAGCACTTAAGGATATTTATCTGCCATGCAGTCTCTATGATGTCATAGTTACAGGTGTCATAGTGATTAAAACTCTACTTCATGCTATTTATGGATAAAGAACCTTTAAAATTAGTGTCTTTGTCACATTTCTAGTAAATGATTTAAGACTGACAGCTGCATAAACTTGTTGACCAAACATTTTTTTTTATTGATGAATCATTTTAACATGGCTAAATTAAGTAGAATTTATCCGGAACATAGAAAATTGTAAATATACGATAATGAAAATAAGTTGTTTTTTGTGTTTTCCCTAAGGGAACATTAATTTATGTTATCTAGTTTTAGTTAATATAACACCTATAAATGATTGAAATTTGAAGATTGGCAGTCGTATGAAAGTTATGTAAAAGTTATCAACCTTTTAAAGCTTAAGTTAATAAAGTGGCCTAAGGAAATTCTTATGTTAATTGTTTTTTATATGTGACGATAGTGTCAGGCATGATTACCTCATGTAGAAATTGATGTGTGTCATTTAATTATGAATTTTTTTAACCAGGTTGTACCTGCTAAAAATAGCCCAAAATCATAGTGATTTATACAGTAGCCTTTGCCACCATTATAGAGAGAGCTGCCATCCATGCTTGTCAGTAAGGCTCTTTCTTGTTGGCTCAGGGTTCAAACCTGAAACTGCCAATTCACCATCCCCCAACACCCCCGCACCACTCCACATCATCTATATTGCATTATAGTTGAAATGGATAATAAATATTGCTATTAAAATTAAAAAGATCAAATGTTTTAAATTCTGATAAAATTATTGATAAAACTTTATTAATAAGACTTTTAATTTTAGTTTTCTTAAATATTGTGTTGATTATTTTTGTGGGCCAATTTTACTTTTCTTGTCACTGATATACTGTCACTGATAATTAGATTCAGTTGAATTGTAGAACAATATTATTTTTCAACCCAATCTTATTATTGAAAAAGGTTTATTTATGACCTAAATTTTACTGTATATAATTATATGAAGTTAATTTTGTTTCAGTACTTTTTGTAGACCAATTTAAAACTACTTAAGTGCTACACATAATTTAGTTTTACTAAGTGAACAATAGAATAATAATAAATATACATGTATTGTTTTGTGACCTTGAATAATTATAAAGCTTCGTATAGCATACCTTACATAGTCTTTTTGTAATATTTAAAATTTAATTGTTTTCTTTCGTTATTTTAGCAGACCAATTTTACTTTTACTACCATAGTGTAATACTTCTCATAGAATTTTAGTTGACAATATTCTGCTATGACATAAAGTCTATTTATAATATTATTAACTACCTTATGTTTATAAAAGCAGACGCTCTAAATATTTTTAGAATAGTAAGTCTTGTCCCTCTTTTAATTTAGGACTGTCCACAATGCTTATATAAGGGGTTTTAATATCAAAATATAGTTTTATTCTAATTTTAGCAAACCAACATCTAGAACTTCAGGAAAATTAAGTTTTTATAGCTTTGCAAGGAGAATACATTATTATTATTATTATTATGATAGTATATGTACTTGATTCATTATATGAGTGCAAATTTTCACTTTCATGATATATTGTACAGAGTTAAAACACCTGAAATGTAATATTGTGGAGCAGGGTCTTTCTCACAGTTCTTCACTTATAATACTGCATAGTATACAAAGTGTTCCAGCCAATTTAAATGGGTGAATTTTATTTTCATTATTATAAAGTATATGTATACAATAAAAAAGTCATTGATTATTGGTATAATAATAATTTCTTGATAAAATGAAGTTAAGGGTTGTTTTCTCATACCGATGGTGACATTTAATATATGAGCCGTGCGATGACAAAATCAACATAATGGGTTTGCGACCAGCATGGATCCTGATCAGACTACGCAGATGTGCAGGCTGGTCTGGATCCATGCTGTTCGCTTACAGACCCTATAACAAGTAAAGAAACTGATAGCGAACAGCATGGATCCTGATCAGACTGCCCGGATGCGCAGGCTGGTCTGGATCCATGCTGGTCGCAAACGCACTTAGTTGTTGGTTTTGTCATGGCGCGGCTCAAATGTATGTGTATTACAGGTTGTGAATCTAAACTGGTGGCCGTTATGTCGTGATTGTTTATTCTACACTATCAGCGTGGCAGCTCTTGCATTAGTTATCATGGATGAGCAAGTATTCTGGTATGTATTATTGTCAGGTTTATTGAAATAAAAAAAATACTATACAACTTAACAGTTATATGAACCATTTTTATGTTTTTTTTTAAAAAATGTCTGAAATTTCAATGGTAAATAAATACATACTGTTTGAGAAACCAAACAGATGCACTGCAGACCTTTTTCTTTGTAAAAGTCGTTTTTTGTGTAACTTGCATGCTAGAGTAGCGGCAACATACAGGGATTACGTTTCCATCGTCTGTCCATCCATCACAAAACTTGTTCGCACTACTAATAAAAAACTACAGGTGCAATTTCATCCAAACTTTACAGGTATAATCAGTACCAAGTCCTGTTTTGCAGATCATCAGTATTTTCAAGTTCACTGATTTTTGTCAGAGTTATAGCCCTTTCATGATTTATATTTTTAAAATTTGTCTGGACTGCTACACTTATAAAAATAATGCAGTTTGAATGAAATTTTACAGGATTGATCAGTAGCTCAAGTACTAGCCCAATTTCATTGCATAGATTTTCTGGTTTAATGATTATTTGTTGAGTTGTGGCCCTTGAAAAAAAGGCTGTTTAGGATTTTTGTGTTGCCTGCTACACAGTAGCTGATACTTGCTACAAAGTTAAGCCACAACTTAAAAGAATCACTTTTCTGTCATCTGTCATTCATTTGCACGACCGAATAAGGATATTAAAGTTCTTTCCTTAATAGAGTAAGGGGTCATTAGCCCTTAATTAAACAAAAGAAAATAACAAAAAAATAGCCACTTATACCTTTTCAGCTGGACATCTGTGACATTGTCAATATCAATTATCTCACATTTTACACAGTAGTGAGAGAGGTGGTGTTGGTGGAAGAAAAGCATGTGTACAAAATTTATTCAATATCTAAGAAATAATATCTCCAACAGTGATATTATCACTAAATAAAATCACTGTTTGGAGTTTTGATTCGAGGAATTATATCACGAGGGCCTGAGTGATATAATGTAGCACATCCAAATGACAAACACTGATTTTATAAAGAGATAAAATTACTGCTTGGGATATATTAATTTCGATTCTAGCACGACCTGAACAAATAAGTAATGCTGCCGTACCTGATATCAAGCTAAATTGTGCCCGATTTGTTACCGTGCTTATTTTTGGCATGTCACATTTAATGGTTATGTCAAAAAAAGATCGTCAATAGTGATTTATTGCATATTTACACACTTGCAGTCTTTCTGTGTTCAATAGGGAAAAATTCAGGTCATATTAGAATGTACTATATTATAATGTACATTAGCCGATTAAATATGAATGCAAACTATGCAATACTCAATATAATCACACCAACTAATGCCGCAATAAATTAAAGGTGGTAATTATCCATCAATAATGCATGGTTTATCCATTTCAGGTATGAAGCTGTGATATTTATTATATTGTATCTAGTCTATATCCTACTGATGTACTTTAACACCTCTCTTGAGATGTGGATCGTGCCAAAATTTACGTGTTGTGGAATTCATAAAAAAGCCGATAACCTCGACGTGGTTGTCATGGTAACGAGAAATAAAGAAAATGGACAGTCATCTTTTACAAATGCAGCATCAAATGATCATTTACATGTAGAGTCAAAGTTTATTGGACAAGGTATCAGCTGATATATCATTAAAACGGATTGGTCTACAATTGGCACATTTCTAATTATTTCAAATACAGTCAAACATGTATTAAGCGACTGCGCAAGGGAAACACCAAAAATGGTCGCTTTATGAAATTGTCTCTTAAGACAAAAGCATGATGAAAGGTCAACATTTATACATTACATCTTTCCTTTGTAGTAATACACGTTTGACTGTACTGATAAAAATGAAATAGAAATGTGTCTTTTGGATATTCTTACAAACTATTTATTAAAAGAAAATATTTTATCTAGTTCTAAGAGATTTAGTTTGATCATTTTTTATATGATGAATAATAATATTTTGTTCTAGCACTTAATTATCTGCTATACATGAATATTGATATGTAATATCATATCTGATGTTGGACCCACACTTGATATTTTAATGGTGTTGGACCTATTCCCTTTAAGATTAATGATGCAAAATTAAAGGCTTAATTTTGATTATTGGAATTTAATATTTTAGGATTTAGTGTCAATGAACATATTGATATCAAGTCTATGTAAGAAGCATGAAAATGTAGCATGATTTAACAAAATTCCCGTCCCTAGATTTGCCACTACTTGCCAGCTATTTCCACTGAAAAGGGTGGCATTTAGTGTAAAAAAGGTGGCATTAACTGGAAAATGACAAAATTCCACTCTTTTTCCACTGAAGTGGCAAAATTGCCACCAAATGCCACTATCCTTTGGTGGCATTTAGGTGGCATTGAGTGGAAATTTGAACATAGACTTTTTTTATGGTGGCAAAAGGGTGGAAATTGGTGAAAAATGAAACTTAGTTTATTTTGAAGGTGGAAAATGAGTGGCTTTTAGTGGAAAAATGAAACTCTAACTTTTTTCTGGGTGGCAAAATAGTGGAAAAAAACTTAGAAAATTTTGTGAATAACTTTTAGTCGAAAAGGGAAACTCTTAACTATTTTCTGGGTTGTATAAAAATTGGTGGAAAAAACTGAGAAATCTAATAATTGTGCATTGCAGGGTTTAAGATTCATTTAAGTCAAAGCTCCAAACTGACATAAATCTGTTTATAGTTTGTACTCTACCAAAGCATCAAGTGAACTTTTTATCAAAAATATAATTTATTGAAGTTGAACAGTTAAAAATTTTTATCAGAAACTCATATTTCTTAAACATACTAGAATGCCATGAACACAATTCTGATACAAAGTCACTGCCTCACAGTAACGGTATGATAATTCCAGCTGTAAAGTAGCAGGAAAAGACACAGAAATTGGACGTTAAATCACTTTTCCAGGCGTTAAACACATATAATTATGATCAGGAAAAATTAGAAAAGTATGGGGTTACTTAACTTCCCATTTTTTATGGCAGTACTTTTCTTTAGGGATGTAAACCCGGGTGTAGATTTTCCGAGGTTTATGAAAAAAACCATGGAAACTGCTTCAAAAACCTTGGAAATAAACCAGTTTTACAAGGTTTTTTCTTAATTCCGAGGTTTTTTTTAAAACCTTGGAAACTTTATGCAAGGTTTTTGTATAAAAATCCTTGGAAATAAAGAAAACCTTGGAAACTATCTCGGAATTAAACACTCTGCCAAAAATCAGCTCGGAAAAAGCTTGGAAATAAGAACTTTGTCATTTTTTTGATCGGAAAAGAACTTAGAAAATTTACGTAAAATTTGTTGGAAACACTTTGCCAATATTTAGCTTGGAAATGACCTCGGATAATTGAACTTAACTAAATTTCATCTCGGAAAATGTTAAGACATAATCATGATTTAACTTATAATGGGCATCAAAAGCAATAATCAACAGTTACAGCAAACTAAGATAACAACCCAACTGTAGATTGCCAATGGATATTTCTTAATCCATGGTCAGAGCAAACAATTGTCCAACAGCATGGAAAGGAGAGATTTGGTCCAGGGAATCAAATTTTAGACATTGTCAATTGCCAACTTCCTTTTCAATAAATTTGTACTTTAATCTTCTGAAGCCATTTTTGTGGGAGGAATCAATTAAAAAAATTTAAGTGTGACAACATGGAAAAGTTAAATACAATGTAAATTCCTTGTTGCCATAAAATACCTTTTATTAATGGCTATAAAGGTATTGTAACTAATCATAATAAGATAAAGATTATTCAAATAACTGATGATCAGAAAGACTTGAAAATTTTATTTTTTTAATTTTCATATTTTTTTTTTATTATTTATAATTTTTGTTACTCGATATCTTCTCCATTTTTAAGAATAGATAAAAGAGCAAAACTTATAATTATACAAAAAGAAACAATCAGTGTTTATGTCTATTAGTTTCTAAATGCATCAGTATTTTTCCTGCAGTTTCTTTCTATATATAGACTTAACTTGGGGTTTCTTGACAGCCTGTAAGCAAAACTGAAATAAGAATGCTATTAATCTTTAATATATGTTTTTATGCCATATAAAATAGTATATTCTACTAAGCAAGTCTGTGACATACATTCAGATTACAATTTACTCTGCCATTAATTATGTGTACAATAAACATAAATAGTTATTAATTGTCCTTTTAATATATAATTATGTACAATTAATGTGTAAAATATGTAGGCTTGATACTTTCTTATAATTAAGATAAATAAATACTGCATCCACTATTAGTTTTCACACACAGAATATAACACACTGATCAGATAAAACTAATGGCACCCCAGGTGGTTTCCTCTTATAATCTATGCATGATCAATCTTCTCATTGAGCATTCTGGGATAGACCAGATTGTTCCATGTGATTATTCAGGGGGAGTCTGGGTTTTTATACAATCCAAAACAGTCTAAAATGACACTGCAACTGTGATTCTCTTATAATTTTCAAGTTTTACTTTTATTTATCATTTGATATATTTGTACCTTCAGTAAAATTAATGTAAAAATAAAATGATGATGGCTTTGATATTTTGGGATCCCCCCTGTTTCACATTATGATTGCCCCTTCAGTTATACTGTTGAAAAATTTGAATCTCAGACATAAATGGGTCAAGTGGTTATAGTTGGAAGTAGTGCAAACCTGGATTTATTTTAAGCAATTTTGGACATATCTTGTTTTAAATGTTAGGGAGCATATTTTGGAATTTTCAAAGAAAACATTTATCTAAGTGTGACAAGAATCAGGAAATGTTTGGTTGTTGTAATTGAACCTAAAGATCAATTACCTGGGACAGGAAGATAAACAAAAGAAACATGATGGTAAAAAGGTTCAGGTAAATAATTTTAGATACATTTATGCATAAAATCTGTTTTTTTTTTTTTTCAAATAAGTATTAAATACAAACTATTTTAGATCTATATTTTAACCTAAATGTAAGCTAGTTTAAATACAATTGTTTAGAGGATATTTTATGAGTATTAATGTTATTTTTGTCTATGATTGTATTGAACAAGATAAGTGCATGAAACTATGATGACATTATTTATAAACTTTCATCTTTCATCTATTATTTGAATCTACAAATTTTTAATTACAGAGTCAGCTTGTAAGCAAGTTTGCAAGACTGTTCCAAACTACAAGAAGATGGCAATCCAGCTTTGCTGTGTTTTATCATAGTATATCATTGGCATCCAGGCATCGATTAAGGAAGCCAACTGTAGACCAGGAAAGGCTTCAAGGAATATACTACAGTATGTTTTTGTTTTAAAACTAGGTTTTGAAAGTTTCAATTTGAAATTTGAATGAATGAAGGTTTCTGGAACTGATTTTTTTATTGATACTTTGTTGGAAATGCTGTTAATGTTACATGATGACTCTCCAGCTTTATTGATGCAGATGTCACTTTGAGCAGACAGATACAATTAGTGTAGGCAATCGGAATCACCTTATGAAAAGCGTTATTTTTTGCAATATTTTTAGAGTGCTTTAGGTTGTAACATCCAGTATGACATTATCTAAAATAATAGTAACAGACATCGAACTGTCCTGAGTATAACCACAGGTGTTCCTTAATCCTGGGCTGGATAGCTCCCTCAGAGGGTAGAAGCCCATCCTGGCTTCAGGAGTCAAAAATACAATGTTGTAAGGCAAGTAGTTTGAAGTCTTTGATCCTGACCACATGGAGAGGGAAGCGCCCAATGGAGAGGGAAACGCCCAGTGGTGATTTTATATAATTGTTTTTCTAACTTCTTTCAATGGCTGTACTTTATTAAATGTTTACTTTATTTATTTCAGGAATTGTATCCTGGAGCATTTTCCACATGTGACCCCTGTGATGGTGAGGGAAAAACTAAGGGACATATAAAAATCATGAAGAGTGAACAGGAATTCAAAAGATAGATATTTGAATACATTTAAATTTAACCGGATACCAAAATATTATAACTGAACATTTGAGTGTAATATTTACCATTAAAGACTTCTAACTTAACTTTTCATTTGTAGTGCATTACTATTTACTTCACACTGACATTAAATGTTTCAGTGAGTCATGTGATCATTTTTTGCTCTGTATTATTACAAAGAAGTTTCTTAATTCCTTAAAAGGACAATATAATTGCTCTTTTCAGAATATTTCATTGGATGTTATATTTTCTGATTTTCCATGGATATTCTAGAAATTTCCGAGGTTTTTGCTCAAATAAACCTTGGAAATTTCTCTGATGCCCTTAAGTAAGAATCCTCGAAAATATAACAGTATTCCCAGTTGTGAGAAACTTTCCGAGGTTTTCATTTAAAAACCTTGGAAAACAAACCACGGAAACACTTTAAAAATCCTTGGAAATCGTTCCAATACTCCGAGGTCACTCATTTTCCAAGGTTTTCTAAACAAAATCCTCGGAAATTATTTAACGAGGTTTTTATTCTGAAATCCTTGGAAATCGTTCCAATACTCCGAGGTCATACTTTTTACGAGGTTTTTTTTAAAAAAAAAACTCGGAAATTTTTTACAAGGTTTTTCACCCTCTCCCTATTTTTCCAAGGTTTTTTTCATAGCAAAGTTTTGCATTTTCTTGTTCCAATACTCCGAGGTTTTTTTCCAAGGATTTTGAGCCAAAAACCTTGGAAAATCTACACCCGGGAAATTTGACTTTCAAGTCAAAATGTTTATGTTCCATTCTATGCTTGTAAAATAAAATTACGGCTTTTAAAGTGTACTTTGTTCTTTGGTTATAATCTGTACATTAAATAGTTGAAATGTTCTTCTATGCCCAGAAAATGCATATCTCTGCATAAAGTTTGTTGCTTCTTCTATGATATTTAATGTCAATCTTGAATAAAGTTTGACTTTTGTCTTTTCTTCTAATTGACATAATAAATTGTCTCTTCAATATTACTTTAAACTGATATCTGGTGAGTACTAACACTTTTCATGTAATGCTTACAATAATTAAAGTGAAAAATGCAAAGGGCAATAACTCCAAAAGTATGCAAATAGTTATGGTTCTTAAACACAGCACATTACTCAAAAAGATCTATATCTGTGAAGTTTTTAATTAATATCTCCAGAACTTTTTAAACTTAATGATCAAGACAAAAATTAAGCATAGAGAAGTAAAAAATGGCAATAAACCCCAAATCATGCAATAAAAAGTTATGGTTCCTTGGCATTGTATTTTCTCATAAATATGATTTAGTTATATGTGGAGTTTAAAATTATTGTCTCTAACATCTTTTGTGCTATGCTTTCAGAGGCTTTAAATCTATTGTAAAAATTAATGTGTGAAAAGTAAATAAGTCATAATGTCTGATAAATTTCTTACAATCAGGATAAGTAACTACTAGCTTAAGTAAATACTGCATCCTCTAAGATTTAACAACACAGCATACATCTCAGATCTGATAAAACTACTGCCCTCTTATCTAGTAATCTATGAATGGGGGTTAATAGTTTACTCATGCTGACCAGAATGTTCCATTTGATTATTTTGGGAGAGGCAACATTATACATGTTTTTATGTAGAATTTGTCTTAAAATAGCATGCTAAATTATCTTTCAAAAGCTTATTTCTACTCAATCTATTTAGGTATTAGATATAGTTATACATTCAAATGAATGTAAAAAATAAAATGATGGGTGCTATGGTTTTTGGAAAATCCCTCACAATTTAAAGTTATAATGGACTGTCCATGCAGTTACACCGTGTAAAGTTTGAATTCAAAAGAATTGAGGTCAGTTAAATCTTGCAAACACAAAGGAAATTATTGATATTGTAGCAATTCTGGAGATATTTTGTTTAAAATGTAAGGGTGCATATTTTTGATTTCTCAAAGAAAACATTTAAAGTCTTATTAGCGTGAGAAATGAGAAGTTTTAACTGAAGTGTGAATGTGTAGACAAGAAGATAAACAGCAGAATCATTCCCAGTCAAAGTTTCAGGTAAACAACATTTACATACAATAATTATTGTTATTTATGCAGAAACTGTTTAGTTTTTTGACAGAAAAAATATGAAGTGTTATTGTATAAAATTGTGTTTTATATTTGTTTTGTTTGTAACTTGACTAAAAAGAAAGCTGCATGTACAATGAACATATAAAGAATGTAGGAATATAAAGAATGTAGGAAGATCTTCATCATTTCTTAGATACAATATGTTAGAAATTTTAAGTTTGAGAAAAAAATTATAGAAATTAATCAGTAAGTACAATTATCATTATGAACAATATTACATCAATCAAACTATAGATAACCTGAGGTACCTATTACTACAACTTTCATGCTATAAACAATTTTCCTTGTGTGTCACATGTGGAGCAGATTAACAGTAACTGATTTATTAGTAAGTTTCATTCCCTCATTGTTGTAATTCAGCTTTCATGGTGCAGTAGATAATTATATAACCATAACTAGGCAGTCTAGAGTAACATGCTATTAGGAGGATGACAGTTCATAACAGAAACAGCATTAAATAAGAATTATTATTTTGCAGACACAAAGCAATGAGGAGCAGCCTGGAGCAACACATTTGATCTTCAGTGGATTTACAAAGGTATCTTGTTAATTTAAAGTTATTTTAGAATTAATAGGAAAGAAGTGTCACAGTACCCAATAAGACACTTTTCAGTTCTTGATAAAAAATAGCTATTAGTCACTATTAACAAACCTACTTTAATTCAAACTCTTTATGACACTTTAATTTGCATTTACATTCTGTTTTACAAATTTTTAGTGTTTTTGTACATTTTAGCTTGAAAATTTTATCAAATATTTATCCTGATGAAGGTTCGTTAAGAACTGAAACTGGAAGATTATTAATTACTCAACCTGCACTGGTAATGATGTGTTGTATTTCTTTATTTCTTTCTTATTTTAAAATTTTAGAGTTGTAGACATATACCAAGGTCTTATAAAAGTGTTTCATTTTCTGTCTTTACATATTAGATATTGATAATCATTTTCTGTCTTTACTTATTTGATATTGTTAATCATATTTTAGGACCAAGTGATGGCAGAACTGAAGCCATATGCCTCAAAAGAGAAAGGTACAGCAAAGCTCTTCAGAATGCTATTCAATATAGAAGAGATTAAAGGCCGCTCATTGTTTGGTATGAGGAAAGGGAACAGAGAGTCTGACGCCAGACCTTCTTGTGCAGACAAGGCAAAACTTAAGTTCTTGGAAGGTAACTAATGAATTGAATGAAAATATCATTTTTGATTCTGCGCATATTTTCTGCATTGGAGTAAATAAGAAAAGTCTGATTCTTCCACGTCTGCAGTGCTGTTTTTTAAAGTGTTTTAATCATATCTATGCACTCAAATTGAATATAGAAATATCCAATAGTCATATAAAAATGTAAGCTCATGTTTTTAATTATTGTATTAATCATTCATAATTTTTTTTTGTTTTAGATTGTGCACTCGAAAAGTTGCCGACAACCTAAAGGACTGAACTCAAACCGTCCAGGAATAGCAAGATAAACTGAAGAAAATAAATGGACTAATGTTTTGCTATTTGTTGAGACAATACATAATTTCATATGGAAACATTAAAAAGGATTATTTTTAAAATTTGTTTGTTTCCAATTTAGGGTACAGGGTGACTTTCAAGCAGTTTCCAGCTATTGCCACCCACAAGGTGGAAAATTTCTGAAAGGGTGAAAATAGGTGGCATTTAGTGGAAACTGAATTTGCCACAGTCTGGTGGCAAAATGGTGGAAAAGTGTCTAAATACTCCACCAATTTTCCACCCTTATGGTGGCAAAAGGTGGAAATAAGTGGCATTTGGTGGAAAATAAGTTTGCCACTCAATGGTGGCATAATGGTGGAAATTTGTCTAAATACTCCACCAATTTTCCACCATTATGGTGGCAATAAGTGGAAACAAGTGGCATCTAGTGGAAAATGAGTTTGCCACCCTAAGGTGGCATAATGGTGGCATTATGGTGAAAGTTTGTCTAAATACTCCACCAATTTTCCACTCATTGGTGGCATTTAGTGTAAAAAAGGTGGAATTAACTGGAAAATTATATAACATCAGTCCTGCTCAAATTTTTCACCATTTTCATGATTTGGGTGGCGTTTTGGTGGCATTATTGGTGGAAAATTGTCTAAATACTCCACCATTGAAAAGGGTGGCATTTTAGTGGCAAATCTAGGGACGGGAAATAATATTAAAATATATCAAAAAATTACTTTGATTAATTTAATTGCAAAAATAGATATCCATTTTAGTTAACAGTACCCCCAGGACCCATTTTAGTTAACAGTGCCCCCAGGAATTTTTTCAAACATAAGTATGTTTTATTCATTTTTGTTGTCTGAATTTCATGTAGTCAGGGTCTTTTATTTAAAAGGCATGTCTTAGGGTGTCATGACGGTTTCTGTGTAGAACAGTCATGTGATTATCCACAATACCTCAGTATTTCTGATCGGACCATTCTAATTTTGAAAGACCCAAATGTAAATGAAAGATTAAAGCTGGACAAATGTTTTTATGATATATTTTCAGATACCTCTGACTTTGATTCAGATTTTGAAGATGACGGTGATGATACTAATGTGCCTTTAATGAGAAACTCTTCTTTATCAAATAAACAACAAGGTTTGACATTTTTTTCCTGTTCTGTTCTGTATTGTACCTGACTTATTGCATGAGTTATTGTATAAGTACCTAATCTCACACCCAACCTATTCTCAAACCTTCCATTCATGAGCTGTTTATGTTTGATTAGTAGTGCCTATGATGTCATCAACTTATAAAAGCTTAGTTTCTGACAGACACGTCTGCAGCTGTCAAATAAAAACATTATGCATAGGAACGTATATAAATACGTTGCATGCTGCGTTCTTAAAGCTCATTTGGTAAATTTAATACCTATCCGAATGTGTAACTGTTTATTTTATATTCTCAAGTATTAATGTAATAATGTAAAATGTCAGCTTTAAGTGTCACAGCCATGATTGTACATTGAATTTTATAATATAAAACATTATAAATGATATAATAAATTTGAGCCGTGTCACGACAAAACCAACATAATGGGTTTGTGACCAGCATGGATCCAGACCAGCCTGCGCCTCCGCGGATGTGCAGGCTGGTCTGGATCCATGCTGGTCGCAAATGCACTATGGTTTTGTCGTGACGCGGCTCAATTATTATTTTATTGTTAATTTTTAGAGTCCACTCAGGAGAAGACGGAACATGTTTTAAGTATACCAGAAACTTGGTGGAAGAAAGCAATCTGGGGTGTATCTCTACCACTAAAACTTCTGTTCTACATCACCATACCAGATTGTAGATATACAAGATGGCGGAGCTGTTTTATTGTGACGTTTATCATGAGTCTAGTCTGGTTATCTTTTCTTTCATATCTGATGGTGTGGATGATAACTATAATAGGTAAACCAGTCTTTGTTAATCACATTTTATCATCGCAGATTCATTTTGTAATATGGATTTTCATTGGACAGTCATAAATGATGAATTATTCTTTAAATAAACATTTCGCCCATTTGAATGAAGTAAATTCTTATGCTTTTGTCAGGAAATATGTTCAGATGAAATGTCATTTATTTCCATGAAAAATAACTTTATTTAGGTAATGATAAAATATGGTAGATTAAGCAAGAAAAAATTTCTTACATGGGTTTGCGGCTCAGATTAAAATATCGTCAGGTTACCCACCAATATAATAAGAAGTTAAAAAAGTACTTTGGAAAACTACATGCCTGAAAAAGAAAAGCTGGGAAACACAGTGATATTGTTAAAGAACAAATACACTGGCCCTAAATTTTGATGACTTTCTTGTGTATAAGACAAACTTATTACGCAAAACTGCTAAAAACTGTCACATATAAAATGACTTTTGAACTTCATAAGATACAAAGTGTATTACATTTATACATTTATCTACTATTTTAAGACCTGTAATATTTAGTATTGTATTATAGTATTTACATGTATGTAGATCTGTCACACCAAAAATTGATATACTGCTGAAAATACTTAATTAATTATTTGTACTATTTGTATATTACAGGTTACACTGCGGGTATAGCTGATACAATCATGGGGTTGACATTTATTGCTTTTGGAGTGAGTTTACCAGATGTTATATCAAGTGTTATAGTGGTACGTGAGGGACTCGGGGACATGGCTGTCAGTAACGCTGTAGGCAGTAATGTGTTTGATATTCTTATATGTCTTGGATTACCTTGGCTCATACAATGTTTAATCAAAGGAAAATCTGTGCAAGTCTACAGTCAAGGTAAGTTATCAGCTGTGTAATGAACTTCCAGTAGCCTGGATCAGTTATTGCCAGTTATCTTTCTTAGCACGAATTATTGCCCTTGAGGTCATTGGGTTATGACGTGCAAATTTATTAAAATTATAAAGTTTCATTGAACAACCAACAATGTTACAACAGAAAATAAGCAGCAGTACATGTATATAAAGTAAATAAAGGAGTATAGCCTTAAAAATTTACAATTATATACTTTAATATGTGATTGTTTTTACTATCATTAACGCCTTTCATTGATCATTTCAACTTGACTTGATATTAGTCTTGTTTCCATCATTCATGGCTGTTCTTCACAAAAATAATATGGTAACTATCAAGTCAAAAAATTTATGCATATAAGTCACCCCAGTTATTTTCTAGAAATGTATAGCTGTGTTTTATTTATATTTATTTTTTGTTTGTTTGTGTGTGTGTTTGTTAATATTTTGTCTTTATTTTTGTTATTTGCAGGTTTATTGTATGCAACTTTGACTCTGCTAGCCACAGTGATTTTTCTTCTCTTCTCTACACATATCAATGGCTGGAGATTAACTAAAAAATTCGGTCTCATACTGTTACTGGTCTATGTATTATTTACTATATTAACTTCACTCTATGAGCTCAATGTATTTGGCTATGTACATCCAAAAGAATGTGTGTCTAACTATTGAGAGAAACCTCTGTTTTTATGTATTTTTATGACGATACCAAAAACAATGTGATATTAACATAGATTAAGCAATTTTATAACTTTGAACAGTTGGCATAGCAACTTTAAAATATGATAATTCTTGATACATGACTTTGTGTTCAGTTTTATTTATACTTAAGTTTTCTCCATGTCATAAAAGTGTAGTCACATAGATCAAGCAACGTATAACATTAAAAATTTTAGTTAAGAGCTTTTGTTAATGTTTTCTATAGTGGTAATGTTTAGCTCATCTTTTTCGAATAAAAAGTCCAGCTATTATTATTGCTGTGACATTGTCATCATGTAAAACCTCTAATATAGCCCATTATTCAAATATTTTATAAGTTATCAATGTGAAACATGTAATATTTGCTTATCATGCCAATGTGCAGTTGTAAGACAATTCTGAAGGCAAATTTTTGGATTTAGAGTTAAAATAGATTTTTTTGTCAAAATTGGTTATGATCAAGTTGTTGCCCTAGAAGAGCATTAACACAGCTCTTGTTATTCATTTACGCCATATTATCAGTTACATGTATAAGGATTAAATATAAGTGTCTTTTTATTTATTGAAAGCTATAGCATTTTTTTATTTTTGGATGACAACGAAAGACTGTTTTAAGGGTATGTTTTGAAGGGGTATTTATATATGGTAAAGTAAATACCAAGTAGAAGCTTAATCTTAATTTGTATTTTGCTGAACTTTTTTGTTTAACAATTTTGTATATATTCAAAGATTATTGTGCAAAAGTATTTAACAAAACTTACATAAAGATTTTTTTATGGTCAGAACATTTTATTGATATTAATACAGATTTCTTTTATTTTATGTCTTTATATTTGTTTTAAATGGCTATTATAAAATAGGAAATACATATAAAGTAAATGTTAACACAATGGCATTGCAATAAAGATGTTGGTTTATAAAACACCCAAAACATTTGGTGTTGACTGTATACAATGTGTTAGCTCAAGAAAGTTGATTGTGTTAACTGTAGTGTTATATTTAAAATTTTATCAATAGTTTTATGGTAATGTTGATTGGAACCTGTGCACTGCAGGTTTGTTGTTTCAACCTATGTAATGTAGGTTTGAAAATTAAAACCTAACCTGTGTACTATGGTTTGGTAGGTTTGTAGTTTTGAACCTGTGAAATTTAGGTTTGTAGTTTCAAACCTGTGTAATACAGGCTTGTGGTTTCAAACCTGCATACTGCAGCTTTGTAATTTTGAACCTGTGTACTACATGTTTGTAGTTTCGAACCTGAAATGTAGGTTTGTAGTTTCAAACAAGAGAAATGCAGATTTGTAGTTTTGAAATAATTTACTATATGCTGCTGGTAGCAGGTCTGTTCTTTTATGGATAAGTTTAGGTAATTACAAAACAAGCCTATCTTTATGTACATGAGGTAACCAGTATAGTTTGCTCAGTTGGTATGTGTGAATGATATATAAGGTCTGATGGTTGAATGTGTGTAACTTTTATAATACACTAAGTTGAAGGCATTTTAAAAAATAAATGAGTTCCCTACCACAGTCTCTTTTGGGAATGTTCTACTAACGGCGTTTGTGAAAACAGCTTAATTAGTTCTTGTTCAAACTTAAGGAAAATGTTTATTTTTGTAACTCAGGCCTGTATATTTGACGAAAATATTGTAAGAAACGGTACATAATCTCGAAGATTGAAGGAAAATGCCTGTTTTTTTCTGACACATGCATCTGATGAAAATGTTCTTACATAATCTCAAAAATAACAAAACACAGACATGGCAAATTCAGGTAGGCTAGTTCTGTATTGTGTCTGGTATTCACTGGTAGAGTTAATTTCAGGTTGTGATTTCTATGTAAATCTTGTTACTATATAATATAAAAACAATTTTTTGTATGTTTTTACTTACATAGTCTATAATTATAAATGTGATATCAAGTGTAAATTTCTACAATGTGTAATAAAACTTACATTTTCAGTACAAATGTGTTGTTAAAAACTACGCATAGCTCTATTTATTAAAGTTTATAAGTAGTGTTATAAAGATATAATTTATTAAATTTTTATGCTAGATTTTTATTTTATGGTTTACTGCTGAATTTCTATATATATTTACTGAATCTCTTTCTCTATATTATTTTTACATACTTTCTGCAAAGCTCAAATTTATTGTAGCTTCAATAAAGAATCTATGTATATTTTGTATATATATTTAATCATTTATATTTTCTAAATATGATTGGGTGAAAGTTTGGGTGAAAGGTATATTTATATGTTTAAAGATGCCTTCTATAGTACATAGAGGATATTCAAGTTCTTCTATAAATACAGGATTTATTTTCATTGAGTGGTATGAAAATAAATATTTCATGAGTGTCAGAAGCCACGAGTGAAATGTGATAATTTTCACAAGATGAATTTACCACAAGATGAAAACAAATCCTGTATTCATAGAAAAAACTTGAATTTTTTTGTTTATTATATATACTTTCTCTCTTTTTTAACCTTGTAAATAGGAAGAATTTTCTTTTAACTTTGTGTATTGGCTGAATATAGAAGAAAGTAGTCCGACAAAACACCAGTGAAAATATGGAAAATATGTTTCACTGCAGTGAAAAGTAGATTTTACGGTAAATAAAACACGCATTTTATTTCATCAATATTTCATTTATAAGTATGTAATAAATATAATTATTGTGTAATATCGTTTCTTACATATTTACGCATATTTCACATAATTTTACATACAGTACTGTAGGATAAAATGAGCAACCATTCGATAAAGATATGTGAAATTTTGAATTTTCCAGACTGGCTTTGAAGCAATTGTCCATCACCAAATAAGATTGGAAGTTAATAAAATGACATTGACTTCCTTTATGTTATCAAGTATTCAAGTTAGTTTAGATGCTTTCAATAAGGTTTCCCTAAGTAGGAATAGTTTTTTTTTCTTGCTCAATATTAGACTGATTAAAACAGGGCTAGTTTTTCTGCATGCTTATGCAAGCTTTGATGTTCTTAACCAATTTTGCACAATTATGACAATACTGAATACACAGTTCCCTGTGATTCTACAAATTTGAAACTTTTTCCATTTCATTATACTGCTTACATGCTGTTACAGAATTTCAATATTAGCAATTTAGAATCTCAAATAGTAAAAGTATAAAGCCATACAATGTACCATTTACATATACATTATCAGTATTCAATGTTCCAGCATTCCCTCCTTAATTATTACAGCCAGTATATGACATTATCTAATGACATTCAAATATGACATTCCCATATGTTACTATATTACATGTTGTTTTTACACCTCCCCCCTCCCCCTCCCTCTTATGCAATCCTATGTTTATTATATTATTTTTGCTACTGTTGATTATGGTGTTAGGTTGTGCACTTAAGTTTAAGGTTGAAGGATTTTAGGTCATTGTCTTGGAGGCTTTTCTTCATACACCTTTCTTAACTGACCATTATACTATTCATTTTTATGCAGCTACCAAATAAGTACTTACTTCTGCAGGAATTGAATGTCTGCAATTTCTGTGACAGATAGTGTGATCGTAGATTTTTAACCTTCAGATATTTATTAAGCTGTTTTGTCTGTATTTGTCTGTATTTTTGTATGTTATATTGTTATTTCTACAATTCATTGTCATGTTGTGTAATGTCAGTTTTAATGTATTATATTAAGATGTTTAGTGCTGTGTAAGTCTGTTTGAGTAAACGATGTAAAGTTGTTCAGTGCAGTGTAAAGTCTGTTTCAAAATATGATTTGCAGTTATTTAGTGCTGTGTAAAGTCTGTTTGAATGTATGATGGTTAGCTGTTTAGTGCTGTGTAAGTCTGTTTGAGTAAACCATGTAAAGTTGTTCAGTGCAGTGTAAAGTCTGTTTCAAAATATGATTTGCAGTTATTTAGTGCTGTGTAAAGTCTGTTTGAATGTATGATGGTTAGCTGTTTAGTGCTGTGTAAGTCTGTTTGAATGTATGATGGTTAGCTGTTTAGTGCTGTGTAAGGTCTGTTCAAATATAAAATGTTAAATTGTTAAGTGCTGTGTAAGGTCTGTTTGAATGTATGATGGTTAGCTGTTTAGTGCTGTGTAAGTCTATTTGAGTGTGTAATAATTAGTCAATGTTTAATGTTGTGTAAGGCCTGTTTGAATGTATAATATTAAGTTATTTGGTGCTGTGTAAGGTCTGTTCAAATATATGATATTAAATTATTTAGTGCTGTGTAAGGTCTGTTTGAATGAATTATCTTAAGTTGTTTTAGTTTGTTTGAATGTATAATGTTAAGTTATTTGGTGCTGTGTAAGGTCTGTTTGAATGAATTATCTTAAGTTTTTTAGTTTGTTTGAATGTTTTATGTTATGTTGATTAGTTTAAATGTGTAATGTTAAATATGTTTGAACGTATTATGTTGTGTAAGTCAGTTTAAATGTGTAATAATAAGTCAATGTTTAGTGCTGTGTAAGTCTGTTTTAAAGTACATGTAGTATATAAAGTTGTTTAAATCATGTGAGAGACTTAAAAATATGTATTTGTTTTTTACTGTATGACATAATTAATCTGTTTCATAAAGTTTATTGTGATATTTTTATATTGATATGAATGAATAGTAATGTTAAATAATAAGGTCTCAGTTGTTACATTACACTCATTATTTATCATTAAATGTCAATAAGTGATTTATAATACAACTCAATGGATTTTCTGAATAAGAAAATATTTTGGCATTTTTGTTGGACATCACAAGTGAATAATACTTGTTGGAATAAAGATAGTTTATGCTATCAATATACATGTATAGTTCATCACATTTTGAGAACTCTTCTATATAGACACGAAATGGGAGTAAAGATAGTTTTTGCTATCAATATTTAGTTAATCACATTTTGAGAAGCCTTCTTTATAAAGAAATAATGCATGAATGGGCACATGAGGTCTTCCTGTACCAGTAAAGCTGGAAAGTTGTGATATGACAGACCTTATCAGTGTTAGTGTGACATAAATTCCAACCAATAAAAATATATATGCAACATTATGATGCCATATTTAGATTTGCTAGTCTGTCAATTATTATAAGTATTAAACTTTTAAACCACTTTGTATCAGATGTACGATAAATTTAATGTTTAGATAAGCTATTTTCAATTAGTTAGTTTTTACCTTGATTTTTTCTTTCTCACTATTAAATGTAATCATGCTAATGTAACGACTAGAAATTTTTACATTGAAATATTGACTTTAATTTTCATATGTATTTTTTTGTCATTGTGACTGTAATATGTATACTTCTTTTTCTTAGTGACTGTGACGTGCATGTATACTTCTTTTCTTATAAACTTACTTTTTGTACTAGTTCTTGAATAAACTTTTTGTCTGTTTTTATTTGGTATGAATTTAAATATGTGCAGTGTAATCTAGGAATATGACTTTCAAACACCTCTTAAAAGGTATAAAGCTATATACATATACATGTATTATCAAATAATTTTGTAAAATCTATCAACTGTAAAATTGTATTGTTTCCATGATCTTATGATTTATTTTAGAAAAAGTTGTATCATAGAATGTGTCTGTTACTTAACATGCATGAATATTGTATATAAACAGAATATGATGTTCCCGAACAAAATATTGTGCTGCTTTTTCAAGTACTGAATATTAACTGTTTAGCAGTTTATGATTTCATGCATGCACCTTTCTGTTTTAAGGCAATATTCTTCCATTGTTTTTAAGGGTTGAGGTATCAGAATTGCAGCCACCATTCATCCCTGGCTGCATGATCGTTAGAGGCAACTGAATGGGTTCGAATTACTGGAGTCTGTGCATTTCTTGGTGTTGCGTACAGTTTGTAACACCCGAGGTTAGCCAAAATCATCTTTCCTCTTTCAGGGCCATATGACTTAAATTGTGTTGGTGTACCTTAAAACCAAACTAAACAAAAACAATTCATGGCCAGTCATATAATTTAGATCTGGTTTATTTTAACTTTTGTATGGTTTGGAAAATGTCAAGTCATCACTCTTAGGTGCCGTAATTAAGTGCATCTGATTTTTAATGATAACACCTATATTTATAAAAAAAAGTCTCAAATGGTTTGATACCGGTTTTTGTAAGTCATTAGTGATAAACTCTAATTTATATTATGTCTGTAATTGCACATCACATCAGAATTAGTTTTATGATAACATACATGTTTCCTGACCCATATTGATAACATTTGTATATTTTTATAGTCATTTGTATGAGTGAATAGTTTTTTCTTCCTTTGAATGTACATGTTCTAAATGCATTACCACAAATCTGTCTTTATTTATTAGATTTCCATATGTAAATGACATTTAAACCATGACAAAGTTGTAAACTTTTTTAGTACATTGTATTGCACTAGAAAAGGTTTCCGGTACTCTGTATTCCTAAGACTAAGCTGTTTTACTCCATATACTTTTCATGATAATCTTTTCTTTGTGTTCCTTTACTACCTTTGTGTTCTTTTGCCTAAGACTTAGTCACTGTTTTAATTTCTATGTTAAATAATCTTATCTTTGTGTTCCTTTACTGCCTTTGTGTTCTTTACAACAGACTTACAATCATATCATATCTATTTATGTTTCTGTTCTTTTTTTTGTACCAGTAATTGTGTGAATGATGTGGCAATAGTGATTATTAGATAGCTGTGTTACAATAAATGATAACAGTATAGAAAATTTCAAGATGTATCAGGTAATTTTTATGTATCTCACGATTGTATTTTATAATCAGGAACATTTATATTTAGATATTTATTTATTTATATAAATATATTCCACTTTAAGTGGCTACTAATACTAGATAATAGAGTTAAATACAACAACTAGTTGAAGGATGTTAAATGAATCTGTATGTTAGATTTTTCACTGCCAATTATGATTATCTAAAGACCAAATCATGGCTAATATAATGTAGATCTTTGACGTAAATAATTTGCAAAGCACCTTTGGTTTAGCTCAATTATTTGAGCGTTAGACTTTGAATCGGGCAACCCATTTTTGATTCACTTAGGACAGTGCAATTCTCAGTGATTGATCATGAAATAATTTCTACGATTATAATCATACTACATTGTATACCTCTGCTCTGGCATGCACATAAATTATCAGTTCCTTGCAAAAGTGAAGACACTAGTACTGGTATACAGCTTGACAGATGAGGTGGCAGAAATGTACTCTGGTAATTCAAAATTGCAGTCTAAGAGGGTAGACTACAAAAAACACTACCATGTATGTAATTGCAAGAAAAAAATGTATGCTGGATTTTCTAAATTTTTGTAAGAATGGTTATGTAAATTTGTGTGTGAGTGTCATTTGAAGGTAGTTTGGTTATGTGATATTTTGTTTGAAATAACTTGTTTATTGTTAATTTTTTCCTTGATTATTCTGTTAGGAAAATATGTATTTATTCAATTATACTCTTTCCTACACATATGCCTTGTTGACTTTTTTTCCAGAAACATTTTTCACTTTTAATGTGCATGCTCTTCTAATAAGCCTATGAAGAGTGCATCATTTATGTGAGCAAATTTTTACGACTGATCTTTAAAGGTCCAAACAAGATTAATACAGCTAGAGCTTCTGTATTATATAGCAGAAGCTCCAGGGATAAAAATTGGCAGTATATACTTTAACCTTTAACAAGTCAAAATATTTTGATGTGCCATTGACCCATTAATGTCGAAAATTTAATTAAGTGGGTAAACAGGAAGTGGATAGTTACAAACCTGAAATCGAATCCCACAGTATGGGACCATGTGTCAATGCTGTATGCCAAATATCAAGAAGCTGTGATAAGAAGTTTCTGAGAAAACTGTTACGAAAATTTCCAACCATTGACCATTAATGTGGAAAAATTTAACTAAGTGGATAAACAGGAAGTGGATGAGGGACAGACCTGAAATCAAATCCCACGGTATGGGACCATGTGTCTATGCTGTATGCCAAATATTAAGAGGCTGTGATAAGTAGTTGCTGAGAATACAAAAATATTTTCCCCGCCTGCCGCCCGAAATTCACCATACTATAACCCGGATTTGCACCAGTGCAACCCGGTCAAAAATGAGACCTGGACAAATCTGTGTAAGAAATTCAGCGGCTTAAATAAATTATAATGGTTAATCCTGGAAGATACATTGTCACCTTAGCGCAGTAATGGGTTATGTCCTTCTAAATTTAATAGGAGTTAACAAGTTATTGCGCTAAGGTGATGACATGTAACTTCTATTGCAGCAATAAAATCATAAAAAGTACCTTCAAATACAAGTGTACTTTTATCCTATGCAGCTAATGTGAATGAAATAACAATGAAAAACTTAACATTTATTTCTCTCATAAATACATGTATATTATACAATAAAACATGCAATACTTGGTAAATTTGCATGTACAAATAATACAAATCTGCCAAAGTTCATAAGAGCAACAAAAACAAAATGACAACGAAAAGACAATACATGTTGCTCCTGAATCTGAACATTCAATTTACATGTACACTTTTCACAATGGTAGATGTAAAGTTGAAATCAGTGGTTTTATTTTTTTTTAACTTGCAAACTAAAACTTGCAAGTTGATCACTACATTTTGTGGACAGGTTTGATATATTGGTATATTAATCATATAAATATTACATCATACTACAGACTGTGCAAGGGCAAACCAAAACAAATAAATGGGAAATAATTCAAAAGTATTGTTTTGGTCTCCAACCAGCAATAAAAGGATGGTAGATAGGTAGGAATTTTATAACTATGCAGGTTCATTTTCTATAAATTCTTTTCTTTACACACAAATATTGAAAAGACAAGAGTTTGATAGAGTAAACGGGCACATGAAAAGTCTAGGTTTTGAAAAATGCTTGATACAGTTACCTCCTCCTGTTTACAGGTTGGGGTAATAATGGTGAACAAGTGTGCAAAGTTTCAAAGCCATATGTCAATGAACTTTGAAAATATTTGAGGTATTACAAAAACTTTGACATAAATTCTAAGTCAAAAAAGGGGCATAATTCTGTCAAAATGCTTGATACAGTTACCTCCTCCTGTCTACAAGTTGGGGTCATGATGGTGAACAAGTGTGCAAAGTTTCAAAGCCATATGTCAATGGACTTGGAAAATATTTAAGTATTACAAAAACTTTAACATAAATTCTAAGTCGAAAAAGGGGCATAATTCTGTCAAAATGCTTGATAGAGTTAGCTCCTCCTGTCTACAGGTTTGGGTCATGATGGTGAACAAGTGTGCAAAGTTTAAAAGCCATATGTCAATGGACTTTGAAAATATTTGAACCATTACAAAAACTTAAACATACAGTAAAAACTTGCTTTACGACCACCCCGTTTTCGAGACCAACCCGCTAATACGAACGATTTTTCCAAGACCCGATTTTTTTATTCTTTATTTTAATGGTCGCTAACCCCGATTTTGAGACCACCCCGTTATTCCGTAATACGACCAGTAAATTCAGTCCCATTTCGTAAATTCTGTACATTTGGAAACCCATAAATACGACCACGGGCACTTTCTCACCTTGATATTGACATGCATGTATATTGCAGAAATCTTTTAGACACGTAGTGTAAACAACAGTTGTCCTAGTTTTACGACATTTAACCACATCCAATTTACGGCAGAGGTCAAGGTTACTTTGTATCAAACCCGGAAATGATCAATAATATTGTCGATAATTTCTTAATTTCACACCTTTGATGTCATAACTGGAGGATTAAAACAACAAAATATTGAACAGAAAACTTTCAATAAATTTTTTAGAGGTGTTGCTGCTATCATTATCTCTTTCGTTCCATAATTTTAAACAAACATAAACATGATACGATTAGGTTTTTGAAGTTGTTATCGGCGATGAAAACTGTGAAAATAATTAAAGGTTAATTGGTTGATGTGCTTTGTAGTAAAATGGTGATTTTATTGAGTAAGTCATGTGATTGTCATTCTTTTAACAAGAATGTAAAAATATGTTTGTGTTAAAAGACATTCATAATACATTTTGTACCTCTAAAGAAGTTTAAAAGTTTAATAATGTTAAAAAGAAAAAGAAAATAAATGAAAATAAAAAAATAATAGTGTATGCTTAATATCTTCTCATTTGAAATAGGTTAGCCCAGAATTAAACATGTGTACAGTACATGGTATCCCGTATGTATTGCCTGGTTTTCTGTCTGATGAAACTCATTAATGAGACCAACCAGCTATTAAGACCAGATTTGTAAAGTCCCTTCATTAGTCTCATTAGTGAGTTTTTACTGTAAATTCTAAATCGAAAAAGGGGCATAATTCTGTCAAAATGCTTGATAGAGTTACCTCCTCCTGTCTTTAGGTTGGGGTCATGATGGTGAACAAATGTGCAAAGTTTCAAAGCCATATGTCAATGGACTTTGAAAATATTTGAACTATTACAAAAACTTTAACATAAGTGGTTACGCCGACGCAGACGCCAACACTGACGCCGACGCTCGGGTGACTGCAATAGCTCTACTTATTCTTATCGAATAGTCAAGCTAAAAATAGTCCCTTAAAACGATAAATTTTTCCTTTAACTATGTGGAATTTTATTATGGTGGTCTTTCATGTATAAAGCAGTTTTATATGTATATACAGCTCAACTTATAACTACAAACAGCCAATCAACTATTAGTGTTTGCATACACGGAAACTGTATTTCTTGTCATACACAGGATAAATTAGGAATTCTTCAGTTTTGTGGTAGATCTGAATATAAATATTCGCCAAAAGTCTGTAAGCAACGATGGAATGTTTCGCCAGTTCTCTGCCACCATCTTTCTCATTCTGAAATATATGATGAAATATGATGATATAATTTCTTGTGTTTTTTGTTTAATGTTTACAATTTAGTTGAAAATATACCACTTCATTGCCAAAAAAGGACTAAAATGGTATATTTCTAAATCAATATGTGGTGTGTTCTTAATTCCTAAAAGAGCACTTGACTTATAAGCCGAGTAGTGCAGGGCAATGCCAGACTTTTTGTCAGTTGAAAAAATATATCCGAAAAAATGTAATGACATCATTTACTGATGAAAGCTTGATTTACTGATGAAAGCTGGATAGTTTAAAAACATGGCCTGTAAATCCATAGATCATGTTTTTTTCACGTTATTGGTTAAATCCAGATGGATTTGAGAGTGGTTTTACACAAAAATTACATATAGGTAGGCATATTTTGAAAAGTGGAACAACTCGGGTCTTCCTCAACCAATACAGCTAGAAAAATTGCTCAAGGGTAAAATATAGACAACAAATTTGAATCATAAACTGAAATTATTTCTGGCCTCTATGTACTTGTTTACAACCAGTTTTATTAAGTGCATTATTTTAGGAGTGGGTTCCTCAGTAAAACCAAAGAGAAACCAGCTGTATAGTTTCCAATCTACGTACTTGACAGTAAATGAACCCCAAGGTGTTGAAACCAAAAGGCTCAAACCTACCTCAACCAGCAGGCTATAGAGGTCCAGTTAGAAAAACAAGTGATCTTTACAAAGCTTCTGTCATTTGTGTCTATACACTGACAAATCATTGCGGGAGATATGGTTATTCCAAGCAAATAACAACCAACTCATTTTTTAGAAACTAGGTAAAAATTTCATATTTTCATTTGTTTACCTGTTAATTTTCCGCACATTCTCTACAAATCCAAATAACTTCACTCTGAAAAAAAAAAGAAATTAATTAAATAAATCATATTATTTCTAGTACAAATAGTATGTTAAGAAAATCACCTACATACTAAGTCTAGAATGGACATTGAATGATTATATACAAAGCCTAGATCAGACATTATACTTTCTTAAGTTTAAACTGAAAATTAAATTGTACAAAATCTCGACTGGACATCCACCTGTTCCTAGTTTTTACTGGACATTCCACTGTACTGTGTCTAGATTTCACATTCAACTGTACTGAGACCAGACTGAACATTCAACTATATAATTCTTAAAAAAAGTCAAGCTAAAAAATAATTATAAGCATCTTACAACGGTAAAGTATAGGTTTTTTAATTATTCATAACAATCAGTTCAACATACAGTCACACCCGTGTTTAAGACCACCTCTGAATAAATATAATCCTTCTTATTAAGGGTTTTTTTGATAGCCCTTCATTGATAAAATGGAATGAAGTATCAATAACCTCCAAATAAAGACCACTCTTCTAGAAGGACTATAATTTATACATGTATCTCCTTGAGTGACATTTTTTCACAGGTTTGACTGTAGCAAGTCTTACATTTTTATAATTCTTTGTTTCACAGGTGGTATTCTACAAACATTGAGGATTACCAGGACACAGCACACAGCCATTATCTTCCTAGTCTGTTTTCTCAATCTTGAATAATCTGTCTGTAATAGAGAAAATATAAAATAACAATTACATCATGTGTAAAGTAAAACTCAGCCATACCCAATATGTTATGGTTTAAAAAAATAATTAAAACTACACTTGATGGTTCTCAGTTTATACATACATCAAGAGATGTGCGTTTACTTTTGTTTGACATAATTATGAAAGCTTAGAGCTGCATATGAAGCACTCTCAAGTAAGGCCCCCGCGGTTACACGTTTAAACAGATCCGTTTTGATTTTCATTCGTAAACGTTTATGATAATTTTTACCGTTTAATTGAAATGACCATAATGTCTTTCAAAATATCTTAATCTTTGCATGTATGAATTATATCAATTATAATTGGTTTGTTCCAAAGTAATAAAAAAACAGAAAATAGCTGTTTACAACCCTCCACACAGAATAATGGTGCAATAATCACTCGTGACATTTTAGGTAAAGTTGATTTTCCTTTGATCTTTCAAAAGAGCGGAATGAGGAAGCACTGCAGAAAATGTGTGCCGACTCAATTATGATGATTTAATTGTACATGTGTTAAAAATAGAAAGTAAGTCATCATTTGGCGACTTGAATACAAGGTGTAGTATAGTACATAGAAGTACCACCCTTTAAACGGTATCGTTTCTGTTCTAAGCAATCGTGTAAACATTTACAAAAAATTGTAAACGTGGGAGCCTAACGAGAGTCTGAGTCATGGAAATGTGCCTCTGACCCTGGTAGGACCTGAGCAAATATTCCTAGGGTAGGGTGGCAGACACTTTTACCACTCACCAATCTTTTTTTGGTTTTTAAGTTATGTTCAACATTAGTGAGTTCATGGTATTACTTTCTATCTTTACTGAAAAAAAGTAGGTGCAATCATTTTAAAAGATCAAATAAGTCTGGAAAAACAACAAACTATTTTATAATAACATGTATATTATATGGGCCGTTACCTCCAGAAAAAAAATTGTGGTGCAATTCAAGTGATGCATGTATAAGCCAGGGGTAACAAGTTCGAATCTGTTGCAGTATGTTAATATTGCCCAATGCATTTGTATGTTATTTTATACCTTTAAAATCATTTTAACTAACCTGAATTGCTTGCAGTTGTATCTGTGTTTTATGCCACTGGTCTGAGGTATTTTTTACCCTCCTTGACAAAAATATCACAGCCTGTATCAAGTAAGCTATTGACTGCCGTTGGGATTTACTTGTTCTCTTTTCCCGTGCAATATCATCCTGACAACATAATAGCATAAAACTGATAACATCGGTTAACACAAACCTAATAACAACAACACAAACTTGATTGCAATGCTTTTCACATAAATTGGGCTAAGAATTGCACAAAAAATCGACTTTCAAGAATCAATTTAATTCACTGTATACACATGTATCTCTATATTATCCTTTGCAGATTTTTCCATTTTAAATGCTTCACTCGATCTTTGCAAAATTTAAAATCGTTTTTTAAAATAATTTGTTTTAGGCTTTTTGACTCCTTCACAGTGAGATTCTGACCAGAATCTAAACCCAAAACATAAAGTATCTCAGGATCTACTTCAAAACGACAAATTTTTTTAACAAACATAATTATACAGTGTGGAAAACACTAACTTACAGATTGTGTTAAACAAATGTTGTTGATATTTTACTAGAAATTATGACAGAAATAGAATGACAGGAAATAGATTATGTACAACGAAAATGTACTCACAGTCAGACATTTGTATTTTGCTAACACCATCCTTAGAAGAAGAAATATTAGCTGTTCTGTCGAGAGAGGAAGTTTCTGAAAATTGAGATAATTTTTAAAATCATGTACGTCAGTTAAAATAGACAAAAAAAACAGACTTAGGCTCAAATAATTCAAATTGTGAAGGCATTTGTGCAAGAATACTCTTCTAAATATTATACATAATTAATGGAATTTAATTTTGATACCACATTATGCCAACTTGTTAAATACAGTATTAAATAATAGTAAAAAACAGGGTAAAATGAGTTTAACACTAACGGGGTAAAATGAGTTTATTTTTTCTTTTAATTTTGCAGACTTGACTGTCAACCATTACAGAAAATAGTACATTTCAAAAAAAAGGAAAATAAAAACCTACACATGGATTTCCCTTTGCTTTTGACTCATTCACCTCTTCAGATAGAGACTTCAGAAGACCAACATCAAGCTCCTCGAAAGATAAATGTGAATCTAGTAGATGATCTATCTTTGTTGCCGACATTTCAAAAGGATGAAAATAGTTCTCTACAGATTCACCGCTGGGCCGAGCATGTGAAGGTTCTATTGAACTATAAGATGAGTTACATGTACTGGTACTACAACCATCACAAACCGAGCATCGCGATTGGGCAATCATAGAGTCTTCACAAGAGCAGCTTGAACAGAATGAAGGGGTATATCTTCTTCTGCGCCCTTCACCTGAATCAATATTCCTTGAAGTTTGGTTCCCGCTGTAAGAATTATGCCCATGTTGTCTTTCACTACTTTCTGGTTCACAAAGTTTACTTTGAAACCTGTCTTCACCAACATTAGAGTGTGATGTGAAATCTGACAAACTCAGAGGTGATTTCTCTACATCTACTTCATTCTCTGGAATGATCTGCATCTCTATTCCAACAATATCCATCTTTTTGAAAGATTCATTATTTAAATCAAGTGTATGTTTTTCATTTAAAGTGTTGGAAGCATAACTTTTCACTGTCTCAGAATTTTCTTTTTGTTTATCATGTGTTTTGGTGACCCCCACATATGTCTCTTTCAAATGTCTTTCAAAAGGAGTTTCAAGGCCTACCTTACCATCGAAACTTCCTGTGTCATTTTTTGTATCATGCTCATATTCTTCATCACAATTACCAGATTTTGCATCAGTATTTGATTTAGATACTTCAGACAGAATGGGGGAGGTCAGAGGACTGTAAGCGGAGTCTTGTAACAAAGGGTTCCTTGTCTGACGATAAAATGGTGATAAATCTGCCAAGGATACATTCTGTGGTCTTGTGAATGTTGTCTTCAAGGGAGGTAATTTTCGATCTGGCGTCAGGAACATCAAATGTGAACCTGAAAAATAATTCATATAAATGAGATTAAAACAAACTATTGATATACGAAGCACTCGATGGAATACCATAAATAAATGTCTTTGTTTAATCCAAATGTATTCATTAATCAGATACTAGCAAAATTAATGGAGAGCTCATTTGAGGACAACGCTTATATAGTGATACCATTGCAAATTAGAACATTAGTGCATGTTTGGATTACTGTGAAACTGACAGGGACACAGTAACCATTCCATGGGAAGTGGTGTATATGTAATTTTTATGCGAAATTTACAGATGGGCGTAATTAACATAGTTACATGCATTTATTTACATACATGTAACCGTTCAGAAATTTTCACTATTTAGCGGAGATGATGTGTAAGTGGCCGGATAGCTCAGTTGGTTGAATTGCAGAATGGTATTCCTTGTCAGGCTGCACATTTTCTCACCCTGTGACTTTTGGCAGTCCAAACGTACCGGGCAGTGAATGCATATATCACAGAGTTTAATTAGCAACGCTCTGTAACCCTGAGAAATTAGAGGATGAGTTTTTCAATATAGCAGGAGAGTATGTCACGGTTCAGAACTGTATAATATTTAGGGGAGAAGATGTGTAACTGTAAGTGGCCATATAGCTCAGTGGGTAGAGCCATGGAACAGTAATCCTCTTTTCTAGGGTCCAAGGTTCGGTAAGCCCAACAAATTGTGCGCTTTAGGGCTTTTTATTATATAGATGATGATCGCCCTTCAGACATCTATGAAATATCAGATTATGAAATCGGTCTGTCTTGCAGTCAAAATATTGAGACTAAGGTTCGGTCAGGCTGTACATTTTTCTCACCCTGTGACACATTTTATCTGGAGCCCTGCATAAAGACATTTTGTAATGATATAGTTTAATACTTCGAACATTTCATTATTTCCCATTACATGATAATCAGATTAGTGCATCAAATTATGTGATGGTGTGACCTATTTTAACTGTTTAAGCCAGTAGCCCGGGGTTCTATGATATCACGGTACTTAACGTTTATCGGAAAATATTTAAATATAAATATCATAAATTAATGAGATTTTTTTCCATCTTATAATTTAACAATTTCCAGAACTGTTTGTCAAAAAATTATTTCAAAAGAACCAATAAAAATGACATTTTTTAGAATATTTTCAATGTCTGCCATTTTTGGGAAATTTCAGAGGAGGTTACTACGGTATCAAGGTAAATCCCCAAAAAGCAAATATGGAAGGATAGATGGGTCAAAACTTTCAAGTTAAGTTGTGAAAAACTTCCAACAGCTAACTTGCTATAAAATTAAAACTATATGAACGGACTATATGTCAGTATATGTGTTTATAACATATTTTAATTGACTGTGTAAAAACCATTAAGGAAAATGGTAGTCAAATATGAAGGTTTTATAAAATAGTTTTCTTGCCACAAATACATTCATTATTCACCAAATTAAATTCATTGGCAGGTGAAAATGAATCTAGTGTGCAAGTTTTACAAATATTAGCATCATCAGGTGTTGCTTTTACTAGCAGTCACAGAAAATTTAAATGCCTTGATATCATAGAACCCTTGATATCATAGAAACAGAGTATATGTAAATAATTTTTATATTTACTAAAAACTTAAAACAGTGGCTCTTTGGATTAATTTCTTTTTTATTTTTATATATGTCTTTGCAAGCAATTTTGTCATTACTGTGAAATTGATTAAAAATAATCGATACACAAGGTAAATTATTATGCAGGCTAGGTGAAACTTTTCATTTCGTTTTCTCATGTGACAAGCATACACTATAGTGAAATAAATTCAGGCAAATTATGTCGCAACTCTAAGACTGCTTTAACATTACCTTTGTAAATCTGATCACTATTTTTCTTCGGATCCAATTTTTGCTGTTTAGACATCCTGAATCTCAATTTTGCCCTTTTCTCATTCGGAATGTATGTCATCGGACATTTTCATAGGATATCACAGATAATATCAGAGAAATCCGAAGGTAAGACTGGTTAATTCCGGAAATGCATAAATTTCTTATAACCAGTCAAAATAGCCATTCACAACAGACATTTTCGATTCTGAACTCTGAACTGTATTCATTTCATCTGTTCAGTAAGTGTATTTTCGAATATATGGTTGCGTTCACAAGTGTCATTCGTATGTATCGTGTCCAGCACTATACATGTTTTAATAATTTGAATTTCAAGATTTATTTTTCTTCGCTTTTCGGCCCAAAGACGGTTCGACCCAAATTATAACCACGACGGTTTCGGACTTAAAATTATCGGCCATTACCAAATTAGGATTGTTAATAGTCAAAATATATTTGTTATTTAACGAGTATCATTTTCAAAACTTATTCATTTTAATTTATAATATTTTCAAATTGTATATATGTATAATTAAACCATTCCAACACGGCGGCACGAAATACCCAAATATACCCAAATACACCCAAATATACCCAAATACACCCAAATATACCCAAATATTGCCCAAATATACCCAAATATAGCAATATTTATTTTTGTTTGTATAAAATATAGATTATAATGAGAAATAAATAAATATTTATAAAATGACATGACTAAGCCTGCTATAACTTTCATTCATTCCGTTGAAATGGGCAGTTAAGATGTTGTAAGAAAATAAAGTTGTGACATTTGCTTATCTACAATATCGCTTCTTTATGAATGCAATTTTAATTCAAGATATGATATTTGTTGTCTACACTTACATTTTTAAGGTGTAATTTTGTTGAAATTTCATATCATAATAGAGGAAGAAGTCCATGTTATTAAAAAAAAAGCTTTAATGGAGTACATATACTGTATCTTGGTTCAAAACACAATGATAGGAAAATGTATATTTGGGTATGTTTGATTATATCTTAGTGAAAGTGTATATTGTATTCATGATTAAAACAGCACTTTTTTAGTATAAAACATTTATTTTTAGTATAATTGGACAATATTTGGGTATATTTAGGCAATATTTGGGCAATATTTGGGTATATTTGGGTGTATTTGGGTATATTTGGGTATTTCGTGCTGCCCTTCCAACACCAGTTCAAGTATAATATCCATTACATCACAAAATAGTTTTTCAAGCCTTTCAGTTTCAGATACAAATGTGACCCCACACCCCCACACTAGTACTTCCAAACCACAAACTCACAATTATGTTTCGAAAATTAAAATTATTTGTGTAAATTGCCAATCTATTGTGAACAAAAAGCATGAATTTCAAAGTATGATTCTTTCTCAAAACCCTGATGTTGTCACCATAACAGAGTCTTGGCTGAAAAAAGAGCATTTTACAAGTGAAATCTTTCCAACGTCCCTAGGGTACACAGTCTACCGAAAAGATAGACAAACCGGAAAAGGAGGTGGTGTACTAATACTTGTAAAAAATAACTTTATCTCATGTGAACAACCAAAACTAAGCACTGACTGTGAAATTTTATGGGTTAAGGTAGAAATTAAAGGTAACAAACCATTCTACATCGCATCCTACTATAAACCACATGAAAACGACACAAAAAGTACACTTGAATTTGAAAAATCACTAGACTTAACAAGAAATCTTAAAGGCACAAAAATAATTCTAGGAGACTTTAACTTTCCAAAACTTACATGGGACTCAGAACATAATTATTCTTACAAATCTGGCTTTAACTCAAACCCCACTTATGATAAATTCCTTGAAGTCATCGAAAATCATAGCCTTACTCAAATGATAAATGAAAACACAAGACACAACAATATCTTAGATCTCTTTTTAATTTCAAACCACACACTTGTCAACAAAACAGAAATAATCCCAGGAATATCAGATCATGACATCATCACAACAAGTTTACACGCAAGACCAATTATAAACAAACAAAAACCAAGAAACTGCCCAATCTACAAAAAAACCAACTGGCCTGAATTTAAAAATCATATGCAGATATTAAGCCAAGAAATCATACATAAAGTTGATACACTTTCAGTTGAAGAACTATGGACCCAATTTAAATCAACAATTGAAACTGTAATTACTAAATTTGTTCCAATAAAAAGAATAGGATAAAAAAAATCACTACCCTGGATAACAAAAGCAATTAAAAAACTCATGACAAAAAGAGACCATCTATACCAAAAATTAAAAAAACATAAATCAAATCATGAACTTAGACAAAAATTAAAAAAATTGAAAGCACTTATCAAAACTCATATCAAAACATCTTTTGATCAACACTTAGAACACATATTAGAACTTGATGACAATGATCCCACAGACACCCAAACTAAGTTTTCTACTAAAAAACTGTACTCCCACTTAAAAAACTCCAAACAAGATTCCCAAAATGTAACAACTCTCATGGGAAAGGGAGTGGGACATGGAATTCAACCCCTCAAAATGTCAAGTCCTTCACATCACTAAAAACAAAAAAGTCATCAACAACAAGTACTTCCTTCATGGCCAAGCTTTAACATCAGTTCCTAGCTCAAAATACCTTGGCCTTGACTTGTCCACAGACCTGAACTACAACACACATATCTCAAGAATTACATCAAATGCAAACAAAACCCTAGGATTCATAAAACGAAATATCAATACAAAAAAATGAAAAAGTAAAACAACTTGCTTATAAATCCCTAGTAAGACCCCAGTTAGAATACGCATCAACTGTTTGGAGCCCCTACACACAATCAAACATCCAAAAAATAGAGATAGTCCAAAGACGAGCGATACGCTGGGTAAAACAGGATTACTCCCCTTTGTCATCAGTTACAGCCATGCAGAAAGATCTTGGCTGGCGTTCTCTCGAGCATCGCAGACTAGACTTTAGACTTATTATGTTTTTTAAAATTTACCATAACCTAGTAGCCATTAGCCTTCCCACCTACATTAAAACTCCATCTAGGCTTACTAGACATATGCATCCCCTCTCTCTTAAGAAAATACAGGTTACATCAGACTACCATAAGTTCTCCTTCTTCCCCCACTGTATCACACTTTGGAACCAGCTCCCAAGGAACATTGTCACCCTGCCTGATCTAGATCAATACAAACAGGCAGTGGTTAAGATACAGTATTAGTTGACTTGTTGTGTTTTTACTTTTAAATCTTTCTTTCACCCTTACTAACAAAAATATTTTAACAATGACTAGAAGTTTTCAATGTCTCTCACTGTCCTGATCATGTTCATTTTCAGGTTTTTACTTTCTCTCACACCTTTTACTAACACACCGACGCGCACAATTTCCTGCCTATAACACTCGCGAGAGGGGTTGGCAGTATTCAGAGATAGATAGATAGATATATATTATTATTAATTTAATAGATCTATCTAGTATTATCTACATTAATTGTAATTATAATTTAAATATGAAAATATGAAGACTTAGAGACTTGCTATATACTATGATGCAAGCCAGTACTGCTAGACAGCTGTATTTGAAGGCCTATTGGAGTCATGTACAACTTACCTAGTATCCAGTAGGGACTAGTCAAAATATTTTGATGTGCCAAAGCTAGATTCTGCGATATTTTAGTTCTGGGTCAGTAGCCTATATGGGGATATTGCCCATACACAATTATATTCACGAATTTGAAAACCTAGCGAAATGCTGTTTTCTGGTACTTTCTGTACATAGCTCAGGGAAATTCACCTAATGGAGTCAGTGTTATAATGCATTACAGACTCTATGTTTTGGCCTTTTTGAATTAAAGAGAAATAAAACATCTTTGTAAGAAAATAATTAAATGTAAACATCATTGTACTCGTATATGTATGAATAATTCTATACAAAAAAAGTAAATACACATGTTTACGAAGAAAATATCTCAATTTTTTATTATGGAAGATGCCACTACGACTGTTTTAATTTTATTGATTTTCATTATGAACAATTTATTTTTTGAAAAATTTGCAATGTACACGTGTACTAAGATTTTAAAGGAACATTGATAATTTTCAAACACATTAATGATAGAGAAATAGAAATATCATGTAAAAGTGTTATGTACTTTATTTGGAGTAATTCCTCAGAGCTAAATCCGTTTATAAGTAATTATAAGATAAGAAATGGCATCTCAATAGTTCCACAGGGACTCGGCATATACATGTATATACAGTATATATTTTTTTCTAGAAATACATGTACATGTGCCTGAAATTAGGAACATAGCTTTATACTTCAGTTCTTGTTTTTAAATCATGGATTATGCCTAAAATCATAATGGTGTTTTCTTTTGTTTTTCAGTGATACAGTAAAGAAACCATCTCAAAGGGTCATAACCAGCAAGACATGTTTAAAGAACTCACTCTCATTGTTATTGAAACAAGATTGTAAATTACATGATAGTGCAGTCAAAGTGATTTTGTTATTGAAGGAGCAGATCAAGTAAAGATTATGGAAAATCCTTTTTTTTCTCCTTAAAATACAATATAATATTGACTCAGAAATACAGGTTACTCATGCAAATGGAGCAACAGGAATGCAAGGTGTTGATTCTTCAAAAGAAAACAAATGCTTAGACCTTAAGAAGACATTGGCAGTTAAGTCAATTAGGTTTCACTTGAACATATAGCTCAGTTATGTCGCAAATTATGATAAAATAGACTCTAGGCTGATGACATAGGAGCATAGTGTAGTTAGTGTAATGGAAGCCAATGTTATAGATGAAGAAGGTGACAGAACAGAAAAGAGACTGTCGAGACAAGCCTCAAAGGAAGGAAATGATGATGGAGCATACCACAAGTGCCAACTTTGCAACAAAAGTTTTATAGAAAGACTAACTTTAGACACACATGTTGAACAGTGTGACCCATTCAATGATTCCACTGACACAAGAAAGAGACACCAAATTTCAAATTCTGATATAAAGAAAAGTGATACTTATAAAAGTCATGATGAAAAAGTTGATGAAAAAGGACAAGGACAGTCCAGACATGGGAAAGGATTTTATGAAATAATTGTGAAAGAGAATATAGAAGTCAAATCCATGAAAGGTAATATTGATGCAGAAATACAAGTTACTCATGCAAATGGAGCAACAGGAAAGCAAGGTGTTGATTCTTCAAAAGAAAACAAACTTGAATCACCGAAATGCCTACAACAGGGGAAAGACATAAAAATGGTTGCTAATAGAAATGTAAATGATGATATAACAGAGTCAGAAAGTGCTGCTGGTGCTACATGTAGTAATAATGTAAGTAAATCAGGTCGTAAAAGAAAGATAAAATCTTTTGACGACTATGAAACAGACTTTTCCTTTATCAAGGGCCCTACCAGGACTGACAAAGACCTAGTAAAGAAAATTACAGCTGAATGTACTGGTAAAGTTAATGAATATAAAGAGGGTAATGATATTGAAGATAAGAGTGGATCTGGTTCAGATCTAGTAGACAGCAGTAATACAACAGCAGCTGTAATTTACTTGTGTCCAGTATGCTCAGAGGAAGATGAAGACCTAGGCAACATTCAGACTCACATAAAACTACAGCATGATCAAGAACAGCTTTCTTGGGAAGTTCTTACTGATAAATGCAGCAAATTGGGAGGTCAGCCTAGAGATGCTGCAACTCGAGTACTGAAGAAGCAGAAAGTATTATGTCCATTCTGCAAGGAAAATTGTCGGACATCAGAGCAATTGAGATTACATGTGAAAGGTTTCCATGGTAATAAAATATAAATAAAGAGATGACATGTATATGTATAACTATTGCTATTTTATTTTAAAGCTGCATGCCTCCAGATAAGCCAAAATGTTTCAAGAAAATCAACCTTGATAAAAATAAATGAATTTTAAGAGAAGTAAAAATATTCACAATTCAAGAAATAATTTACAAGTTTTATGCAATTAATGAATGATTTTGCAGTATTTATCACCAAATTTCTACCATGTGACTAACACAGTAACTGCGATTTTGCATAATCTGAGCTATTTTATTCATTTTGGTAATTTTCTTTGATTTTACATACCTTATGTTTATATTTATTTTTAATGTCAGGTAAAAGTACTGTTGATTCAGATATTATTTTAATGGTGTTTTTTTTTATTTCTCTAGAATGTCCTCTAGTCTGTTGTGGTATATGCCAACTGCCCTATGCATCAAGAAAGGCTGCAGCATTACACATGAAGAAGTGTCATTTCAAATCACAGCACATATGTATAGACTGTAAGGAAGGGTTTACGACAAATCAAGACTTGATAAAACATAGAATTACACTTCACCAAAAACAGACACCAAGTAAAATGGATTTGGAAATTGAAGGAAATAAAAGTAAACAGTCAGAAACATATGAAATGAATGATGTGGACCATGAACATGCAGCTAGTGAAGAGCCAATTGTAGAAATGAAAACTGAGGAATTTAAAAGAGATGAAATTTCCAAGGTTATGTCTTCTAAAACACTTAATAATAGAAATGATTCTAATGTTTTGAAACAAATGACATCATCAAAATGGAAAAAGACAACAGTTTCTTGTCCAATCATCATCAAATCTGCAAGAGTAATGCCGAAAGCAATTGATATTGAAAGCAAGGAAAGCGATGAGGAGATTAGAAGTGAAGAAGTAGGACTGACTAAAGGAAAAACGCAATGCTCTAATTCTGAATTAGATGTATCTGATCTTGAAGAAGAAGATATTGGAGATGAAATTCTGTCTGATTTTGATAATGAGTTTAATGAAGAGCAAAATGACAACCAAAATCCAAAATGCCATATAGATTTCTCTAAAATTAAAGATGTGAAATATAAATGTTGCTATGACTATTGTGGATCAGTTCTGCAAAACTTTGGCTCTTGGAAGACACATATAGTTTCACATTTAACAAATAAAAAGAATGATTCCAAGTATGCTCCACTGCAGTGTATTGAATGTGGTTATTCTACCAAGTTAAAGCCTGTTTTCATACAACATTTGCTGACTAAACATAGTCTTCTAGAAAGCGTTCAAATAAACCTAGAACATTGTCAAATCCTAGATAAGAAATCTTCTGAACAGGTGAAGATAATAACGTGTGTATTTTGTTGCCTTACAATGGACAGCAGACATTTCTTAGCTCAACATAAATGTTTTAGAAAGAAAGTTCATTTTTACTGTCCATTTTGCAAAAGGAAAGATTCAAGATTTGAGAATATGCAAGAGCATATAAAAGAAGACCATTCTGAGGAGACAATTCACCGAAAGGTTCTTGGAGAAAAGTTTCAGAGTTTAAGAACTGCTCAACATGATCCAGCTTATAGTATTAACAATACTGATACAGAATGCAGTATATGTAACCAGGAATTTCAAACAAATGATGAACTGAAGGGACATGTTAATGAAATACATGGTAAGATTTTAGATGGTTTTCTTCATCAAATTTACTATGTGGAAGCTTTAATGAAATTTATGCTTTATACATTGTAGCTCAGTATTTGTCTGAATTTGGGTTTCTTTAGCCAAGTCTTGCCGGTATCTGGCTATAGATAATTGTTATTTAATGTTAATGGCCCCCTCCATAGTCAATAGTTTACTGTTTGTAGAGAGATTGGATATAACATGTTAGGAAGCTATCCATCTAGCTTATTGAAGAATTTATGCCTAGAATTTATAAACAGAGTAGCACCTGCAGTCTTCCTGCGCAAATAAAGTTTGTAATCTGACGAGGCTGTATAATATTGGCAGACTTATGTTTAGCCCAACTTTAATTTGCGTTCTTGCTTCAGTTATGTTGTCGTTGATGTTGCTGTCACCTTGGTCATATTTTTTATCTTGGAATCTATAACCCAAAGGACAAGACCTTTCAGATGGTTTGATAACATTTGAAACAATGCTTGCTTTAATTGAGACATATTTGTTATTCACCATGGATTCACTCTTGGACAAAACAATACTCATGGCAAAACTGACATGTTGATTTTTTCAAATATGACCTGGACATTAAAATGATCTTGACTGCCATTGACCATTAAGGTCAAGCTATTGAATTTTGCTTAAATTGTTATAACCTTGTTTAAATTGTTATTTATTTTTTTTTAATTTTACTAATATTTGAACCTAAGGCCACTTTTGACTAAACTGAAATGTATATTTATTTAAGTTAGACCTTTAGAATGATCTTGACCATCAAGGTCAAGCTATAAAACTTTGTTTCAATTGAGATTACTTTGTTTTTCTTTTACTAATTTTTTCATATGTGACCAAACAAAACTATATATATAAATGACAAAATTCATATGTTGGGTAATTTAGATGTCACCTTTAAACCCTAAAACAACCTTGACCGTCAAGGTCATATTATTGAATTTTGCTTAAATTGTGATAACTTTATGTTTATGTTACTTATTGAAAAGCATGTGGTAAAACTTATTAATTGCAGAAAAAAATATGCAGATTTCTTTTGATTTCATAAATCTTGTTGTTTTCTTCAGCTGCCAAGCCTTTCAGTTGTGGTGTGTGTAGGCAGTGCTATGGACGGTACTGTGCTGTGAGAGATCACATGAAAAAAACCCACTCGTTACCAATGGCATGTCAATATTGTAAGCGTGGATTTGGAGATAAAGCAGATTTGGCAAGACATGAGGCAACACATCTTAAAACCAAACCATTTCAATGTGATTTGTGTTCAGTTAGGTTAGGATTTATTTTCATATGCATGAAGCTTTAAAACTTTAGTGGTAATAATACCACTATAGGGTATGGAACTTGTCCGTCTGTATGTCTGCCCATGCTGTAATCAAATAAGTGTCCACTTAATAACTTTATAATTATTAGGTTGTCTTCATACTTGTAAGGGATGTAGCACCTTCTTATTTAAAGGTCATTAGGTCAAAGGCCTCAGTGACAGTGCTAATTCCTGAGATTCACATAACTTGAGAAGAAATTCGTCTAGGTTTGTAAATCTTATTTGGGCATTTTCTGTGGTCAGTACATAAGACCTTTTTTTATTTGTTAGTTAAAGACACATTTTTATGCCTCCGCCATATAATGGCTGGGGCATATAGTGTTACCCTGTTTCGTCTTTTTGTCATTCCGTCATCATCAGTTTCTGTCCATTATCTTAGTAACGGTTGCACACATTCAACTCAAATTTTGCATATGGATATGTCATGAGAAAATACAGGTCAATTTGGTCATGGTTCTATGATTTTTGGCAGAGTTATGCCCCTTTTACTTTGAAAATAGTATGAAATTTTCAGTTTCCGTTCATTATCTCCCCAACGGTATTACACATTCAACTCAAACTTGAAATATGGATATGTCAAAGGAATGCGCAGATCAAGTTCAAATTTGGTCGTGGTTCAATGATTTTTGGCTGAGTAATGCCCCTTTCAAAAAATATGAAATTTTCAGTTTCTATTTATTATCTCCCCAACAGTACAACACATTCAACTCAAATTTGACATATGGATATGTTTTTGGAATGCGCAGGTCAAGTTCGAATTGGGTCATGGTTCAATGATTTTTGGCTGAGTAATGCCCCTTTCAAAAAATATGAAATTTTCAGTTTCTGTTCATTATCACCCCAACAGTGTTACATATTCAACTCAAATTTTACATATGGATATGTAAAAAGGAATGCACAGGTCAAGTTCGAATTTGGTCATGGATCGATGATTTTTGCCCCTTTAACTTTGAAAAAAAGGAAATTTTCAGTTCACATTCATTATCTCCCCAACAGTTGTACATATTCAACAACAAATTAAAGATATGGATATGTAATAAGAATGCATTGGTCATGTTCGAATTTGGTCATGATTTGATGGTAGCTGACAGAGTTATCCCTCTTGAACTTTGAAAAAAAATCAGAAATTTTAAGTTTCCGTTCATTATCTCCTCAATGGTTGTACATTTTTGTAAACATTCAACTCAAATTTGACAAATTGATACATCTTAGGAATAAGCAGTTCAAGTTTGAATTTGGTCATGGTTCAATGATTTTGGACAAACTTATCTTTCTTGAATGTTGGAAAAATTTTGAATTTTCAGTTTCAGCACTCATACTTTTGTGGAAATGTATGTACCCATTATTTTGGCTACAAATATGCATCATATGCAATTTACAAAAGGTTAACACTGAATAGTTTCAGTGCCTTGAACTTTGTATAAAAATGGTTTGTGTTAACATTGAATAGTTTTAAGGGCTTTGAACTTAAAATGAAAAAAAATAATTTGTGCAAACAAATTTGGAACTAGATATTATAACATCTGAAATTTTGGTTGCATGCGGGGGCATCCATGGCATGATGACACATTTCTAGTTTTGAAAATTCCTGTATTGATTTGTAGATAAAATAGACTGTTAGAAAAAGTAGGATTAATGTGTGATTTTGAAAATAAATAGCAAACTCCTTAATAAAGAGGGGTTTATGGGTTTGAGCCCTACTTGGTTTATGACCATGTTTCTTCATATGACACCAGTACTGGCAGGTTCCCGGAAACAGATTCCAAAGTAATTAATATGTTGTAAGAACTTGTTCCGCAATCAAGCTGAAATAGATATGTTTAAACCAAACCCCTTGAAACTTTGAAGGTTTGCGAAATAGATAGTTATATAACAAGATGTGTTGCTAGTACTTGTAAATGAATTAGATTAATCTATAGATCTTTAAACAACGAGTACAGCGATGTCTGTTGCATTTTGATACCCTACCAGTTTTAAGTACAATGTTCAGTTTAGAGTAAACAAAAATACCTTGAATATTCTTTGGTAGTTTAAATGCAATGAAATTTTTAAGTTGTTAGGTTCTTGTTTAACTATCAAGCACTGATAAGCTTAAGAAATTTTTAAAGTGTTCAGGCTCTTGTCTATTATCAAGTACTAACAAACTTATAAAATTCTTAGAGTTGTTTTACTATCAAGAATTGATAAACTACCAGTATTGTCATTTCACTGATAATACATGTAGTTAAACATGTTGTATGACAGGCATATTAGAAAATATGAAATGCTTAGACATGAATTATGAATTGTTATTTAATTTCATTCTTTCATTCAGTTATTTTAATGGAAAGCTTCAATTTCTAATATCCAATAATTAAAATCAATACATTTTCACTGTGTTTGATTCTTGTTAGTTGTTTCTACAGTTGTGGTTATAGATGTAAATGTAAAATGTCAGATTTTATGAACTATTGTTGCAATTTTATTTTACATTTTTAGGTTCTCAGACCAAAAAGGTCTCACTGTACATCAGCGCTTCAAACATACAGAATGTTCAACTCCTCATTCAGATCAGAAAGCATTGACAAGTTCAGGGACAGAATCAAGGCAAGATACTTTTATCTGTGATATTTGTGGACTGACATTATACACACAGCTACAGTATAGAAACCATGCCAAGAATCACAAAGTGGTTAATCAGGACAAAGTTTCACAAATAAACTGTGAAATTTGTTTCCAAAATTTCACTTCTAGGAAAACATATAGGAGGCATCTATGTACAAAATCGTTAGATGCAAGCGGTCCACAGACATTCAAGGGGCAGAGTGACTCAGTGCAATCAGTAAGAGATATTTTTGAAAAGATTAAACAAAATCCAACACCTGGCACTGATGCTGTGGTTCAGTGTAGTTTGTGTCAGAAAAACTTCAGCAAAAACAAATATCTATTTAACCATATAAGACATGTCCATCTTCCAAATGAAGGTAAAAAATTTCATTGCAATATTTGCAGAGCTGGGTTTGCCAGAAAAGCACAATTACAATGCCATATTAGATCACATACGAAAACAAAACCGTACATGTGTAAGATATGCAGGAAACAATTTCGTCAGCTTGGTCATGTTAAAGTCCACTTGTTGTCTCATTCTGCCAAATCTGTTTTTAATTGTGAGCTTTGTGCACAAGTATTTAAGACAAAGGATACATTGAAGAGTCATATCTATAAACACTGTGATGTTAACCCATATAAATGTTTTATAACATCCTGTAATAGGTCATTTGTATCATTTAATAATCTTGTACTTCATGTCCGAAACTGTGACAACAATCAGTTGCCAGATAAATCTTTTGAGTGTAAACTTTGCTCTAATGTGAAACTAGAAGACATAAAAACAGGATTAGCTCACATGAAAAGTCATAGCAAAGATGCTTTTTATAAATGCAGCATATGTTCTCACGACTTTACGGCATATAGAGCACTCTACAACCATAAAGCAAAATTAAAACACTTTACTGAGTCAGAAATAGAAAATGGAGCAAGTCAAGCTATCCACACGCAGAACTTTAAAACAGAAGAAGTAAATGATGATATAGATATGGCAGAACTTCAAGAGCAGTATGAATTCACTCCAGATACATTTGAGTTACAAGAGATGAATGAAACTTGCAATCCAGAGTCTTCTGACCACAATGTTGCTGAAGAGGATGAAGAAAACAGAGTTATTGACACAGAAGAGTTAATGGATATAGCAGAACAGTTGACACATATGGCACAAGGAAATGTTCTTAGTGATGAGAACTTAGAAGTAAAAATCTACGAAAATGATGGTAACAATATAGTTGAGTCTGTTGAGACTGTAATTGAGGATTACAATGGAGGATTGTTTGTTGCTCCTGCTGTCGAGATGTCAGTACAAACATCTAAATATAGTAATCAGTACAATCCATTGAATAATGGGCTTACAATTTGTGATGACACCAATTTGCTGAATGCAGATTTGTTACATGGCCGGAATAAAGATCTTGATGGAAAAATAACCAGTAGTGATGCACCAGATTTAAAGTTTTCACAGGAAGATGATAGGGATTTAACTGTACAGTATAGAAGTGGGAATTTTATTGAAAAGGATGATTATCATATTGAAGTACTTGCAAGTCATCCAGTTATAGATGAGAGTGCAGTGCTAGTGTCAAAAACATTTCACCAAAAGAAAAGGCTGACCAGTGAATATAACACAGGAACTGGAGTAAGGACTGGAATAGAAGACAATGAAATGCAGTTAAATAACACAGTTACTGGGAGAGATGATTATAAGATGCTTGAATTTAGCACAGAGGCTGGGAGAGATGATGAAAAGATAATTGAGACTCCTGCGGTAGTAAATGATGAGATTCAGCCAGGGATAGACACTGTTTGTGTGGAAATGCTTACCATTCCAACAATATATGATGAGCAAGGAAGAGAAGTTAAAGTCAATGTCATTAATGAAGAGGGACATGAAATCCCTATTCAAAATAATCCAGAATTATTACAAGCCCTGCTTACCACCGGAAATTACTCATTAGGAAGTAATCTGTCAGATTCTTTGATGAATAAGCTCGCTAAAGACTCAATGTCTGATGTAAAAGAGTCACAAGATTTACAGAGGAGTTCATGTGAAACTGAATTTGAAAGTTCTGACTTCAATATTCAAAACAATACTGAAATTTATGTTATAAATGAAGTTCAAAATGTTGAAGATCAAGGCAATTCTGATGCAACAAATAAGATATTCACTGCCAACCGAAGAGCAAAGAAACTAAAGGCAAATATTTCCAGCAGTGACAGAAATATTGACAATGTTCCAGGTGAGATAACCGACATGGATACCTCTGTCAGTGATGGGAATGTAAATTACAAAGTAAAGCTTAACTATTATGAGGACAGAAGCAAGAACAAAGAAGTATATCATCTTAAATGTGATGTATGTTCACGGCGGTTTAGCAGGCTTAAAGATCTGAATCACCATAAGAAAATCCATTTACCTAATGATGAGAAACAATTTAAGTGTAAACAGTGTGGTAAAGGGTATACAAGTAAGAAAACTTTGTTTTCACATATGCTTATTCACAGTGGAGACCGACCTCATAAATGCAATCATTGTGATAAAAGTTTCAGACAGCTTGGACATTTACAAACACATCTACGTATTCATACAAACTACAGGCCGTTCAAATGCATCAATTGCGAAAAGACATTTGCTACGAATAGCCAGTTGAAAAAGCATGTGCAAAAACATGGTGTTCATTTTAATCAAGGCTTAGATAATTGTGTAGCCTGTCTGATATGTGGGAACTCGTTTGCAGACGAAAAACATCTTAAAATTCACAAGTTAAAGCACGTAAGTGTTGCAGCTCAAAATGAGCTCATCAAAAACTACAATGCTGTTGTAGAAAAAAAAGAGACAGCTAGCGTGGAAAAGTCTTTAAATAACCAACATATGTGTGACGTATGTGGCCAGCTGTTTAATTCACTATCAAACTTTAAATATCACAAGGAAATTCACCTCCAAGAGCATAAACAAGCATGTACTGAGTGCGGAAATGAATTTCTTACCAAGAAACGCTTGCAGGTTCACATCAATCAAGTTCATTCATCTGGTAACAGGTGGCAGTGTGATTTATGTGGCATCAGTTTTAAACTGAGGACAAGTCTTAATACCCATGTTAGACATATACATAAGGATCCAAAATACCAATGCACTAAATGTAATCAAGAGTTTCATCGTAGATATGTATTTCTTCAACATTTGCCATTATGCATTGGAGAGGAGATTCTGCAACAGGGTCAATAGAAAATTATTTAAACTCATTTTGTTACTTACCAGTTTAAGATACATGTATATGTTGAAATTAAAGGTGTCAGTAACATAATATTATTTATAGAAGTAAGTTACACAATGTATCAAAGTTTGTAACCCTGAAATTTATTATCTTAAGTTAGGATATTGAAGAGGACATGCGACTTTTAACTTCTCTGTTGAAATAAAAAAAAAAATTTAAGTAACAATGTTCGGCAAATCACATATGTATAATGTAATATGAAAGTAAGCTGCTTCGTTTCATCAAATTTATTTTAAGTATAACTTTTCCCATATTAACATACCTATGATACAGAGGTTATTTATATAACATGAATGTTGAAATTTATCCGACCGTGTCTGCCCACTTAGTTTGATAGGGAGTGTATCGGATTTGTAATCTATGGGTGGCTTGCTGGATCCTTTTGAGAGGCCACATTTCTCCATGACAAGGAGACTTACGATCATTTGTCTCACCACTGATGTGGAATTACATGATTGGGTAGTCAGTCACTTTTTGAGAAATTTGTTATAATTTTTTAGTTATACAGGAAAGCCTTATATGTTAACCGACTGCTAAGATATGACTTAAAAGGTTGAAAAGGATACTTGTTATATAAATCCATAGCCAAACTGTATAGAGCCTATTTTACATTTTCTCCTTATTATTTGATTCCTCTAGTATATATGTATTTGATATTATAATGATATTCAATGAAAGCTATTATTCCTCAAAGCTAGGATTTTTTATAAATTCGTTGTTAAGAATTGAGAAAGGTTTATATGTCTGTTTTCACTGAATGTCATAATTATAAACGTTAACTAGTGATGCATATGAATTTGTGTTAATTAATTGGTGACATGCTTCTTTTTACGCAAATGTTGCCAAACTTTGTTTTTATGAATTTTATTGGAAATTATTAAGGTTTGAGTTCACTGCAATTTTAGCTTACAACATATGTAATGTATGAAAACGAATATCTTTGAAAATAAACAAAATCTCTGTATCAGTGTTTGATGTGTTTATAAAGGGGAAAAATGTATGGCATTATATTTCAAGATTTCCAAATATAGTTATGCTCCTTAACACAAATGAAATTAAAAATTTACTGAAAAAACATTACCATTCTTTTACAAAAATCATTAGACAAACCTGCACATCTTGACAAAGACCATTATTTTCTTTTGCTGGTATTTTGATAGTTTCAATACTTATATGTTATTTCTGTCCATATTTTAAACTTGTGTTGTTTCCATGAAAAGATGTATAGCTTTGTATGATCGCAGGGTCGTTATGCAAACAATTAATGTAGCCTTTTCCTCGAACACTTTAAAAGGTTCCTACACGAAATTTGGTGTACTTTCGTATTATTAGAAGGTCTAATATGAAAGCTTTATTTTTTGTGTGGAGTTATGCCCCTTTTAAGCTTCTGAGTTATGCCCCTTTTAAACTCAGAAGCTAAATTTATGAAACAGTGGCTTCACTTTTACACATTGACTAACCTTATCAGCCATTGACTTTCCATATCCATTAGAGATTTCCAGGGCAACCATTGACTTTCCATAGCAAACAGTTATTCGATAGTATTGACCCTTCACATACACTGACTTAATAGCTACCATTAACTTTCCTTAGATGAGAAACCACTGACTTTCGTAGCAACTGTTGACTTTACATAGCAACCAGTTTTTAGCTCGACTATTCGCAAAACTTCACACACTTGCTCTCTGTGATTATTTAAGATGATTGAGAACAAATTTATGAAACAGTGGCTTCATTTTTGCATGACTAAGCTTATCAGCCATTGACTTTCGATTCCATTAGAGATTTCAAGGGCAACATTTGACTTTTCCATAGCAACAGTTATTCGATAGTATTGACCCTTGAATACATGCATTATATAGCTACAATTGAACTTCCCTTAGATGAGAAACCACTGACTTTCGTAGCAACTGTTGACTTTACATAGCAACGAGTTTTTCCATTCCAATCATTGACTATCCATAGCCTCCAAAGACTTCCATTGTACCATTAAAAACCATTGACTTTTAAGGTATTTCACCATACCAACATTCTAGTTTGCTTTTTATTTACTGAAGTTATCTATCTTTCACAAATTGAACTAGACAGATGATAACGATTTTTACAAAAACAATGAATTTGATCTCTGTTTACCTTGACTTTTGATTCAGTGACCTACGTTTTGTATTTACATGTATAGCTATGAACATTTATGCGCACAACTTCTGATTTCCTATATATTGACCGAATACCTGCTATTCATATCGGTATTCCCTAGTTATTAAGCCTTTATAGTCAGATGAGAGATATTGGGGCCATCAGATCGAGTTCTCTTGTCAGTTTTTTGTCCGATACTTTATGCCACTAACAACATTTAAAAAAATTTGGACATTATTTTGTCATTTAATAGTATCCTGCTAGCAAACATACTTTTATTAAGAGATAATTACCAAATTTTATATACAAAAATTTCCTCATGCATTCCGATTAGAGGCTATTCAATGAAACTGTTTATTTATTTATATATTTATTCAAAAACAGGTTTTTAATGAATGAAACAACAACAATAAGAGTATAACGCATCTTTTAAAACTAACTTGAACAAACTAAAACATGCATGTATATATTACGATTTTTTTTCATAACACTTCATGCAAATATACACTAAAAGTCTTAAGCGCTAGGTTTGAATGTTTCTCCAGAATTGTCTGTTTCCATTCAGCTAAAATAGACTGTTTTTGTAAATTGTACCATGTTTTTGTAGACACAAAACAGTTGAATTGATATTTCATTTGACTGAGATGATGCTTAAAACGTTATTGATTTATTTCTACAAATCTATGACAACATCACATGTGGCTTTTAAGCAAACACAACCTTCTTCGATTTCTTATTTGGTGACCTTGACGGATTTCTTTGCATTGACTTTTTAGGTTGTCTAGAACGACCACGTGACTTGCCTGGTGAATAATGCCTATTATGTATTGTATGTACATCAGTGTCTAACTCGGACGCATCTGTACCACTTTCTTTGTCATCTGGGCTTTTATTTTCTTCTTCCGCTTCCTTGACTTCTTCCTCGGTAGTGTTGTTTGTGTTATTTTCGTCATGAACGTACCGTGATTCTAAAGTCTCGTGCACTAATTCAAGAACTTCTACAGATGGGCTTATCAAAATCATTTGCTTGTTTTTGTGAAACAATGTATTTACTCCGTACTCTCTTTCTATTCTGTCTATCAACGGCATGATCCCTCCAGGTTGATTTTCTAGTTTGTGTACTGTCTCGTCTGCGATTCTCATCTGATAAAGGTGGCGGTACATGTGCCTCTGAAACAACGATGATAAATAAATTATGATGATGGTCACCGTGTATATCCAGTAACACAGGAATATGCAAATAACGCAGGAATTGTGCAAAAGTAACGCATAATTGTGCAATTTAGGGGCAAAAACCAGCACGCGATAAGTAAATGGACAAATATTTTGTATTGTACACCAAATTGGAAGAAATGAGTTAGCGCATACGGTTGCTGAGACATTATACTTTAAACCTCATCAAAATTATTTTTATGAAAATGTTTATTTTTCAAGATTATTCGTGAAAATGACGACCTGACTAGCGCATTGATGGTGTATTTTAGTTTCGTCAATTGATATCTTTCAATACAATAACGTACATATTACGTTATGATTTTTTATATTCAGTGTACCTGAGACATTTTCCAATCTACTCGTCTCGTATTACACTTAATTTAGAAGATAAAAAGTAATTGAGACCATTTTTACTAGGTAACGCCGAATACGTGAATGAAGCACTGAAGCAGTGGCAGTTATCTCATTAAAAGAAGCTAAATCATGTTTTACCAGCTTCCTTCTACTGTTATACGACACTTGTAGTTTGACAAATGTCTTAGGTATACAGAATTTGAAAAAAAATTATATGTGTTAAATGTACATATCTATTTGACGAAACACAAAAGTCACCTTCAAAACGGTAATCAGGTTGTCTTTCTGACGAATGATCTAAGAAAATAAACTAATTCCAGAAAAAAATGTGGTTAAAAAATAATGTCGTAGCAGCCGTGTGCGCTAATTCATTTTTTTAAATTTGATTTAGAATAAAATATTTTGGCGCTTACTTACTGTGTTATTTGGTTTGGCAAAAGCGTTGTACAGATTCGGCGTAACTTTTACGTTAATTGCACAGTCCTGTGTTACTGGATATGCACGGTGATGGTGGTATGAAATAATAGTAGCTAAAATGACCTTATAAATAAAACCAAAGTTTGATCATTATGATTTATCAGATAAAATTACTAGTAACAAGCCAGTTTGCATATCCTTTCCATCTGTCAGGCCACATTAATATATCGCAAATTGTGTAATGTGTCCTATTTTTATACTATTAAAGACATCAATGAAATTTCCAGATTCAGCGCATAACAAATAAGACTGATACACATATTTAGCAGTGCATAATACAAATGCAGTGGAGTAATTTGTCAAAACGTTTTATTTAACCAATGATATTTAAGTACATATTTATGTTGTATTACGATAGTAATTCAAATTCATTATACAAAATGTAGCTTACATATTGCTCGGGCATCATTTCTTCTTTCACGTGCTTTCTGTGCCACAGCTGGAACTCATTAATCACCTGTAATACAGGAATTTCACTTTTGCCTACAACATTAAGTTTCCTAGTCTTTTCATCAAATATACATAGCACCTCTTTTGATTTATTTTTTTCGATCAGTATACGCTTCACCCGGATGGTTTCCTCTGCATCAGGAGCTACCTGTACTTCCTTCTCGAACAAATTATGAACAAGTCCAACCAGCTTCTCTACTTGTGATTTCACTATCTCTACAACACGTACACTGCATAGAATTTCCATACAAGTTGGATTTACTTTGCTTGGAGTTGCCTTTACGGTTACTGTTCTAATTCGGCGTATACAACGGATATCTTTAGCAAAGAGGTGTACTACTTTTTTCGCGTATGTGCCTATAAATCTCCACACAGCGTTTTGTCCCTGTAACAGTCCTACAACGCCATTTTCTGGATGTGATTTGATAACATAGCGGTGAATTAAGGTTTGCGCTGCAAGTTCTAAAATATCAAGATGAGGCCCATATATAGTGAGATGCTTCTTTCTGACATAATCAACTTTAAGACCAAATTCTTTTTCAATATCACTTATTATATAGCTGATTCCTCCGCGCTGTTTTTCCAATTTCTTAACAATACCGCCAGGAATCTTCATTTCACTCCTGAACCGAGGGTGTGGTATGCTGGATGCCTGGAATGGATTAGCTAAACTGAGATTTATGAAAATCACTTTCACTATCGAAAATCTGGTTCATAAACTACTTATACCACAAAAAATGTACTACTATACATGACATTGTACAAAATAAATCTTATCTGCCATATACTATTGATATAGATAGAGGTTACCTTAAACTTTGTGTTTGAAATATAACAGAACTTTCACCGTTTTCTGCTTTAAAGTGCCAGTTAATTGTAGTATTGCAGTATTGGAAATTCATGCTTTAAATGGCCAATACTTAACAGTCTGATTTTATTATTCTTGCTTTAAATATTCCGCATTTATTAAACGCTCGTCATTTTATATACATACGTAAGAAAAACTCGGAGACGCTCGTCGCGCTTGAGAATTTGCTCGTGAAGTTGAAGCCCATTCATTCATTACTTTTCGTAGACAGTCTTCAGTTTTTGCAAACACCGTAAACTTCTCCTGTTGCTCGTTTAATATACAAACCACCGTCTGGTCGTATCTTAATTTTCTCTGGATGAATTCTCTCAGACGAATGATTTCTGAATGCGAGCTTATGATAGGAATGTCTGCTTGCAATAGGTTGTCAATGTCTGACTGCAACTGGTTCACTTTGGCTTTAACTTGTTCTACATCGTCATAACTACAGATAAAATGTATATAGCAAACTTTAATTTTGGTCTAACTAGATTTACAAACCGAGAATTTACATTATAAAGTATTTGCAAGAATATATAAATTTATCAAAAGAAGGAAGTTTATTGATAAAAATCCATGTGAATTATAACAGCCAAGTATATGCTACACATATCAGAAAAGACGCAGCACATTAATCTGAATTTGTCTATATCGAAGTTTCTGACAAAAATATAATGTTATAAGGGAGTTAGATTATTTCTTTCCAAACCACAACATAAAAATATGTCAATGAATTGACTCCGCTCTCCGAATAATAATGGGTGTATGGCTATAGTGAAAATGAAATGTGAAAGAGTTAAAGTTAAATTGTGAAGCTATAAGTGTAATGTTTAGAAATGGAACAAGTCAATTTCAGGTGACCTTCGATCATTATTTGTATACATGTATTTCACAGAACAGTCGAATTTAATTCACTGTCGGATCAGAACAACTTTTACTAAAATATTTTATCAAATCGAAAACATAACGTAGACGTGGAAGATATTATGTCATAAAATACAAAGTTAAAACATGTAATTTGACCAATAACTATTTAAGCTTTCTGAAAATTCATCTTTTCCCCCTATTGATTGCCTTTACATAAACACATTTCCCTGTATTTCCATTACAATGCGCAATAACTCTTGATTTGTTATTAATACACATCCAGACTCTAAAGGTCACATGGTGATATTCCAGCTTTGTATATAGAAGAAGACCTCTGGTGCCCCTGAATTCGTGCATTAATTCAGACACGAACGGGTACCTGAGTAGAACAACCGACCTTACGTAAGCTAGCTGGATGGCTTCCTTACAGGAAAGACTACGGGATTCGAACCCACAGCGGTGAGGGCAAATGGTTTGAAGTCTACGACCTTGACCTCTCGGCCACTGATGCCCAAATTCTTGATAAACGAGGTACATCAAAAGAAAGTTATAGATATAGGCCATACTTCCATTTGATATTCAACATAATCAAAATAGTTCATAATACCATATTAAAAGTCCAAATCCAGAGATTTCTCACAAGTGAAAATTTGTTACTACGAGTAGTAATGATATTACCTAAAATCGGACTTGGTTTGTAACATAAGAGCACTTGATCAAGTATAACAGTTTCATATTCTGGAACATTTAAATTTTAGCTGAAATCTGTGAAACGACTCATCTTATGATTTTTGACTTCCAATTTCACATCTGTTATCATGTTAACAGCATCTGTTTTTGTAAGTATAGTCTTTCCAAAATATTTGATTTTTTCAGAACTTACCAAGCTACAGAATTGAATTCTGATTTCTTTAAAACTAAAGTAATGGTCTGGTCATGTGTATAGATGTATATCTTTTAAATATGTAATAAACCAAGACTAATGTACCTTGCTGTAAACTCAAGTTTTAGTGGAGATACATGTAAATGAACTGAACGTATCCTGTTTATGTCTTCTATTTCAGCCCTGAAAAGCTGGCTAGCTTTGACGGCGTAGTCTCCTTGGAATTTCCAGACTGCTCTACGCCCGGAATCAATCTCTCCAGATATATCGGACGCTTTGTCTTCTATGGAGAAAAATCTAGAGAAAAAAAAGTTTTATAACTTCATCACTTGATGCTTGGTACTTATTATAATAGAAATGTATAAATACTTTAGTTTTACAACAGGGATCAGACAACCAGGTTTTCATGAACTATTATGTGCAAGCAAAGAATAGAAGTTGACAGTGGAAGTTAATCATATTTACCGTCTTAATAGAGTCTCTATGGCCAGTTCCAAAATATCCGGGTTAGGTCCAACAATTATGTAGCACTTAGACCCTAAACTTGTGAAGCTGGTGGTGGATAGTCCGAATTCCTTTTCTATCTTTGCCAAAACGGGTCGAATCCCACCAGGGAGGCTTTCCATTTTCTCTATCAGACCTTCAGGAATTTTCATCTCACATTGCCTGCGCGGAGAAGACATTGCTTATCAACTGAAATAGAAAATGTATACAGTTATATCTATTTAAATACATGTAACTTTATTGTGAAGTCAAACAGTTACCACATCTAGTAAGTTATTAGAATAGTTCTAGTTCGACTGCGTTTTAATGTTATAGATCGTAAAATTCTGTTTCTATCTGGTGTTAAAATTTACTTAGATCTTTCTAATAACATTTGGTATATAATATATGGCGTTAAAATATGTCCCAGATAGCATGTACGAGTGTTTATCAAATACGAGAACAGGCGCGCTTTTATACAACTCTAAGAAATGAAGAATATACATACATATGTAATTTCAGCAATTTTAATGAAATGTGAATTAAATAGATTATGTTAGATAGATGTTTTATTTTCGAGTGTCCACTCTTGTCTTTAAACTTGTTTTTGAAGAAAAAAGGTGCTGTTGTATCTATGGTTATTTTAGTTATTTTATATAACCGAAGTATTTCTGGATTTTTGTTGTTTTATTTATTTATTTATTTATTTATTTATAACGATGTATATGTCACTAATCACTACTTACTCCAATGCTAATGAATATCGGTCATTGATCATACTGTAGTATATGTGTACTTAATAGTTTGCATGTCTACCATCGAAGATTTGAAACTAAGATTTCACACTGATCAAGCTTACTTGCGAAACTTGTTTGCATGTATACATATTTGGAAAATAGTTTAATGTTAAAGCTGCATGCCTCCAGATGAGCCAAAATATTTTTAAAAATATCAATATTGAGAAAAATGTACTTATTTTGCGGTATTTTATTACCATATTTCTATTGCGTTACTAACGCAGTCAGGGCTGTTTTGCATAATTATGTTGACCACTTTTTGGTAATTTTCTTGGATTGTAAGTGCCGATTGCAATATGTAAATCACATTATTTGTTCACCTCACAATATTTTACTTTTAAATACGTTTCTAAATTTTTTATGAAAATTTACATGAATCTGGAGGCGTGCTGCTTTAAGTATAGTCAAGATTAGTGCATGGAATATCAGAAATTTGGTTACAACTTTTAATTTTTCCAGTTTATATCAATCAAAAATACATTTCCCCAGGAAGTAACAATGAAACCTGTACAAATAAATAAATTAATTAAAAAAAAATAACAAAAATTTGTCGTGTACGCAGAACAAGAACTTTACGATAAGGAAATATTTTGTTCCTTTGTCGAATGTTTTCTACTACTTAATAAACGTGTAGAATAACATTTGAATATATAAATTGTTAGACAACTTAGTCTTCACGAGATAAGATTTAATTCAATACAAACTTAAATGCACATTGCGAAGACAAAAAAAACAGTTAAAAACAGTTAAATTTATTGTGACTTACTTTAATGCAAATCGAAGAATGTGAAGCATTCAATATTCCAAAGATTATAAAATTATGATTGTGTCAGTTTTTTTTTATAAGACTATTATTAAAAATGTTATAAATGTTTTGAAAACAATACTATATAGTCTATAGTCTTAGAGTTTCAATTTCATGCACTGGTGATTGTAAAGTGAAATTTGAGAATGGTGTAAAAGTATATGCTATGCTATTTACGAAAAAATCGAATTTAGATTGTACTTATGACAAGATAAGGCAAAATTAGTTTTAATTAGAAACCAGATTTCTTTTTAAAGCCTTTCTCTGGTAAATGTTGAAATATCTATATTTTCCTGTCGTACGTGAAAAGTTGAAATACATTGGGGTGTATATTCCTCTTTGCGGTAGTTAAAATATCGTTGAGTTATTTTCACAACTAAACGCTTGACAAGCAAGCGCCTATGGATAATCAGTTTATGAGCTGTCAAAGAATAACGGCAAAAAGTAAAGTTTAAACAGGTAATTAAGTATGATTAACAATTTTATTTTTGTAAAAGTAAACAAATTTACCTTGATCATTTAATTTTAAGAGGGTAAACGACCCTGGTTGTTGGATTTTTAAGGTTTGCAGCACCGATATTTTCGATTTGGAAATTGTTCATGAACTGTGTGGATGAACAACTGATGAAGGGTGTATCAGTCAGTGTTTTATAACGGGCACTTTACTTCTTGTTTAACTTCATCATTATCTTAAACAGAAGTTTTAAAAACTAACCTACATGTACTCTCCCTGACTGTGGAGTAGTCCGGCTAATTACACTGGTCAAAGAGACAAAAGGGTTATTTTTGGATAGGCAATGGCTATCCGCATGATCCATACAGACCCATATTGCAAGCAAAAATTTATAGACGTTTGGAGTCCAGACAACTAACCTATATGCACTGTTGAGGCTATCCGTATGGCAGTTTTAAAATAAATAACCTAAAACAGTACAAACTTAAAATTGTGTTTCTAAATGAAGATGTTATGAATATTGAATATCATGAGAACTTTATCAATACAGAGATAAACACTTTCAGAACTAGAAGACGACAGGCTATTCTTACCAGTAGTATTTCGAGTAAAGATAACGGGTTGCGTATCTCACTGTATAAATCGTTTGTAAAATGGTCTGACATATGGTAAGGCCTAAAAAAAAATTGTTTTGTTCGGGTCACCCGACCCTACCTAATAATATGCGCCGACCCTACCGTTTTTTTCGTGTCCAAAAAAAAAAAAATCCATGAAAATACCGTATTATTGAGGTACTCAATGAGCAGTGTGAAGGGCAATTCAGGCGAAAATTTCGCTGTGTATATTTCCATTTCGCTCTCCCAATTGATCAAAGAGAAGTCAACATCGCCGATAAAATCTTAATTCCCAAAGAGTAATTACTTGCCGATGTAAAGAGCAGAGATTGTATCCGCCCATATGACGACTGCTAATTATCATTATCCAATCAGGGCATCGCTATATACTACCCTTCTACCTGTATGCAAAGTGATAGACCGCCTACTCTAAACAGTAAATAATGAGAGCATCGGCCCGAAACGGGTATATTTTGCGAGTTTAATACGGGATTTGGCGATAATTATAGATTAATTTTTTTCCGATCATCTAAACACGTGCAAATCTTCCCTAATTGATATACACGCGGTGTTTAACCGAAGTAAAGGCGATGTGCAATGGGTTTCTCACGGCTATCACCAAAACTGTTAGTCAATTAAAAATAATTAATTTCATTTGGATGATTTCAGTCCGTTAACATCAATTAAAAATTGTTATGTCGCTCACGTCATCATGGCTTGGGGTGAAATGCCCAAACGTAGCAGTAAAAAAAAGTTACTGATTCTGATACACCTAATACACGCGAAAATTTAAGAAAGCCAATTCGCAAAAATCTTATGATTGGTATGTTGTAGACAGTGAGAGTGTTTTGCATTGTTATCTTTGTAGAAATTTGCCAAATTTGACACAGCTTGTACGCACGTGGGCACGACATCCTAAAACTACGAATCATGATCGGCATGCGACATATCGGTCGTATATCATGTGCTCATGTATATAACAACAAAATTTGTCAGGAAAGAAGTGTTCTCATTGTTTCAATATATATATTTGTTTTAATGTCATAAATATGACGCTCAGATTAAGATTTATTAATATTGTAAATTTCAAAAAGCATTATTTATAAAGATATTACCGAGTTTAACATCTCATGAAAATAAAGGGAGGTAATTAGAAATTTATTTTCTATAATTTCTCAGTCGAATTTTTCAATAAGAAATGAATGTATATAATTTTAGTGATCAAATATAATGTGCACAAATGTTTGCAGTACATATTTTACATATTCTTCGATATTTGAAAATTGTTTTATAAGCATAATTATATGCACATAAATATGACATTACAACATAGAAGATTATAAAAGAAATTTCTGTAAAAAGAACAGGATAGACAGATTTTAGTAATCATTATCCAATGTAACTTTATCTGGAAAGTAAAAATATAAAGTTAATTTATTCATCATAGTTTTCTTACACATTAATATCAAAAATATATGAGAAAGCTTATAAATAGCTGATAAATAGATTGTGTTTCTATTCTAGTTAAAGGATGTATAGCCATGCATGTTAATGCATACACATTGGGATGTTTCCCTTCTGCCGATTTTTCACGAGGAAGTCACTTCTCCCTAAAATTTCCCCCAAGGATGAGCCCTGGGTACGGTATAGGTTTTATCGCCGCTCTTAGTTACCAAATGGAGGATCACATCGTCAATATTTGTAAAACGGCGTGTGATCTTCGCCAGAAGAACGCTGAGAGTTTTAGATTGTTACACCTGAAATGTCTTTTGAAAACATAGAAGGGATGTATTTATGCCACCCGGGAGGGATGTCAGAAATTTCCATATCTAAATTTCAATATACTGGTGAAAAAAAAAAAAAAAAAAAAATCCGACCTACCCTACCTATTCCTTGAGAGCATGTTACCCTAACAAAACAATTTTTTTTTTAGGCCTAGGTTTAACAGTTAATTTAAAAACTTTGGAGTCAAAAGATGTGTTAAAGTTTACACTGTGATGAAGCTAAGACCCAAAGCTTTCTATTGGTGTAACTTATTTTAGAATCGGACATTTAATCAAAACAAACTAGCTGTTTAAAAACAGCTTATTTTGTAAAGTTTTAGCATTTATAAGCGGTATCGATTTTACTCAAAGATAAGGGAAGCAACTCATATTTTTCACTTCATATACCTCAGGTATTTACATAGATCATATTGAAAGTGTTTATGGGTGTATTGCAATACTGGCATGCGAGCAGTTCCCATACAGAAGCAGTACCCATAATTTTTTTCATTTAAATGCTTTTTTTACTTTTGTTCTTTAAAAATTGATATCAACTCAAGCTGATGTATTAATAAGGAGACAAAATCTAAGTGTCCATTCAGCAATATGTTTAAAGTTTTTCATGTTAAATAACTATCACCTTTGCTCTGTCAAAAGTGAACTTGTGGGGGATTCCGTCTTTGTGCGCATGCGTAAAATTACTTACATATGAGGCCTGCTAAAAGGTTTTCCACAAATACCACCTAAGTACATATTAGTGGGCGGCAATGTGATGAAAACCTGTTTAATTATCAGAATGTTTACCTTTATTACTACATTTAATCATTTTAATTTTATGGCTGTAATGAGTAATATATTATGCAAACAAGCATGCCATTGCTTGTGAATGTGTTGGGTAACAGTACCAGGTAATAGATACCAGCATTAAGTCTACGCTCTTTTTCCTAAATTACATCTATTTACCTCTGGCAAAATGTCTCTTCAACAATTATAAATAAAAAATAGGT